CGTCAATAGAAATGGTATGAAAAACATAAACACTCCTGTCCGCGCCAACTTACCAACTGACGACTTCATGTTTTCTCTCTCATTTCTCTTGTCCCTGAAAACTCTGTGAAATTTGTGTTACTTCATGAAGTTAACATCAAATGTTCCACTGCTGAATCTCCTACTAGAACGAATTTTCATCTCATTCCTCTGAAAAGTTAAGCAACTCTCGCTCCTTCGACTGCGATTTCCAGAAAGCAGCTGACGATAACAACGATATGTTGTGGTCATGTGACCAACAGCTGGTTTGCCAGCCCATTGATTGACAACCAGGAATAATGCATATTCATGAGTTCAAAGTTTTCGCCCTCGTGGCGTATCCAGCGTAGAGTGTCCACGGAAGCGTTTTCTAAATATAATAAACGACGTCCTTCTGTCTGCACCATATCCCCCAAAAGCCTAAATGCAAAAAGGGCAGTTATAATAATCTCTACAGCACATCCCAGTCATATGCAAGCCTATCGTCGTCGGGGGGGGGGGGGGGGGGGCCGGGGGGGGGGGCTGCAGGGCAGCCACTCGAAAAATGTGCAAACAAATGCACGAAAAGAGAGAGGAACAGGAAGGAGGAAGGCCGAACGAAGGGTGTGATCGAGAGGGAGGGTGAGAAAGAGGGAGGGAGGGGGGGGGGGGGGGGGGAGAGAGAGAGAGAGAGAGTTTAAACTCTCATCTCCCTGGTAAAATGTCTTTTTGATATGTCTAAACTCAACTCAGAGAGGAAAATGCTAACAAAGTCTATTAGGATAAGTAATAGGACAAAACAACGGGGGGGGGGGGGGGGGGGGGGGGTTCTGAGAAGAAAAAGCAAAACATTTACATCAGGCACCATGAAAGGATAGGAGAAAGCAGGCGTGGGCCCAGGATTTCTTAGGGGGGGGGGGGGCAAATTTGAAATCATGCGAGCCAAATATTGGTACGTAATGGTGACATGCAAGACATGCAAGACATGCAAGACGAAATGAGCAAAAACATTTTTTTTTTTTTTTTTTTTTTTTTTGGGGGGTGGGGGGGGGGTATGGTATACTATAGTATATCTTATTTATTAACTGTTAAAAACAAATATAATAATTAAATTGGCATTAGGTAGAGGGGCGAAGCCCCGGCGGGGGTCAACGGGTGGAGCCCCAAGAAGCTCAGGGGTATATGCATTTAATTACGGTCAGATTAGCATATATTGATACATTATTTGTGACACTGGCAGGACACAAATTTGTGTGGGGTCTAGGGGGCGGAGCCCCCAAAAGCTCAGGGATGTGGGGCAATAAATTATGGTCAGATGAGCATATTTTGATACCTTATTTGTGGCACTGGCAGGACACAAATTAGTGTGGGGTCTAGGGGGCGGAGCCCCCAGAAGCTCAGGGATTTTGGGCAATAAATTACGGTCAGATAAGCATTTTTTGATACCTTATTTGTGACACTGGCAGGACACAAATCGGTGTGGGGTCCAGGGGCGGAGGCTCGAGAAGCTCAGGGGATTTGGGCATAAATTACGGTCAGATGAGCATATTTTGATACCTTATTTGTGGCACTGGCAGGACACAAATTAGTGCGGGGTCTAGGGGGTCAGGGGGCAGAGCCACCAGAAGTCAAGGGGTTTTAGGCAAATTACGGTCAGATGAGCAATTTTTGATACCTCATTATTTTGTGACAAAGGCAGGTCACTATTCTTTCTTTCGAAATTTGCCATTTTCCAACAAATGCATAAAAAAAAGTACAATTTGATAAAGATTGAGGAAAAATCATGTGATTTCAGCAACATTTGTAAATCACCGGTATCGAATTAGAAATAAACCACGTCTGAATTATATTTGAGGGGCATCTATCACCCCCAAGCCCCCTCCCTCTCCCCCATCAGTACGCCAGTTGCCCCCCCCCCCCCGATCTACACCTTGTTGGCGGGAAAAATCGCAACTGATCTCCCCTACCTTTCTTCTTTTCCTTTCCCTTCCCTTCCTTTTATCTGCTTTAGGTTTGCTGGAGGGAGGCAAGGGCCTTTCGGCCCCCCGATCCACACGTTGTTGGCGGGATTAATCGCAACTGTTCTCCCCTTCTTTCTCTTTTTTGTTCCTTTTAGCTCTCCTCTTTCCCTTTCTTCTCCTTTTTTTTGCCCCGCCCCGAACTACAACTTTCCCCCCCCCCCTTTTCTTCTTCCTCTTCTCTCTCTCTCCCTTTTTTTGCGGAAATAAGAAAGTATTGGAAACAAAGCCCTGCAAATTGATAAAACTGTTTTGAGGTTTAACATTATTAAATCTGAACAAATGTATTCATTACTCTATTGAAATTATTCACAATCCCAGTTTATCTGCTCATTCCATTCACTCTGAAATCATCCTGAATAATGCCGTCAACGGGTCTACTGTCACATATATCATTTAAAAAAGAAATATAAAGCACTTTCATATTTGGAAATCTGATCCTTCCACCATTTACATCTCTGTAGTCTGCAATAATTTCTGTGCACAAACTTGAAGAAGATGAAGAGGAAGAGCAAGAAAAGGAGGAAGAAGAAAAGTTGGAAGAGGAATTAGAGAAAGGTAAAGAAGGAGAAATGCTAATCATTACCATTAATGGTCATGTCACTGCAGCACATGACTCTTGCTCACATCTCCGTCAAGCAATCAATCAATCAATATATCACCAAGAGTCAGAAGGGAGTTAAATCTGGGTTATGATACACATTCATGAATAAGTAAACCTCAGTCTGGCTCTCAACAGATGTTATTTCATACAAAGCATTGAACCACACAATACAATATCAAACATGTAGGTATATTTCCATCTCAGTGTATCATTTAATTTTGCACTCTAAAACTTTTACATTTTTCAATCTTCAAGCTCTAATTCAGAGAAGTAAATATTGGTCCATTACTGGACACTGTGACTCACATAGAATTTTAAAGCTTTGATTGTTGTTTTCTGCATGATACATTTTCTCCACTTTCTCCTCTGAATTAAATGGGCCTTACATAAAAATAAATCAAGATACTTCATTCACTTGAAGGTACCTTTGCTGTTATTGTGGGATATTCTTTTCTCAAGATGATATCTCAGAATTTGTCAAAGTAAATATTGATGTATAGGTACAGACAAATTATTACAAGCACATAATTGCTCCTCCATGGAAGCAACACCTTTGAAAATGTCTTGCAAATCAAAAGAGGGTTTTTAATTTCTTCAGACTTCAAAGAAAACTTTCGGTCAATGAACATAGTTTTCCTGGACCAGAAAAAATACAATTACAGTGCATTGATCAGACACATATTTCAAAAGAAAATAACACTTAACCAATGCAAATGTACTACTAATGAACTTCTTTCACAACAACAAAATTAAAAGGAGAAGAAAATGCTGTAATACTTTACTGTTGCAACACAAAAACACTAGAATAGAGGTTGTAGCCAATTCTACTTATATGGAAGTCCCCATGTATCATGGTTTTATGGGTTTTTTGGCTGGTGGGGGAAATATATCTTGAACTATAGACATGTCAAGGTCAACAAAAAAGGTGTTAAAATATTACAGATCACAGCAAAAAAACTTTCATATCACACGGAAATCTGTGATTTTCTTGTTCTCCCAATCAAAATACATACATACATACAGAAATAAACAAGTCTTTCAACAAAAATAATAATACAAATAAATTTTGGCAGAAAAATGAAAAATCCCACGACAGAGTAGGAAGATAACATTACATATATATTGAAGAAAAGAACAATATCATTTAAAATAATCGAAATTAATAATAAACACAAATGACAGAGGACTTGAAGGTAACAGCTGTCTCTCTTTGTCATTAATGAATTGTTGATTTTTTCCAAGTATAGTTAAATACATTTGCAAAAAACAATGTACTTTTATATTTACTAAGACATTTGTGTTCAGCATTGAACTGGTCTTGAATACGACCTCACAGTTGTATCAATCCGCTGGAAACAATTAATTTCAAACAAGACATATTTCTAATGGGATTCTTCAGATACTATCTTGGGCTTAAACAAGGTGTTTTAAATTCAGATGGGAGTGAGTGGTACTCAAGAGGTTGCCAAAAAAAAAAATATATATATATATTTTCCTTTACCAGAGGATTCATTAATTGCACAAATGAATCTGATTTCAAGCAATCCTATGAAAGTAATCATTCAAAGGGTTCATGATGAATGAACATTTGAAAATGTACCTTCAGAATAACGTACCTGTGGAAATAATAACAAATATGTTAAACATAATATATCACATTCTGTCACTTAATCCATTGATTTTAATATAATCAAATTCCCAATATTTCATATTATCATAAAAGTAACCCTTCGCCTTGTGACCTGAACTATGAATGAATCAAAGGGCAAAGCATACAAAGCCTGACTATGCAGGCAGGCAAGCAAAATTGCCAATTCTCTATCATTGACTTGGTGTACGTAACCATGTTAATTAAGTATAATGTAGCAAAGTAACTTTTCAATGAATGTAAGTATTGAGAAGAAGAAAAAATATCCATAATTTCCGGAATACTTATCTGAAACTATCACATGTACTAAGATTAAAATTAATGAAATTTAGGGAAACGCATATAAATAGCAAGTGGTCCCTAGTCTTGAAAATACCTGCTGAAAAGCAAGAGTCACTTCAATGTAACATTTACGTGTGAAATACATACAGTCTGATTCTGTTAGGAGATACAAGGGCAATAACTCATACACAGAGTAAAACTCTTTTTGGCTCTGAACAGGCGATATACCCTCCAAACTGTTGAAGTATTCTTAAATAGTTAGAATTAATATTCATGATACACCCTGTAAAAAACCTCTACAATGTATGAATGATTTTTCTTTCATTAGTCTGTAGGAAGAACCACATAAAACTGGAGACAGCTGTAATGTCCTTACTACTATTGCTAAGTCTTGTAAAATGGTCCCTCACAGTATACTGCTCCCTAATCTCGTGTTCTTGAACCTTTCACTGAAAGTCTGACCCTCACTATCCTTTCATCATCTGAGCTTTCTTTGATGAAAAACCTACTTTCCTTCTTGTCTAATTCATTAATAATCTTGCACCTGAATATCATTTGAAAGAAAGAAACAGGATGGAAAAATTGGTCAATCAAATAAAATTCCATACAATTAAAAATAAACTGATACGTTTAGATCACATCCTGATGCAGGTTTTGACACAAAGGTAGGAAAACTTGATTCAGAGAAATTAAAGAAACAAAACTTTGCATGGTTAATGGTGACCCTTTGATTGCCTTTCTCACCTGTATACCTGAATCATAGACATGATTGACTACAACTCTCATGAAATACAATTTTCCTTTCAGCAGAAATCTAAAGTGGTTATAAATTCATTGTCATTTGGAATTTAAATTCATGATTAATCCAATCAATAACAGTTTAACATGCAACAGTGCTCACACATGATCCTATTTGATGGTTAAAGAGCTCCTCATAAATTATGTAACGTCATGATTATATTTTTTGGAATAATTTCATCTTGATTTCATACCACAAGCCTATATTATAAACTGAGGTAAGACATAACTCTCTAGGCACATAAATTTTCACATTACTCATGATTCATATACCGTCTTCAATCTTGCAAGTAGAGCATCACATGTCTTCTTGGCATCTCCTAGCAACATGCCGGTGTTTTGCTTGAAGAAGATTGGGTTGTCTACGGCGGCATAGCCAACTCCTAGGGATCTCTTCATGACGACCACTTGCTTAGACTTCCATACCCTCAGTACTGGCATGCCAGCAATGATGGAGTTGGGATCCTCTTCAGCAGCAGAATTGACTGTGTCGTTGGCACCGATGACAAGAACCAGGTCGTTAGCAGAGAAATCATCATTGATTTCATCCATCTCAAGGACAACATCATAGGGTACACCAGCTTCAGCCAGGAGGACATTCAGCTGACCAGGCATGCGACCAGCAACAGGATGGATACCAAATCGGACATTCTTTCCACGCTTGTTAAGCACCTCCACCATTTCAGCAATGGGGTACTGGGCCTTTGCAACGCATAGACCATAGCCAGGGACAATGATGATGTTTTCGGCTTCTTCGATCATGTCAACTGTGTTTTCTACATTGATCTCTGTGTGGGTGCCTGTGATTTCCATTGGTTTGCCACCAGCTGTGGTCAGGGTTCCGTAGCCACCAAAGATGACATTGGTCAGGGAACGATTCATAGCCTTGCACATGATGTATGAGAGGATGGCTCCTGAAGAACCAATCATGGCACCAACGATGGTCATTAGGTTGTTGTTCAACATGAAGCCTTCTGCACATAGAGCCCAGCCACTGTAGCTGTTCAGCACAGTGATGACAACAGGCATGTCAGCGCCACCAATGGCTGCGGTCAGGGTGACTCCCATAACCGAGGAGAGAACACTAGTTGCAGTCAAGCAGCTCATATCCATAGCATAACCTGGGTTTGTCATGTAGTATGCCATGGCACCGACATTCGCAGCCATGAGTCCCAAGTTGAGAGCGTTGCGTCCAGGGAGAAGAAGAGGTTCAGAACTGAGCACACCTTGTAGCTTACCATATGCAATAAGAGAACCTGTGAAGGTGACACCACCAATGTATGTTCCAAAGTAGAGGAAAGCCTTGGTCATTCCTGCACTTGCCGGATCTGCAGCAAAGTGGGCAGCTTCTGCCATGTATGTGGATACACAGGTGAGAACTGCAGCAAGACCAACAAAGCTGTGGAAGGCAGCAACAAGCTGGGGTAGGTCAGTAATGGCCATTCGCTTGGCAATGGTGCAACCAATGAGACCACCTACACCGATGGCTGCACCCATCTGTGTGTACAACTCTGGCGAAGCTTTGAGCCCAACAAGTGTGGCAATCATACCTGTGGATACACCAATCATGCCTAGAGAATTACCAACTCTACAAGATGATTGCGATGACAGTCCACTCAAAGCACCAACACAGCAAAGAGAACCTGCGAGATAAGCAATCTCCTGCATGGAATAGCCGGTCAATTCAGCCCCCAAGTAGGATCCAATGCCAATGCCACCAGGAAGAAGGTATAAATAGTTGTATTCTGGTGGATCATCTGGACGGCGGAACATATCCAACATCCTTTTGGTAACGAGGAAGCCTCCAAAGATGTTGATGGATGAGATAAAGGCTGCAATGGCGGCAAGCGTGGCAGGTGTGGAGTCAGGATAATAACCTCCACTCATGCATACAAGACCTCCTACAGCTGTGATGCCAGAGATGGCATTTGTGACTGACATCAAGGGTGAGTGAAGGGCAGGTTGCACTCCCCACACTGTGTGGTAGCCAACGATTCCAGCTAGAGAGAAGGTGGTGAGCATGGTGTTGAATGCAGCATTCGGAGACAGAACTCCAAAGCCATACAGTGATCCTAATCCTGCCGTATACATCAGGGAACTGTTCAGGGTATCTCTAAAGGGGCTTGGTGGTGGAGCCTCAACTGCTACTGGCCTGGGTGGGGGTGGTGGAGGAGCTGGCACTACTTTTGGTGGTGGGGGTGGCCAAAGAAGCTCGCCTTCCTTTAAGATGATAGAGCCTCGGGTAACCTCATCTTCTAGGTCAATGTGGTAGAAGCCTTTGGGTCCGAGAGAGAGGAGGAACTTTGAGATATTATTGCCGTACAAGGTGCTGGACTGGGTTGGAAGGCGACTGGGTAGATCTGTGTAACCAATGTGGATAACACCTTTATGAACAGACAACTCATTTGGCTTTGTGGTTTCAATGTTGCCCCCTGCTTCTGCAGCCAAGTCCACAACAACAGACCCCTCCTTCATTGATTCAATCATCTCTTTGGATATCAGCTTTGGTGCAGGCTTACCTGGAATCAAGGCAGTTGTAATGAGGATGTCGACTTCTTTGCATTGCTTAGCAAACAGTTCCATTTCTGCCTTTATGAACTCTGGAGACATTTCCTTAGCATACCCACCAGTTCCTTCTCCTGATTCCTCAAACTTCAGCTCCAAGAACTCGGCTCCCAGTGACTGCACCTGCTCTTTGACTGCAGCTCTTGTATCAAAACCTCTCACAATAGCTCCCATGTTCTTTGCTGTGCCCATTGCTGAGAGTCCAGCTACACCTCCTCCAATGACGAGAGCTTTTGCTGGTGGGATCTTTCCAGCAGCAGTGATCTGACCTGTGAAGAACCTGCCAAAGTTATTAGCTGCTTCTAAAACAGCTTTGTAGCCTGCGATATTTGCCATTGAACTAAGGGCATCAAACACTTGGGCTCTGCTTATCCGAGGAACACAGTCCATGGCGTATACTGTAGCCTGCCTCTCCGCTAATTTATCCAGCAACTCCTTGTTTTGTGCCGGGTACATGAAACTGATGAGATTTGAGCGATCTCTGAGAAGACCCACTTCTTCCATACTAGGAGCACGTACCTTCAAAACCAGATCTGACTTGAAAGCATCATCTCTGCTCACAATCTTTGCTCCGACTTCTTCATAATCTTGATTTCTGAAGTTGGATTTGGACCCTGCACCGTCCTCTACAACTACATTGTAGCCTTCCTTGATAAGATTCTTGACTGCAATGGGGGCAGCTGCTACCCTGCGTTCATTGAGGAAGGTCTCCTTTGGGATTCCGATCTTGAGTTCGCTATAAGGAATAGCACCTGGTGGGGCGGCTGGAGCCTCTGCCTCTGCCCTGGCGATGAAGGATGTTTTGAGCCCACGAAAGCGTAGCTTGGAGACTGTGTAGGTCTTCTTCAGGGCCACCCTGTCTACCTGACAGGCAGACTGCATCAAGCGAAACATGATGTCTGCATAAAGAAACAAAAGGGAGAAAAGTGAAGAATTAAAGAGAAGGTCGAGTTCTGATAACGGTCAACTATTTTGTGAGCTTTCTCATTCACAACAGTAGCTGTCACATGAAAAACAATGCTCTTGAAAATGCCCTAAAATTCTGTATATAATAAATAGCTTACACTTTGGACCAAATTTGTATGCCTAATGGTAATTAAAGTGCGTCAATATTCACTTTTACTCTATGTGATTTTTAGTAGAGATCTTTTTTTCTGGTTCAGATATAAACAATTTGACAATACCTTTTCTATAGCTTTTTCACTATATAAATGCATGACCATGTCACTAAAACCAAAAACAAAGGAAGAATTTTGGGATGTTTTTGTTGTTACAGTCAAACCTGCTTTACTGACCACCTGTATAGAAAGACGTGTCTTTAAAGAAAACCGTTTCCCTTGAACAATATTTCTCGCTGAAAAGCAAACTGGTGTATCGGGCCACCTGGCTGTAAAGACTGCATTTCATGTCTCCCTTGGGTAGTCTGTGTATTTCTCACTGTTTTTGTTGTTTTCCTTCTCATTAAAGGCATTACAATTTGGAGATTTTAAGAACCGTATCGATATGGAAATCTTTGGCTTTTTGATATAGAATGCATTTATGAAAAATAACTTAAAAACATGAAAGGTTGAACACATTTTGTATTATCATAAAACCTGACAAAACATACTTGAGGAATAAAATTTTTCTGATAACCATTGACCTTAAAGGTTTCCGGTATACAGTGTACAAAGTTTTGGTATGGGGTCATGAATTTGGTTCAAATGAACATATTGGAAGCATATGCGATCCTACAATATTCAGTGATCGTTGTCGCGGTTGAAATCGAGTCTAAAATTATGAAATTGTAAATAATAAACTATTTATGTCGTATAGCTCCCTCTCAAGGTCAAGATATTAATTAAGCTATAAAACAATACTTCTTGACTAAAATCGACCGATTAGCTATTCTCGTTAGAAAATTATATATCACAACTACATATTCTGAGATTTTCTTGGTTGCAGCTACCAATGTACGGCCGTAGACGCTATTTGAAATTTATCAAAATTTACCGGGAGCACCGGTAAATTTTTATATTAAATTTTTCTCGAAAGCAGAAGTGTTTTAGGGGCTAATTTTTCTTGTGCTCTTAATATACTCACAGGGGCCTCCAAATATATCCAAATATATCAAAATTGTAAAGAATCACTATCCACCCAATTTTCAAAATTTCCCCAAACTTTGTATTACCTCTAAACCTCTGGTCATTGTGAACCACGAACAAAATCCCTTCAAGTATTGTAGCAAAGTACTGACGCACCAAGTTTATATTAACTACATGCACTGCTATGTAAAAGGATATGGGGAAAGGAGGTCTTTCAGTATACATACAAAGATTTTTTAACTTCTCAATATAAACAATGACATATAATGAGTGTAGTTTTCTTGAAGGGTATCCAGAGAGATTACTTGTCTTAAGGACACACTTACTATTTTCAATATCAAGACGTGGCAAAAGTATGGCAAAATGGGATCAAATACATTTTCAAGTACAAAGCATTCATATATGGAGACATGCTCACAAAGGAAACAGAGTCAATAAATCTTTGTGTTAAAGCAATAAAAGTAGTGTAAATTCTGAAGTGCTAAGTTGTTTTGGCACTTCAGAGTTTACTTTACCTTTATCAGATTGTCTTAAAACTTACATTAATCCTCCATCTTTTGTCTACTGTTTACATTTTGACTCTAGGATGGGGATAGACTTCCTTTTCATTTAATGTTTTAAGTTATCTACCTTTTCATCTGAAGTAGTTGACTGCTGTAACCTAATGCAATGTGGATTACCATAAATCTCTGTGTATAAGACGCACTCTTATTTTTTAGAACCAAGACCAAAAAACAAAAACGAAAACAATTTTTTTGGGGGGTTTTGGTTTTTGCCGACACAGAAGGCAGCAAGCCAGATCAGATCGCGTCTATTTCAGTGTTCCTAAAGACATTACGTTCGGAAACCCAGCCAGGTCATGCAGGGAAGGACTTTTATTTATTACGGCTATTTCTCAAGTGGTGGGTCGATATCCCCTGTGTGAGTGAGCTGCATGATACGGGTGTGTTAGCTGAAGACATGGGTGAGCTTCGGACGGCAAAGTGCTATGTGAAGGCAACCGCAAGGGGTACCATTTATCAAGACTGAAGAAAAACAAACTCTCTTTCCTTCAAATTAGGAACGTAGGTTAACTTCAAATAGTAGATCCTATTCTTTATTCGCATTTTCATGTTGAGACACAGAGATTTTCGAAAACCACTAAAAGGTAGCATTTTGAGGACTCAAATTATCCTGTACCTGTGTGTAAGATGCACACCGACTTTTGAATTTTTCCGGCGGAAAAAAGTGCTACATACATGTACACAGAGATTTGGGGTACCCTTTATCAGGCCTATTATCACTTCCATTTCCCATTTCCCATTTCCGTTCAAAGGGATGTCCTAAAAACATTATCAGCACACTACCTTTAATAATTTCCATAACCTTTCAGATTGCTTTTTTTGTATCTTTGCCATCACCTGTGCTGTGAGGGGAAAAGCGAGTTGAATCACTGTGACCCTTTAACAAATAATTTAACAACGAATACTTTACATTTAGACTACCGGTACGTACAAGCATTCACGTTAGTAATAAAATGTGTATAAACTAGGGCTGCGACGAGTAGTCGAATGCTCGAGTACCTGCACGGTTGACAACTACACGAGTACGATTTCTCGTACCCGAATATTCGGCCGCAAAAAAAAAAAAAAAAAACTATCCAGGCCGACGCTTGCCAGGAAGAGCGGTGGCCGCTGCCATGGTACCGTCGGTAAAAATGTTTCCCAACTCAAGCACTGTCAAACTCACCACTCAGAAACTGGGACTAAATGTCTGGATTTCTGTTTGGACTCGGAGGAAAATGGATTATTCTGCCATCTTTGGTTTTTAAAACAGCATTGTTTACTGTTATTATTATTATTAAATCGGCGCCTTCAACTGCAACTCAAAGTAAAATTGCATACGTTTTCGGTGACGTGGAATACTGCTCCAGTGGTATGGTGGTGGCAAAAAAAATAAAAATAAAAAATTCAAAAAATTCAAAAAATTCAAAAAAATTCAAAAAAATTATAAAAAAACATGGCGTCCGAATACTCAATGTTGAGATTTTAAGATGTTAATGTACTGGCTGGCAGAAGCAAGTGCGGTGGCACATGCCTCCGGGCAACAGCGTAGCATTTCACTTTTGCTCCTAATCCTAGTGATGTTAGACCAGTGTTTCAGAAAGACTAAAGCCTAAGTCACACTGTGGTCAGACCGAACACGGAGCACCCCGTATTAACAAGGAACATCCCGGATCAAGAGATATCTACATAAATTGAGTTCAATGACCCGGACTATCCCGGATCAGCTACACACTGTTCCAGGACCACGGACTGCCCCATGATCAATCAGGAATTAAGCCTTTTCATCCCTTATCTTGAAATAAACCAATAACAAAAGTCATTTTTACTTTGTTTTACTTTTACTTTTGAGATGAAAATAGCCCCTTTTCAATAAAATTGACAGTAAATTGCCATACATGCCTGCATTTGAATCTAAAAAAAGAAGAGGTAAAATATTTAATTTCAGGCTATTTGGAGGTCCTATTTCATTGATGAGACTGGCGAATGAATTAACACATTAATGGTGATGCCATTATTTTGTTCTAAATAGCATTATCAGCCCAAAACTCAAAAAGCGTTAGTCTCCCCCCTTAACCTGCAAAAGTGGTAGAGTTGCCAACTTGCCATGCATGCACGTGCACTGCTGCTGCATGCTGCACTATTACATGACCGGGACTCAGCGGGATAGAGAATTATTAAATTTCTGTTTGCACATGTTTACGATTGACAAATACTTAATTCTATTCCTTTTGATATTGTTGTCAATAAATCAAACCCCTGCACAACCTACAAAAGCGGTAGTACTAGTAGAGTTGCCAACTGGCCATGCATGCACGTGCACTGCACTGCTGCTGCACTAATCAAATGACGGGACTCAGAGGGAGTAGTTAAAAAATTATTACATTTCTGTTTGTACATGTTTACGATTGACAAAATGGTTAATTCTGTTACTTTCAGTATTGTTGTCAACTAATCAACACAGTAAACACACGTACACATACACTCGCACATCCAAATCTGATCATGTCTATTCCAACAATTTCTGCAGTAATGAGTAAGACAGTACAATTTCAAGCCTCATTTTGCTACCTACATTATGCCCATCTTTTCTAAAAAGCAATAGTTAGATAGTCTTAAACTAAATTGTAACGTCAATGAGTATAACCGAAAATATAAGTCAACATAGGTCTAGGCCTACAATCAAAATGATTCGTCAGAATTTCCTGACACGCTCCCTTATCATTCGCACACGTAAATTACACGAGTCCATATCTGCGAGGGAAGAAACTTCCGACTCGCGACTAGACTTGGAACATGATTCACACTGCATAATTTTCACAGTCTTCATGGTGTTATTTCTTGATCAAATCTACCATATTCTTGGTGATACATACCTCGGAGAAATGTTCGACGATCAAAATATAAAAAAGATCACGCCTCCGGGTCCAAATAAAGGCAAACTTCCTAAATTTGGCAGGGGTAGGGGTGTTTGAAGTCCCCTCACAGCCAACGAAAAATGCCGGGTGAATAGATCGATGACCTGGGACGTGCGCGTGTGCGCGCGTACACCACCGCCACCGGCACCACCGCCACCACTACTGGAACCAATGCACCCCACTAGATTACCCCCTCCCAAACTATAATCTTGAACAAAACATATGAAATTAAACCAATGCCTGTTTTTTCATTTGTTTCCGCATTATCCCCTTTCTAATGGATCAAGAAAGGCAATTCTTACCAGATAACACAATTGTCAGAGTTGTATTAAAGAACTTCAAAAGAAAGTAACAGTATTTTTGTTCATTATTGCTTGATGTGAAGCTCAGTCTGTGCATATAGGCCGGGTCATTTTTAGGCCAATTACTCGATAAACCTAGCTCTATCATTATGAAATTTCTTTTTGAAATTAGGGGTTAATATACACTCTCCGCTTTTATTGTGAGGTTCTCTCCAATCTTCTCTGACTGTACAGAAAATGTCATAAACTATTACTTTCATACGTTTGACGGAATAGATTTCACCACTTACGGTGCGCTTTTCTGTAGGGCAAAAATATATCTGCAGAGCAAATGAGGGGGGACCGTCGTAAAATACGCCACAGTCGCCTTTTTGTGTTTGTTTGATCGTAACTTCATAACTTTCTTATTTTCAATCGGATTCTGCTCAAACTTTCACCTGTACCTTCATTTTTTCTTCTACAGGCCTACTACTCCTTTGAAAAAGAAAAAAATCCATATTTTTGTGTTTCTCTCTCTTTATCCCTCCCTCTTGATCTAGTTAATCGGAAAAGGTTCGGGTTAATTTCTTTTGTTCCTTTTGTTCTCTTCACCAACTTGCATTTCCCCCTATCTCTTAGATATAGTTCTGTTTGAATATTTATGTTCATTTATATACATGATATGTATTGTATAGCCTTACCACCTGCTGACGCTGTGCCTGTGGAGGCTGGTGCACAGTTTGAATATGAATTTCTGTGAATGCATGCTTATTGAGCAAATATTTAAAAAAAGCTCACGTTTGTATAATTATAACACTCAAGTAACGCCCAATGTCTATATTTTTATTTAGTTTGTTGCGCTGTGTCTTCCAAACTCTACATTGATCAGTATCACGTGAACTGAAGGGAAATAATGTTTTCAGAGTTGTTTCCATCTCAGTCAAAGAATTTCTTTGTGCTGATCAAGCAACCTCCTATGCAGTTAACATCCCTTTTCAGCTTGCAGCACGCGCGGACACCGGCAGCAGAGTTAACGGTTGCTAAAACTAAGACGGCGTGGGTACCACGTGAAAAATCGATAAATGGGTATACAGTGACAGCCTTTGAATTGCTGACGTGACCCCGCGAAAGCAAAACACACGTACTGTACACGAACGCCGCACCGCGCCGGTTCTGATGCATGAACTTTGTACCGGTTGTCCTTCATTCCTCCGCATTTCCACTGCACGTTCTAGATTCTAAACCGTAAAAAAACATAAAAATGGCTGGTTCTCTTGCAAAGATTGGTCGTGCTTTTGTTGCAGCAACCAGGACTGATTCTCCGCGATGTGTCCAGTCTGGTGTCGCCCTTAGTTCCACCCAGGAAAGAAACTGTAAGTTATTTCAAGATTGAGCTGTGTTTGAGGCTAGGCAGCAGGCTTAGCCTACTGACATTGTATCTGTCACTCAGTGTACAAAGTGTAGCACATATGCAGTGCTTTCATTTCTGTATTTAAAAATTGTAAAGCTATGTAAATTATCAATTAAAAACTTATAGACTAGTTAATGCCTAAACCTATTATTGGTAGACTAGTACTAACTTGCGCCATTTCCGAGTGAGCGAGGTATGACCGACAATTTATGATATGATTATGGATAGGTCTATGTGCACTGTGCCCATTAATTGTCAGGAGACACTCGCATGCAATGTATTCTCAGTTCTCTTTCAACTAGGTCTAGATAAACCTAGCTCGATAACTGATATTTACATATTATTTATATGGTGCTGCACAGTGTCAATGATGTTAAAAATGTGATAGCAACATGAATTGTTTTGTGGTGTTTTCAGTACCTGACTCAAAAGTTGTTCACAACACAACTTGGATCTGCTGATCTTTGACATCTAATGAAGGAGAAGGAGAAGGGGTTTTGAGAAGAAGAGGAGAAAGGGGGAAAAGGGAAGGGAGCTGGAGAGGAGGAGGAAGAAGAAGTAGAAAAAGATTAAGGAGAAGAAGGAGATGGTAAACGGGAGGGGGGGGGGGGTAGAGGAGGAGGAGAAGAGGAGGAGAAGAGGAGGGAGGAAGAGAAAAAGAAGTGAGATGGAGGAGAAGAAAAAACAAGAAATTAGAAGGAAGAGGAGAAGAACAAGATGAGGAAGAAGTCAAAAGGAGCAGAAAAATAAGACTAAGAGTAAGAACAAAAAGCCAGATTGAGAAGGAGGATCCGAGGAGGAAAAGAATAATAAGAAGAAAGATGAAGTTGAGGAGGAAAAGGAGATCTTTGCTGTGATTGTGGTTTACGATGGCTGTGGGAAACTGATCTTTGAACCCAGAAATGACTGCATTTTCCAATTTACAAAAGTAAAGGATAATAAAGCTACAGACCAGCTCATGACCTCTTCTCTTTGAGTTTGAGCTTTAATTTAATATAGTAACCAATCCACTTCTAACAAAGCTTGTACATCCGTGTGGACTGTATTGTGCATCAATATCACAAATGTACAGGTGCTGTACATGTATTTATCAGCATTATACCTGACCAATAACATACAGTATATACAATTGTGTAGTCATACATGTACATTTAGGTTTGGTAATATGTTTAGTTAACTTGAAAACCGATGCTGAATTGCTGATTATAGTGTGCGAAGTGTAACATTTATGATTTTATTTTTAATTTGTTGATTCAGTAACAAAATCATTGCTTTGGTTACAGATCACAAATCTTACAGTTGGCATCCTAAACCAGCCATGTACATGGAGTACCGAGTATTGGCAACCTGCAAAGAACTTGTATGATCTCTAACGGTAAAAGAATATCAAGGAAAGTCAGTAGGCTTCTCCTGAAAGTTCTAGTAGGGTTGGGAACTTAGCAATAGCATATTTGATACATTTTTTGTAATGCCCAGAAAAAGTGGTAGTACAATAAAATCTTGATTTTTAACACGCCATGGACAACTTGTTATTAATTTAATTCAATTGTTTTTCAATATATTATTACTATTAAGTTACATGCCTTGTATTTATAAAGGCATCTACATTTATGGTTCCTTCGTTACTTTTTACAATGATGACAGTTCAAATATACTTGTTAAAAAGTAAAAACAAAATAAATCTTGAGAAGTTAAATGTTTACTGCTTCATTAAACAGAAAACTTGATATCATTTTGTGGCTATTGTAATATGATCATAGTGCAGGGCAAGCGGCCTCCTGTAAATTTGATTAACCCGAAGAAATTGTCCTTTACATATACATCCGTAACGTGTACCATATTAAGTTTCACATAAAAACAGACCTGTAAATGCTCATCATTATATTGTAAAGGCCATTAAGTTTTATTTGTTTTTTTATCACCGTATTATATCGTAGATGTAATGTTTCTTGCTTTGTCTCTACCTACATGTTATGACGTTCATCATCGTAGGAATGACCATTGAGATATAGGTAGATCTCCAGTGTACATGTATTATGGCCAAATTCTTGGTAAATTATTGCTACATCATGTGCAGAATGTTGTTTACAAGTACTCCTACTATATGAACAAGTTTATAAAAGATATTTCCATACAACTTTTTTCTTGTGATAATAACTGCCAATCACCAGTACACAGATTATTTGGGCCACGTGTGCAGTCTGCATACAGTGTATACTGCATAGTCAAAACTATGAAGCCTAAACCTCACGTTTGAGCTTGCTTGCATACCCAGTACATCGAGGGGTCAACGAAGGATACGATCTACTTCCTGTCTTGTGATTTTTTGGTATTATTTAGTCTAATTACTGTTTCCATGGATCCCCAGAGTAAGGAGTGAGTAATAATCATCTTTAGGATTAAAGGGAGCCAGGACCCTTGTTTTTTTTCAATGAAAACATATATATATTTCCTGTTTTACTTACATGTAGTTGAATTTCTTTGTACTGCTTATCTTAGAACCAACAAATTGAACTTTCAAGGTGAAGGCAAGTACATATTTCAGATATTAAAGGGTGTACATGTATGTATGATATTTACTGTGGAAGTACAGTGTACATAATTAGTTTCCTCAGAATGTTGATGTAGATATTTCTGTCTTCTAGTTTATACTCATTGGATTGTGCAGGATAGTAAGACAGAGAATATAAGACAGAATTTCATGCAATACAAAGACCATCTAGGATGGAGTCTACAGTATGAGCACTGTCTGTGGCTTAATATATCTTCACTGCCAGGAAGAGTGATTCATACAGGGACTCACATGTTGATCACATAATACAGGGTTGTGTGCATTCACTCTCAAAGAAACTTGAAAAGGGCAGATAAACTTAGATTTACATGTAGTTGTCAGTGTTGATTTTTTTTCCCTCTCAAGTCTCAATTTAGTCAATTACCTGTATATTGAAAAATGAGGATGTGCAAATTTTTTCATTGCATGTATCTACCCAAGATATTTTAAGATATTTTAAGAATTTCTCTTACCTACCAGGCCAGGTGCATTTTTAGAAAGTGAAAAGTTATATATTTGTAAGGCCTGAGTACCTCATATCATTGACCTGAAACATTAAACTCTAAGAATAGCTTTTATCAAGCAGCTGGTTTAATAGTACATCTGTCACCTGATGACATTGTAGACTAGACTGTAATGCACTCATTTGAATGAGCTTTAATGGGTTTAAACTTTAAAGTGTTAATCCTAAGCCTAGTTAATCAAGTTTATTAAGAGCACTAAACAGATTAATGACAGTGCAGCCTCCTCTATTTGTGGTCACTGTGTAAACAACAGTGTTTCATCCTGATACCCTAGATAATACCACCAGTGGCAGTACAGTTATGTAATCAAGTTATGATGTAATCATTGTTATGATGGACCTGGGAAGGTTCACTCCTTTGAATCTTCCATCACCACATAACAGGCAAAGTTAGGATATTTGATTGAATACCTGCACATTTGTGGTTGGTATTTCATTACAGTTATACGCAGATTGGTACAGTCATCAATATGTCATTCTCAACGGACAGGGAAAAAGTCTTCATCATGCATACATTTTTTTGCAATTTATTACTGACTTTTTTTATCATGAAGAGTATTTTAAAGATATTTCTTATTGGAGCTTCAAATGCCATCAAGAAGTAGCACAGTTTGTTTGTGTACCTTTTAAAGACTGCTTTACATTTGGTAGTCTTTCAATGAACAAAACAAATTAATGTTTGAAGATTTTGGTTTTTTGTGCTTGAAATAGCAAAAGGAAGCAGAAAAGGAAACTGTTTTAGTTATATTTAGGTTACATCTAACAGATTTTCTATCTGAACTAGTCTGGATTGTTGCTTGTATCATAACTGTAGATAAGCTTGGCTGTTCTAGACAGAATGAGAGTGTTTATTTAGGTCCTGCGTTGTGTTCATGTCATGAACTTGAGACCCTTGTCTGGACTGAAGTGTCTTTTATTTGCATTACTTTCATTGCACACTAGCTAGTGTATTTTAAAGGGCTTCATTGAAGTCTCAGATCCATCTATACATGTGTGATCTACTATGACATCATCAGGTTACTTAAAGTTCAACATTTCCTCTCGAGTATGATAATGCCCACTTCCTCCTTGTTGTACATGACCTTGCACTGACCCTTTTTCAGTAGAATACGGAATACCGCATCTTTACTTAGCATTTTAAACATTTTTTTTCTTTTTCAAAATGTAAAAATCATTATTACCAGGCTCAAAATTTACAGGGGGCCTTTGCTCATGCCTCATTGGTACCCAAATTTCAATGTTGCAACTCCCACATTGTATGGCACATACATGTACCCTATAACTAGAATTAGTGTGGAGCCGTAATTTGTTGTAACTTTTAAATTATGGTTCAATATAAATTTGTATATGATCAGCTTCTTATCAGAACTCTTTTCTTTTCGTACATTATCACTTGCCTTACCTAGTAACCTATTTTGTTTTGTCTTGTTTTTCATTGACTTATCAAACAGACTCTGATAGGAAGCGTATCGAGGTAGCCAAACCAGTGGTGGAACTCGATGGAGATGAGATGACAAGAGTTATCTGGGAGAAGATCAAGGAAACGGTGAGGATGATAAAGATGAAATATTTGCCCCAGCAAAGAATATCAAGAGCAGACCCAAGAGCTTGTAAAAGAGAGGGCACAGTCTTCCTAATATGTTTCGACAATTAAAACAAAATTGAAAAAAGGGTCATCAATTTAAAGGGAGGGGGGGGGGGGGCACATTATTGTTCTTATGTACTAATTAAGGAGGGAGCATGGGCTAGATGCCCACCCCCCCTAAATCTGCTAGTAACTCAAATATATAATCTCTTGCTCTTTCATTTATTATTGTCCTGTGTGTGTACTTTATACTTTTAAGTATAAAATACAGATAAACCCGAAACGTTATAAAGACCTCTTTAAAACTAACCCACAAATAAGAAGTTAACCTTGATATTAATAATATAACTGATATTACAAGGTAATGTTCATGGTTCAAAAGCCCTTTGTATATTAAGAATTTAAGATACCACTGTACTTAAAAAGAAACGGTTAGATCTTTTTTTCATTTGGTCATTGATATAAATCAGCTCTACAGACCTATCCAAATTCATTCAGAGTCATGACTATCAACAGATGTACATAATGTAAATTATGTAATACAGAGAAATAATGAGGCTTGACAGCATTATATAATATAAAAGCAGAGGATATTATGCATACCTGTACACCTCTACCAAATGTCAATTTCAAAAGTGATCCCCTGGATAAAAATTTCTTAACAACCTCTAAAATGTTATTTTGTCACATATCTTACCGACCTTAATCTGTTGTGCCATCAAATTGTGAAGTCGGTGGTGCAGCAATTTTGGAGGGCCATATTTTATCAAAGATAAATGGGTTTAAGGTTAAGTTTTAGGTAAGAGTTATGGCTAGGAATGATGTTTTGTCCAGGGTTGAAGTTTAAAATTCAGTTGGTGTAGGACTGAGCAATTATCACCAGAGCATGTGTTATACAGCTACAACTGTAATCAGTAGGTAGTGTAAGGATTACCTTGTCCAATGCTGTCCTTCAGCTGTGCTAAAGGAACTATCTTATATCAAGCATCTGTATCTATTCACATGCCTGAGATAACAGTGCTCCTGCATATAGTATTACTAACATATGGAGGTCATGATTGGGGTTATCAAAGCTACACGTGGGCAACGGAACGTGCAACCAATAGACATTAGTATGATGGATTAGCTACATGAAGCTCTGTAAATGTGATCAATGTAACCAGACATGTCATTGCAAATTTACTTGAGAGATGATAGTTCAATCAATCAAGGAAGAGGGGATCATTTATTAATATGATTACTTGAGTTAAAACATATTCCTCTTCTTACATGTACATTACAAACAAACCAAAGTTTGGAGTGGGGAAATTGTCATCATGAAAATATTATTTGTTTAAAAAAATGAACCAAAATTTTGAAACTGGTAATAAAACTAATTTGTTAACTGCCACGTTGCTTCCAGAAAAAGAACAGATGTCAACAATTGGTCCTTTGAAATGAATGAATTGATTTATGAATATCAACCAACACTGTATCATTTGCCTACATGTTCATGACCTTAGACTCAGATCACCCACTTTTGTTTACAAAACAATCAATTGTGTTGTTATATTTTACTCCAATGTCTTTACCATGAATAACCTGCACCATTTGGGTAAGTGCACAGGGGGGGGGGGGGGGGGGGTGTAATAATTCATCTCTTGAGTCAGTCAAGCGTCTTTCATGTCAATCATGCTATTTCATGCACATCCCTTTAGCATTCATGTTTTTCCTTCCGTTAAATGAAAATGTGTCATTCATAAGTGATCAGTCATTCCTCCACAGTTGCATGTCGCATCACCATGTACAGTAGCCTTGAAGGCATAAGTAGTTAAACCATACTGAAAAGATAATCAAAGCATGAATTCATCATTGAAAGAATTTTTTTTTGCCCCTCCACTCGCAATTACAGAATACAAATGTTGCGGTTTTAGGAATTGCAGGACAGATAATTACTTATTATTACAGACCTTATAGGAAGCAACCCTCAAAAATCATTGGAAGTGCTACAGAAATCATTTAGTGAAAGCCTTTGAAATGGAAATGCCCATATGCCCATACTGTACTGATCTGCTACAGTTTACATCCCTCTCATGTCACAGAGTAATTTTTTTTTTGTAATTTTGCTTGCTCATTGGAGAAAATACATTTACCTGATGATATGATTCCCCAAAATTGTCAGTTGGGGTTATCAAGAATTAAAATGACTACTTCAGCAGTAATTCTGAGCCCTAGATATGAGTATGAAATAGATTATCATTCTTAAACCTAGAGCTCTATTGAACCAGAAGCATATTTGAAGTATCTTTACAAAGGTACACAAAGCTTTGAGCTTTTGAAGATTCAATTATTCAGAAAAAGAGGAAGAAGAATAGAATGAAAACTTCAGCAGTTTAATTCAGACACAAACTATTAAATGCATCAGGATCCTCCCATTCACCTGGTGAACTGATAATGGGGTCACATGTGAATGCTCAGTATAAATAATACACCCATTTGTCACTCATCCATTACAAAGCAAATAAAAGACTGAACAGAAATGTATACACTTGGAATGCTGTCTGACAGAAAATATGTGCTTTGAAAAGTTTGAGTAAAGAAAGTGACCTGAACCATGAAGTGTACATGTATGTGTCCAAATGTTAAATGTAACATTTACATAGATTTTTCTTTCTCTTTGCTACAGGCATACATTGTACAATATGTAAAAATACTGAAAGGAGTACTATTGGTCTTGTATTGATTACACACTCGAAATGATAAGATTGTGTTATAATCTAAATCAAATACTGATATATACATGTAAGTTAAGAGGCAATTAAAGCAATAAAGGCACACTGAACTATGGATGGTATCATTGTAAAAGAGACAAAGTTTAGTGTGTAGAGTAGAGTGAGAACCCTTTTCACATATTACATGTAAACTTTGTCCCAGTGATCTATGCAAGGCCCATGTACATGTAGCCAAGTTTATATTTATAGATAAGACTACTACTACTAATAATAATAGAGTATATTAATAAAGCGCATAATAAATTGTAAATTTCTCTATGCGCTTTACAGTTTTGTACAATAATATCATAACAAATTTGAATATATAAACAATATTAAAACAACAATAAATAATACAATAGATAAGCAAATGACACAAAATATTTATGAGAAAGTAAACCAATTAATGCACCTATAATTACACCTACAAAATTAATTGACATTACATATAAACAAATTCAACAAACAGACAGACACTCATAATTGACCCTTTTCATATTGTGACACCAAAAGGGTGAAAAATTAAATTTTAAAAACAAAAACAGTAAATAAAATAAAATATAGAATGTACACATAGTTGAGTGAAGGCAAATATTCTCTAGGCTTTTAGATTTTGTTCATATAGTTAATTCATTGATATTTGATAAGGCACTAAGAAAGGACTTCAGAGTTTACCATTCACAACTAAGTCTGTCCTGTATGATATCAGTTTTACTTTAAGTATTCTGCTTTTTTCATACTATTTGTACATGTAGTTGTGCAGTTGCTGCAATGCTTATGAACTTTTTTTCAAGTGTATACCAATACAGATAAATTAGAACAATTGGAACTATCCTGATGAACTTATTCAACAAACAAAGTTTTTTTTTAACTAGGTGTATTGATTTAACCTCCATTAATACTGTACTATGGTACTTCTGGACAATCTGCTTTCCTGATACTGATGTTCAGTTAGAACAGGGACATCCCTGGTTAGAACATGAGACAGATAGCACACAACTCAATAGACTTAAACATTGATGATTGATGGTAAGGCACAGGGAAAGGTTACACGTGTACGTCACACAGGAATTTGCCCCTTCCAGAATGACTAGACTGGATAAATATATCTCCCTCTACCCGAGTATCAGTTAACATATGGTGCTCAGCTCATCAGAGCATGGCTTGATTAACCAGATACATATCATACATGTACATGGTGTGTAGTGCTTTCTGTAGTCAAGGCTTGATATTAAGTGAAATCATGTTGTACTTTTGGGAAACAAAATTTGACTGATTAGATATTTTTAGTGGCCTAAACTCAAGATATGTAGCTTAGAAACATGGATGAAAATGCTCTTGTTGATTGTTTCACTGACATATTCTCAATCTATTATTTTTCTCTATCTTGCTTTGTTTGTATATCTCTCTTTATCTGAATTTCACTTTATATGTTTTAAAAAATACAAACTTTTATCTCTTTGCATCTCTTCTCTATTTGTTAAAAGAAGATCTATCATCTACGTGTATCTACATGTACATGTATAGTTTAAAAATCATGTGAAAAGTAAAAAAAAAAAAACAAGGCTTAAGATGTACATGTAAATGTACACATATTTAACAAACAAAATTTGTATGTTGCCTGACATGCGCAAGGATTTCTCTTAAATAATTGGTTGCCTGATAAAGTAGTTTGATTGTTCCAGGCCCCTGCTAGTGTCAAACCTTATGCTTGTAGCCAAGTCAAAGAAGGGGAATCCCATATGGATTATAACCTACAAAGTATTATCAAAACATTGATCATGGGGGAACTGTACAATTTCTACATGTCTCTCATGAATCAAACATGTTATTAGACCACCCTCGATCTGCCCTAAAGCTACAGTCCCATATACGTCCCGGACCGTCCCGGACCATCCCGGACCCCATCCGGGGTGATCCGGGATTCGGTCCGTGTTGACACCGTGTTGGCACCGGGGTGGTCCTGGATGGTCCTGGATGGTCCTGGGCGGTCCGGGAGTCGACCCCGGATGTTTTTGACGGTCAAAAACTGCCGGGGTGGTCCGGGACGGTCCGGGACAATAGTTTGATCCGGGGTGATCCGTGTAGCCACCGTGCTGGGTCCGGGGTCATCCGTAGTGGCGCCGGGGCGGTCCGTGTTGATCCGTGGCAGTCCGGGAGTGAGTTATTGACCGCCAAGGACCATCCAGGACCATCCAGGACCATCCAGGACCACCCCGGTGCCAACACGGTGTCAACACGGACCGAATCCCGGATCACCCCGGATGGGGTCCGGGATGGTCCGGGACGGTCCGGGACATATATGGGACTGTAGCTTAAAAGCATCACACTTTTTTTTAACAAAACATCCCGTACCATCCCGGATCACCCCAGACCATGGTCCGGGATGGTCCGGAGTGGTCCGTGCTCGTCCGTGCTGGTCCGGCTTTATATGGGACTGGGGCTTAAGGAACTGGATAAAGGCTATGTAAAGAGACACACAAATTAGACTACCCCACACATTTTCTTGTACAATAATATAAACAGCATGAATAATGAGTTTGCTCAATTGTAGCAGCCTCACACTTAGATTTTTTCTGTGGGTCCAGAGCAACCAAACCAAACCTAACCAAACCAAACCAAACCAAACCAAATCAAACTAAAACAGTTTAGAGAAATGTTTGCATCAAACCTCTCATAAAATTGAGACAAATTGTTGGCCTAGAGTGCACTGGATTCAACCCCCATCGATGTGAAGCCCTTCCTACATTTTCATTATACAATAGTTGTCATTCTATGTCAAAAATTCTCATCAACATATCGTCGGTGGGGTGACAAGACCTTGTATCTCAATTTTTTGATATTTTGATTTTTTTGCATAATTTTGTACCTAATGGCCTACGACACCACCTGATAAATCCATGGAACGCCTCCTTCTCGGTTTTTTCACAAATTCCACACAAGCACCCTTAAACTAAACCTCGTAACTTTAACCCCCTTTGAAACTGCACTGACAAAACCTTGTAACATAAGATACGTAATTTCTTTTCCTCGCAACTCACACACGGCCTAACAGTACCGAAGTTAGTGTATTCAAATCCTCGTAACGTATTTAACCAAATCCTTGTAACTCATTCAGAGTTGAAAGTAAGAACTCGTATCTCAATTTGAATAAAAACTGAAAACTCGTATCTCAATGTAGATCAATGCTAAAAACTCACTTTCAAATATAAAAACAATTATTTTACTGTATTTCAACAATGACATTAAAAATTGTATAAATATTCCAGTTTTAAAAAGAAAGGACGGTGTCACAGCACTAAATTTGTTGAGACAGGAAAGTTTTTTCGCTCTCCTGAAAATTCATGATTTTTGAGATACGAGGTTTTGTCACCCCACCGACGATATATGTTTACTGTCAAACCCCAATGAGCATGAAATTATTTTTTGTTCCAAGTTTGTCATCAATTCATTTAATGTTTTCTTTCATTTTCTTCACTTGTAGTTGATCTTCCCCTACCTGAACGTTGAATGTTTATACTATGACCTGGGTCTTCCTTACCGTGACCAAACCAACGACCAAGTCACCGTCGATGCTGCCGTGGCCATCAAGGAACACAACGTTGGAATCAAGTGTGCTACCATCACCCCAGACGAAGAACGTGTAGTGGGTAAGTTCTCTATGAATCATAGTTGATTCTAAGATCACCCTTAACTCTTGTCCTGCCATAATGAATACAGCCCAGTGCCACAAGGCTAATCCCCATTGCGTCAAGCCACAAATCCCCCCTGTACCAAGTTTATTTTGAGATAATGAGATAATCTGATGGTGCAATCAATAGCATGCGCGAAGCACTCAGCACTGTACAATGAGCATGAACAATATCTGCTATTACGAAAGCGAGCATGCATGCATAAAGCAGCTAAGCAGTGGCTCGTTCGTGTTGAATTAAGCAGCCAATCAAAAGCGCCCTTGCGTGTACAAAGCACTATAACGGTAGCAAGCATGCACACATATGGCAGGATATGAGTTAAATTCTTTGCTACGGATGTTCATTTACAATGTACTTGTAAATCGAGGTTTATACAGATTTTGAGTTCTAGCAATGGAATAGCACTTCAAGGGGAACTTGCACAAATAAAGTGATACGGTTGTTTTTTCACTCATTTTATATTAGAATTCAACCTGAAGGAGATGTGGAAGTCCCCCAACGGAACGTTGAGGAACATCCTTGGAGGAACAGTATTCCGTGAGCCCATCCTCTGCGACACCATCCCTCGTCTGGTTCCAGGCTGGACCAAGGCCATCACCATCGGCCGTCATGCTTTCGGTGACCAGGTGAGACCAGATTAGGAAACAGTTGATTATTAAGATGAGCATTTGTATAACACTGTCTGGATACTGATTCGAAAGCACACAAAGAAAGATAAAGAAAAGATTGGTAGTTCAAATGCTTCCTACATCTATATATGCCAGACATTATGGAAAGGGTTGTTATCCCCTGACTATGGGCATTTCTTGATTTTGCTGTTTATGTAGAAATCTGTTCTCAGATGCAAAGAGAAAGAGAAACATCTAGTTATTAGGAGTGCAAATATGGCTGCCTGGCATGGTTAGAATAAGAAATCATTTTATCTTTTATTTCGCTTGTAGCTATCCATTAATATTATAGTATTTGTGTATAGAAAGTGGTGCTGCAAATTTTTTTTTCCAGTGTCTCAAGACTAACAATGTCTTGAATTTGATATGATTGCAGATGATGTCTGAGGTTCAAATGATATGATTATTATGAAGAGTAATGAACTTTAAAATGTGTCTGTCTGTCCTGGGGCCTATTTCAGAGGTGGATTATTTCTTTGTGTCATACTGATTCTCATGTGGGAATTGTCTTCTACATTTAAGAGTCCACTTCAATTCTGTGAAATGAATATCAGAGAATGGTGTTTTAAACATTTTATTTCACTCTACTCTCCTCTCCTCTTAGTACCGTGCAACAGACATGGTGATCAAGGAACCAGGCAAGTTTGAGTTGGTCTTCAGCCCTGCCAGCGGAGCAGAGCCAACAAGGACAGAAGTCTTCAACTTCCCAGGAGGTGGATGTGGCATGGCCATGTACAACACAGACGAGGTAAAGAAATCTTGATTTTATTTTAATGGGGTTGGGAGGGGGGCTGGGGATGCTCAACTGCAGCAAGTTGAGATTTAATTCAACTTACTTCTCATGCACGATTTTGCAAACAAAGCTAGACTTAATCCCATTTTCTGAAGTTTGAAATTTAATGAGCGATTTGGGTTCTGCTTGCTTATGAATGTTGAGCCATGTGTTTGATCCAAAAAAGTATGCGCTAGAGATGAATATTTTACCTCTTACGAGGCATCCATCATAATATAATATATCTTGTGGGATAGTGAGGGCAATTTTGTCATTTCAATATTCAGTAGCTATAAATAATCCAACTTAATCAATTTTGATGAATCAGTATTTACTTGTGCAAACTTTATGAACAAGATTCCCTGATCTCTCCTCCATTTACTACTGGTCAAGATGTTACATGTTAAGTTAGCTTGTAAAGTTAGTCTCAATATAATGGCCAGTTTAATATTCTTTATAGTTCATTTGAGCAAAGAGAATGGATATACATGTACATGTTATTCAATTCTCATCTATTTATCTCCCAGTCCATCACAGGGTTTGCACACAGCTGTTTCCAGTATGCTCTAGCCAAGAAGTGGCCTCTCTACCTGAGCACAAAGAACACCATCCTCAAGAGATACGATGGAAGATTCAAGGATATCTTTGAGGAGATTTTTGTAGCGTAAGCCTTTTTTGTTTTCTCTGTCAAATTCAACGGATGATATTCACTTTCACTGTATGTAGTATGGTCCCATATTCACAGTGAAGGTTGATGAATGGAAACCATAGGCAGCTTAATTCAGCTCATGTTACAATTTTGGATGTTCTTCCCCCCCCCCCCCCCCCCCCCCCCCCCCCCTCTGATAGATAGATATATCAAGAGATAGAAAGAACGATAGGTAGATAGATATGTTGAGAGATACATAGCTTTAGATAAATAGATAGGTACATGCAGATGGATAGATAAAGATAAATGAATGATACTTATTTGAAATTAGAAGCAAATTAGAGGTAAATTGAGAAGTAAAGGTCATTCTCAGAGATGAGAAAAGCCGACCACATTTAGACATCGATGGAAGAGTGTTTCTTAAACAAGACTGCATTTATAAGCAGTTCAAGTTTTCAATTAGCTGGTTTCTTACAGTTATTGATTAGGGATCAAGTTGGTAATCCTTTCCAATCCCCATGCCTTCAGTGTTAACTGTCTTTTGAATAGATGCACTGTACTATTAAATACAATGGCGATCTGTCTCTTTACTGCATGAGAGCTGTCTATCCTATTCTTGTCTGAAATGCCCTTCAGACACAAAGTAGTTTGTTAAATTCATTATGAAGTTATAAGCCTCAGTAATCTCTATTTGTTATAAATTAACAGTGCATTGGAGCTGTCTACTCTATCACTTCTTTTCTGAAGTGACCACCAGACACAAAGTATTAGTCCCAAGACACTTTTTGTTAAAGCTCATGATGGATTTGTAAGCCTAAACCATCTTCATTTTGTTTTTGATTTTGGAAAGGAGACCAGAAGTAGTAAAAAGTATTTATCTCCATCCACTTTTCCTAAGGTTCATTGCAGCTTTGTAAACCTCAACAATGTTTTTCTTTTGGTGTTCTCTTTTCTTTAGAAACTACAAGAAGGATTATGATTCAGCTGGCATCTGGTATGAGCATCGTCTCATCGATGATATGGTAGCTCAGGCTCTTAAGTCCAGTGGAGAGTTTGTGTGGGCCTGCAAGAACTACGATGGTGACGTCCAGTCTGATATCGTTGCTCAAGGTACTGCCTGATTAAAGCTGTTTGAGCAAGGAACTGGTTTAGAGAACATATACAAAATCAATTTCAAAGTATTATGTGATAGAAAGTGGTAGAACAAAAGAATGAAAATGGAGGAGGACATCACTAAGAGACAAAAGCAAATATTTTGATTCTATGAATCAATGCACTCCAGTAAAAATGTTGCAAGTGATCATTTCATTATCTACTAGTATTCCATAGATGTTTTTGTTATTTAAATTTGTTACTATCGAGTACATATTTGTCAGAACTTTGCCAAGGTTAGCCTTTACAGTAAGTTTACTCCTTAACTAGCGATCAATGTATACATGAATCTATATGTTTTATTTCTTATTTCTATATGAATCAATGCACTCCAGTAAAAATGTTGCAAGTGATCATTTCATTATCTACTAGTATTCCATAGATGTTTTTGTTATTTAAATTTGTTACTATCGAGTACATATTTGTCAGAACTTTGCCAAGGTTAGCCTTTACAGTAAGTTTACTCCTTAACTAGCGATCAATGTATACATGAATCTATATGTTTTATTTCTTATAAAGCGTAGTAATGTAGAAATGCGAAGCATCACTTGAAACTTGAGTGCATTTCAGGTGTCTCTCATCCATTTATGGAGGGCCCTTAGGAATAGCGAAAGCCTTGTGTCATTAAAAATTATACGAAAAGGAATTCATTCTCCATTACTCTATCCTTATATACATTTAAGACAAATTTCATAGTTCTTAATTTGATTTTCTCCATCAGGTTACGGATCTCTAGGATTGATGACCAGTGTGCTAATGTGCCCAGATGGCAAGACCATTGAGTCAGAGGCAGCTCATGGAACAGTAACAAGGCATTTCAGAGAGCACCAGAAGGTAACTATCCACAAATTTGGGTATAACACTTGTGCTTTCAGAAGATATTAATTGTTTTTGGTTGAGTTCAGGCCCTGTAACCCCACACTGACATTTACATGTTTTATTTTAAAGAAACATGTTTCATGGTATGTGGATCTCTTTTGAGACTTATGTGGTGAATATTATTAACATTACTAATTATTGTGATTTGTTGTTATGAGTCTGGAAACTCCTTTTTAAATCTACAGGTGTTACGATCAGGTATTTGAACTTTCAGTTTACTATATTGTAGATACATTGACTTATCTCTGACTAATGAATTACTTGATTTGGTAGTGATTATCCCTGTCATTTGTTAGGCCCATAACATGAACCTCATCATATCAAACTCAGGGAACAAGAAGGCCTTAAAAGCTTTGTACTGTCATCGGCAGCAGATGGGAGAACTATATCCCTGTTACAACAATGTTTTTGTAGTAAAGAGGTTCCTCTATACTTCATATCAAGAAGAGGTTCTAACTATTTCCATCTTCCTTCCTCTCTTAGGGCAACGCAACCAGCACCAACCCCATCGCCAGTATATTTGCCTGGACCCGCGGTCTGGAGCACAGGGCCAAGCTGGACAATAACCCTGACCTGAAGCACTTCTGTACCACCCTGGAGAAGGTCTGTGTGGACACCGTTGACTCTGGCATGATGACCAAGGACTTGGCTGGTTGTATCCATGGGCTCAAGAAGTAAGTCATTTTTCTGACTCTTTTGAACTGATTATAGTTCTTGTTTAATGAAGTAAGCAAATGAACATTATGTTAGAGAATTACTCAAAAAATTCTTCTTGTAGTCAATCAACGGAAAGCTAACATAATTGCACACTAAGCGAGGATGACAAATTTAAAAATGTCTAGATTTGAAATATGAAATTGGTAATATTTTCAATGCAAATAAATTAAGTGAATGTTGGCATGGTCCAGGAGACAGATTATAAGACTGTGCCTCAACATTTCAGGGGTTCACTGCCAGCCATTATACTTTCTTAGCTTGAAAAGAACATGGGAGGATGTGAACAAAATGTAATGAAGACACTCGCCTTTAGTAAGCATGGTACCAGGTATGTCAAATTCTTAGAAACCCAATCATAGGTCTTTTAAAAAAGAGAATAGTTATTTTGATGTGTGTTTTTGTTTCTTTTTCTTTTTGCAGCGTGAAACCAGAGCACTACCTGAACACCATGGACTTCCTCAATGCCATCTCTGTGAACCTGGACAAAGCTCTGAAGTAAAGATAAAAACATAAACCAACCCAAACAAAGCATGAACCATCTTCTGTATGGATCTCTTCATCCCAACAGAAATATACATCACCTAAACCGAGCAGCGTGTGTCTTTGTTGCCAATTGAACTAGTGCCTCGGATTCACAAATGAAATATTAAACAGAAGTCATATCACAGAATCTAACATTCTCACACAGAAGAGGAATGCTCTTTGACAATGAACTGCAGTGACAAGGCTGTATTGATGAGATTTATTTTTTGTGCTTGGAATATGTTTGCAAGGGAGATTTTATGTTCTATGTTTATGTGGCGAGATAGGGATCATAGATTTATCATCAGGGATGGACTCGGGATAGGGATGGGGAGAGCTATTAAGGTAATATCAAACAATTCTTATTCCATTTACTGAAATCATTGAGGATTTAATTGAAGTGATTCTCTATTATTTTTTTAACTTTATCTCTTGAGTATTGGAATGGAGAGATGCAATTTTGCCAAAGATGATAAAAGTTCAGGTTATACTGTATACTCTCTAAAACCCATATTATAACAGAGAACAATGATAGAGAATTTCAATCATTTCAATCATTCGTTCATAATGATCAATATGTGGTGTATATTCAGTAGACTCCTGTTTTTCTTTTAACGACCTCAACTTAAAAATCCCTTAACATTCTTTTTTTTCCTAAAAAATATTGAAATATTTATTTAATTTTAAAATTATTTAATTTTTCACTTGAAGTGTGATTTGTGTTTGTTATTGCAGTGGTATATATTTATAGTCAAGTGCAGGCCAGCTAAGGACAGGTATAAGAGTGTTTTTGTTTTTCTTTGTGCAAACTGTTAATAAATTATATTACTCCAATTATGTATTGGAGATTTCATCTTGAAGAAATATGGAAGGTCACAAATGTAGCAATACATCACATGAGTATTCAGGGATTCAAGACTTAAAAATATAGATTGTGATATATTTGTTAGATACTGATGTTTCTATGAGAAGCTGTATCAGTGTGTTTATTGAGATGAAAGAAATATTTAACAACAGTGTAACTGGCAAATGATTACCTCCTTGTGTCATTAAACTTAATAGGTTTTATTGTATTAACTGATTCTCAACATTTTCTATATGTGATTAGGTAAACCTTAACAATTTTACACATGAATACTAGTTGTTCTGTAGACTTTATACATTTGCATAATTATACATTAGAATAATCGTTATGAACAGCTATGCTGTATAAATATGAGGTTAACTGCTGGATCATGTGATGAAATTGACTGAATATTAGACAGCAGATTTGAGACTATCCTTGGAATAGCAATATGTTTGGGATCTTAGTGGCATCAGATTTGTGCTATGTGCTATGTGGTTCTCTCTCTCTCTCTCTCTCTCTCTCTCTCTCTCTCTCTCTCTCTCTCTCTCTCTCTCTCTCTCTCTCTTATTCCCTCCAGGGTATGTGAAATAGAAGAATATTCCAATGTTATCAACCAAAGGGAATGTTGTGTTTTGTTTTGTTAGTTGTACCACCTTGATCGCCACTGTATTAGATAGGAAATTGAGGAGGAAGCTTTATGTTTCAGCATCCCTTGATGGAATGATCTTGGAGATGTATGGCCTCGTGTGTAGCACAATAAAATAAACCACCAACCACTAGCCACTGCTGTCTAATTCTGATTTATTTTTCTCACTGATGTGTATGTTGTTCCTTGTTTAACTTCCCAGGGGGCCGTTACTCGAAACCGTCAGAAGTGGACATCCCATACAAACTCGCGTTAATTCTATTACACACATTTCAATGGGATGTTTACGAACTTAGACTTATGACGGCTTCAAGTAACGGGGCCCCCTGATGTTGTGTTACATAGAGGGATATATTTTCTGATTATGAGAAGCAAGAAAATTGTAGAGTTTTGTACAAATGGTATTTTTTTAAACTGAAGATGGTAATGGTAGTGATGATTGATTATGTTGGTGGTAGTGATGATGATGATGTTGGTGGTAGTGATGATGGTAATGGTAGTGATGATTGATTATGTTGGTGGTAGTGATGATGATGATGTTGGTGGTAGTGATGATGGTAATGGTAGTGATGATGATGATGATGTTGATGGTAGTGATGATGGTAATGGTAGTGAAGATGATGATGATGTTGGTGGTAGTGATGATGGTAATGGTAGTGATGATGATGATGGTGGTAGTGATGATGGTAATGGTAGTGATGATGATGATGATGATGTTGATGGTAGTGATGATGGTAATGGTAGTGATGATGATGTTGGTGGTAGTGAAGAGGATGATGATGTTGGTGGTAGTGATGATGGTAATGGTAGTGATGATGATGTTGGTGGTAGTGAAGATGATGATGTTGGTGGTAGTGATGATGGTAATGGTAGTGATGATGATGTTGGTGGTAGTGAAGATGATGATGATGTTGGTGGTAGTGATGATGGTAATGGTAGTGATGATGATGTTGGTGGTAGTGAAGATGATGATGATGTTGGTGGTAGTGATGATGGTAATGGTAGTGATGATGATGTTGGTGGTAGTGAAGATGATGATGATGTTGGTGGTAGTGATGATGGTAATGGTAGTGATGATGATGTCGATGTTGGTGGTAGTGTTGATGGTAGAGCTGAGGATGCAATGGTGACAACGATAACGCTGATGACAAGGAAGATGGTGAGGATGATGATGATGTTGGTGGTGGTGATGATGTTAGCACTGAGGATACAATGATGATGATGATGAAGATGATGGTGAGGATGATGATGTTATTAATTTTGTAAAGGATAGCAACTAGAGAATATCGGTCTTTGTGTGATGTAATTTTTTGGCAGATCTGTGTCAATTGGCTTAGTTTATTTCAAGTCTGAGTATCAACATCACCAAATCCCAAAGATTTGATTATTTATAATTTGAATCAACACACATAGAGAGAAATTTGGATTGATAGCTTATTTGGAGAAGAACACAAAAGGAAAAGAAGAATTATTCTAGCGCCATCTACGTATTAGGACGTACATTGCCGTCCGCTTTCATGCAATCATCATGGAGACAAATGGAGAACCCGACCAAAAAATGAAAAAGGGAAGCACGCAAAGCGTTTCACAGTGGTTTGTCGAAAAATCTCAAACTTGCTTGAAACAACAAGATGATCGATTCGCGTGTAAGGCCTTTCTCCTGACAGCAAAGATCCTCTGCCCGCATGACTTCAAAATACAAGTGAGTTAGACAGTTTTTCCAACGTGATATTCAGTATGTGGGACAGAAGACGAAGTAGAAATTGATTGCCCCCTAGTCGGAATTCGCCTAATTGCATATGCAGTGCACTGCCAGTGCCAGCGCAGCGCCAGTTCAGTATAAAATAATAAAGATGGAAGTTGGATCATCTAAGTTCTGGCTTCTGCTATACTCTGTAGAATTAAGGAATAATGGTGTAAAAGCAAAATCTTTTACATAAATTAAACTGCAAAGTAAATTAAAGGAGTTAATCATGTCATGACTCATGGTCACGAACATGGAATTAATTCTTGCATTATTGTTGTAGAACTTGTCAAAATTATTTTTAAAAAGAAGTTTCTTGAAAAATGACCATATTAGCATTGACAAAGTCAAAGACTTCTAAATAGAATAAGGAAGGGGAGAGGGGGAGGGGAGATGTCATATTGTATGAATGATGTCAAGACTCAAGACCATACGCTATTCATTTTGTTAACAAAGTCAGATCATTGGAGCCTAGACTATTCATAGTTTTAGGGGATATTTTTTATTAACTTGATTTGTTGAAAAAAAATTGATTGTAAATAAAAAAACAGATAGATCTATTCACTAATTTTTTTTTGATGTGTGAAATTGCTGTTGAAATAAATCAATGGGTCCCTAACCTACGCCCACATTCTTGATACATGAATGCAAAATATAGATTCTGCAGCTGACTGAAGTGGATGTCACACCAATTTCAAACTATTAGCAAGTTGACAAGAAATATACCTAAACTTATGAAATTTGGGGGCTAATGTCAATTAAATCCTTGTGGCTTATTTGCCCAGATGTTTGCACATTGTATATGTGTCACATGTATTTTTGTTGAGTACATAGCTAAATCACCTGAATGGCCTCTCCGCCATGCTATGCATGAAAAACTTTTTTTCATTTGCCATAGCTCAGGTAAATAGAATACTGATTTGATTTCATGAAGCAGGGTTTTTCAGTGTTCTGTGTCCCAACAATGTTAGTCAGATAGTGAACCTAACTCATCAGGAAGAAGAACAAAAGGAACATAACCCTATAACCGGCAATTACCAGTAAATAGTATAAAGAGCCAGAGAAATTGATTGTGGTTGGGCATTTCGAAAAATCTGATAATCAAACCTAATCTTTTTATTTGGTACAGTATCAGGCATACTGCTTTGAGAAAACAGCACAAGATGTCAAACAGGCAGCATCTATTCTCCTTGAGATGTAAGTATGGATACAGTAAAATTACAAAATTAAATATGAAATGGATATGCTGAAGTTTACTTTTTGTATTTGTCTGTGCTCCTGAGTCAAAACAGATATATGGTTAGAAGGAGGTTTAGAAAATGATGCATGTAGATTAATATCAATTATTTTTATGAAAATGTTATTACTGTTACTGTTACTTAGTTGGTAATACCTTGAGACCTTTCCCAAACTTTTACAATACTGGCTGTTGCCAGTGATAGTGTTACAAGTACTCCAGTGAGATGACTTTTGAATCAGTTTCTTTCAGCCCAGTAGATCTTGTGAATAGGCTCATACAACAAGCTATCTTGAGCAGTGTAATTTACAAACAATTATATGCTTCATTTTGTAGAATTTATTAGAATTCATTAGAAGAAATATATTCCAGCAGTTGATAGTTCCTTGTCTATTCTGTGCTGATCTCAATTTCACCATATTTATTTGATTCTATACTTTGCTATAATTAAATAATTTTATCTTAGATATGACAAGCAATTGGTATATTTTCAAATACACTAATCATTTTTGTTGTTGTCTTATTCCATTTTTACAAGGTTTAAGAATTTCCCCTTGGATGGCAGACTGGACGATGAATTGAAGGCTATCTCAAAGTCATTACTTGGAGACTCCAAGGACACACACGCATCTTTTCTCAAAGGTGATTTTTTTTTAAACCCATTAGGCCATTACCTACAGGAAACAGATGGTTCCTGTATATAGAATGTAGGAATGAGAGAATTCAGTAGCCAATGGATTAAATCTCATACAGTCATCTATGTTGTGAAAATGTTAATCACTTTATCAGAAGTAAGAAGATTGGATATTCAAAACATTTCATAATTGGCCCATGCCTCGAATATCAACAGAATTTCCAAACATGGTGTGGGGGGGGGGGGGGGGGCTCCTACTCTCTGCTATTTTTAGTAAGTGCTGGTTATGCCATGTGAATAGAGTTATAAAAAAAAATTCCTTACACCTGTATATCCTCCAATGAAATGCTGGGAACAAAATGAATCATGTCTTCATAACTTTATTAGCATTGAAGCTAGATTCTTAAAAAAATAATTGTAACAATTTATTAAAAAATGATTAAAAGAAATAATCTCTCTTGATATATGTAAATATGATATATGAAAGGATCAAGCCGAACTCTGATGCTGAGTTTATTCAGTTATTTTATTTTTCAATCATATATGTTTTTCTTGCCTTTTAACAATTTCTTCGATAGATGTGTATGAGCACCTGCCAACCAAGATACAGAGGGAAATACTGGAACACTGTGCAAGTATGTGAATGTGATTACGGATTTTTTAAAAAGTACAGGGTCATGTAGTTCTAAATGTTACTGGGCCGTGATGATCCCATTTGTGCTGTTGGTGGCAAATCCTGCCCAAGAACACCAATGGTGTACCATGCATGTTTGTTTGGACTGGCAAGACTTTCTTTCCTGTAACTGAAGCAAATTCACTTATTGTAAAGATTGTACCCAATTAATTTTTGTAGCCATGATCTGAGAACAATACAATCAATATATATCTCTTGAAAGCTATGAGAAATGTTCACAAACTTTGTGATATTGTAGTGGTTGATGGTATGTTGTAAATAGAATTTGCTTGATACCAGGTACCTTACCTCCAATCACTGAACATGTTCGATTCCATGTGGAGCTCTATGTTCATTTTCCTTTATTTTCCACATCTAGAATTAAGCCAGCAGAACCACAATGATTTAGAGGAGCTTCGTCTCAAGCTTCTCATCAATCAGCGATTTAACAAAGATGGACCGAAAGAAGTGGTATGTTGTAGAATTAAAGACAGAGTTGTATAGCTATATCATTCTTTATTCACCAATCTTGAGTGCAGTTTCTCTTGCTCAATCCTGTCTAAAGAACTTTGACTTTAAAACTGATTTATCTTCAATGACCAAAAATAAGGCTTTGTGTACTAGGTTGCTTTAATGTTGTTCAGAATTCATTTACACAAATTGCATTGGGTTTTCTGGTGATTAACACTGAACTCTTTTTAATAATTATATTAAAGTGATAGATGAGTTTGGTATCTGAGAGGCTTTTAGCTTGTGCAAGACCCTCCACAAAATTCCCTGTAATTCAATAATTATTATGTACTGATAATGCAAATACAAGAATGGTATGTTTTTCTTCTTCAAATATTAGACTTTGTGTGATAATAAAATGATGAATATGCAATAATGTGAAACAAATATGCATTTCGAATGCTTCTTAGTTTATGATATCTCCTGCAACCATCTTTAAATATTGATTTGCGTTTTTCTCATTTTATGACAGTCTCTTCTGTTGAATAGTATCTTGGATATTGAGAAGAAAGAGGGCTTCAAAAATGTGGCTAACCCGTATAGGAAGCTTATGGGTAAGATGATCTTTGTAATAAAGTTGTTTGTTCCCAATAACCATTACCTTATTTACACATTGATTTATGATTGAATTTAGGATTGATTGCATTTATTTTATTTGAAAATTGTTTTCATTTGAAATGAAATTTTTTCCATTGGGAGATGTAGAACTGAATGTAAATATCATTTCTGCGTAAGGGCAAGTAGATAAATATTGCAGAGTAAAAATACCTTTGGTCAAGTGATTTGAAGGTAAGCCTTATTTTTTGAAATCTTTAATATTTTCAAATTAGATTTCATCTGGACATGTTGACAAACAGTTTCAAAGAGTGGAGTGATTTAAACCTGTGATGTGAATAAGGAGCATGGAGTTTTAAATAGGAAATGAAAACAAATAGATAATATTGCATGGAAACAGTTTGACAGTATTTAACACAAAATAACAATATCTTTGAATTCAAAAGAGCTAGGTCATTTGTATTGAAGAAATGTATTTTTTTTTATCATTGCCTTAGTCATTTGAAAAACGATGTAAACCCTGTACATGTGTAAAATCTAAGAAATTTTGTTATGTATATGCAACCAGTTAATAAGTTCTAGCTACTTGTGTATTATAGATGTTAAAGGAAATAATGAATCCCTTTTCTTCCCCTCCCCATCAATCCTGCCATCTACAGTATATGAAGTACTTCCATTTGCACTATCTATGAACAAACTCGGCCAGCACTGCTCCTCCAAGGACAATTCTAAGTGGTTGCACAAGACTATGGAGTTCTTCATCACCATGGCAACACAACCACACCCACAGAAGCTGTCCAGCGGGGATCACATGACCAATATTGTGTTGGGAGTTGAAGGGTCAGAGCTGTCGAGGGGGTCACCGTGGGTCAACCTCCAACACATACTGAAATTGTTTGCCAAGTGTTGTCAATGGGAGAGCGGTTTTATTGCGGCACCTGGCAGGTGAGGATACCCTACCCCTCCTTCCAGGAAATTAGTGAAAGAATATTTAGAGAAAGAGAAGAGGGGGAGAGAGAAAGATGACAGAGGGGGGAGGGACAAGAGGAGAGATGTGAAGAGAAGCAAGAGTAGAAGAGAAGAGAAGATAACAGAAAAGAAAGAATAGTTTTATACCAGCTTAGAGAGAACAAGAAATATTATTGAGGAGGTACAACAGAATATGGGATTCAAGTACGGTAATGTGGACGAAAGATTATGAAAATTTAGAAGTTAAAACATACAATATTGACAAGTACAAGGAGTCATTTGATCATATTGCCATGCTTTTTTGTTTTGGTCTCTAACAGTGGCTTAGGGGAGAGCTGGTCAATCATCCAAAAACATGTTCAGAGACACAGTATTAACAGCAGGGAAGAAGGGGAGAAGGTGCCCCCTAAAGCAGCCTTTTATGCCAGTCTGGTTCTTCTTCTTAGGGCTTCCTACCACTATGCATCCATCATGAGTCCTCAACAGTATGGAGGTAAGTCCAGGAGGTTTTATTGATACACCCTATACTAACCTATGCCAAACTAGTGCTACTCAATAGGACTTCCTCCACTATGCCTCCGTAATGAGTCCTCAACAGTATGGAGGTAAGTCAAGGAGGTTTTGTTGATACACCCTATTTTAACCTATGCCCAACAAGTGCTTTACGGGGTTAGAAATTATGTTGGGAAGTAAAAAAATATTAATAATACCTTATTTCAAACTCTGTCTTTTAATGTATTTGAGGCTGTACCCATCTTCTTTGCCAGTTTAGTGTCATTAGGTTTTCCTACCACTTGCTAAGACTACATCTGGCTCCACTATCTATTTCCTTTCCAATCATCATTTTTCTAAACTAAACCTAGATAAAAGAAAATTAAGAGCAAACTTTCTGCCTGATTCTAGCAAAATCGGCTAGTTAGTGGGGAAGGTTGATAGATGTCAGTTTTATTTTTAAAATTCCCCATGCCAGCTGATTTTTTCTGTCTTTTTACCACTATACATCCACCATGAAACCACATCAGTATGCAGGTTAGTCAAAGAAAATGATTATTGTTCGCTAAACTGCAAATCAATGACATAAATAGCCACTATTTTTTTTACTCTATTTTTCTCAAGGTAAATGTATGTACCACTCCTAGATAATTTACACTGGTTCACAACGCTTTGTGGACAGAGTGAGACTACTGGTAGTCGTAAACTCACCATGATGGGAGCATATACATGAATATCAGTCCCTGGTATATAGCTTGTACAATGATTACTAGAAAAAACTTCTTTCTCTATATTTCTCAGGTTCATCTAGTCATCACCATCAATCCCACGTATTGCTTGAAGACCTTGAACCCAAGAAACGGTCCAAGAAACACAAGCACACACACAAGAAGCGCAAGTTAGAAGCAGACAAAGAGACCCATATAGTGAGTGACATATTCTTTTAGCATGTTTTAGTTCTTTACCTGCCAGCTCATCTGCTGCTGTGTAAAAGATAATCACCAGCACTAACACTTCTGTGTCATAGTTGCATGCTTAAACATCACAGTAATTCCAGTAATTTCTTCCTACCAGGTACCCATTTACATCACCAGATCACAGACATTGTTTCTTTTGAAGACACTCTGTTTTATTGATCTGAACATGTAGAACGAGAAACTACTATACTGTGCTTGATAGAATATCTTGTGTGGTTGATACTCTAATTACATATTTAATCTAACATTTAGTTTTCATCCTACATAATTTTGTTAGGATTCTGATGGCTCAGACGACGTCTCTGATGTGATCCTACCCTCAGAGATGACTCCTCTCTCAGCCGAGATCACTGAGGCCTTCCACACTGCCATGAACTGCTGGCGACTACTCAACTCAAACGATACATTCATCAAAGGTCTGTTCACATTGATTCATGTCACAAGGTTTATGATCCAAATTATAGAATGATGTAGATTATTGTCTGTATTAATTGGGATTTACAGATCTTACTTTATTATGTAAATTATGCAAATCTGTTCTCATCTTTCAGTTTGATCATGTGGTCTAAAGGAAGGTTTCACTTTGTATTTTGTAAGACACTGTTCAATCCATTCATTCATTCAGAGGTGTAGATATCAGTATCTTGTAGAAGTTATTGTTTTGCCCTACTTAGTACCATGAAAATACAAGTAGAATTGTAGAGTGCTTGTAATCACATCCTGCAATCATGTTTTCTATCGTAGGTAATCTGTCTGAAAATGTTGTCTTACAGTATGTGCTCTTTTGAGTTTGTTTTGCAGCACTCACCTGTACCATAATAAGATTTGCAAATTGATATTCAATTTGCTTCTTGAATATTGTTTCCTGTAACTTGTACCAAGATGTCACATGTTAAGAGGCTAAATTGAAATCAGCACATTTAGAGAGAGTTATCTTACAATGATATATTTTTTATTATAGGAAAACATAAAGCCAAATAGAACTTCTCTACATAGTTTGATCAATGAGAGAGGACCATTCTCCATATTTGCCCATGACTATGCACAGTACTGCCAATACAAATTTCACCTTCAAAGATTGGTTGTGCTAAAGATGATTGAATATATTTTCTTCTGACAGACTTCACCTGGTTGTTGCACAGATGGAAAGCAGATACATGGTCCTGGTTCAATAGCTTCCAAGCTGACAGACTCTTTTATCTGGTAAGTATATGTTGGTGTGAGGTTATTATTAAATTATCTCTTTATGGAAAAAGTGAATTTTTATGACAGAAAAATCATACCGAACCAAATAACCTCAAACAGAAGGTTTGAAACTACAAACAGATTTTGGGTAGAAAATGTGTAATAGCTGTGTAATGAGCAACAAAGTAGGAGAATATTGAGATAATCATATACACAGCACATGGTCTCATTATTGCAGTATAGTTTCTGGCACATGTTATTTCCAGCAAGTGTTTGTTAGTTTGTTTATGGTTTAAACCACCCACCTTCTGTGTGATAATAGATGGAATATTGCTTTGAGACAATTAAAAAAAATATATATACATATATTACTTGTAACAGAACACAAGATTAACTTCAAGAGGTTATCCTCCAGTTGGAATTCCAATCCTACTAGACATCATGTGGTATGATGTATTATTACCCGTATCAGACATCTGAGCTGGTCATTTACAAAACCGTATTGCCCTAGTTTTCACTAGCAGTGGGAACGGAGGGGTATATTCTTTGTATTTTCCTTGGTCTCCCTGTGCGTATTGACTTTGCATGTAGAGACGAGTGAAAATATACCTTGGTATTTTCCACGGTCTCGCATCCGGGCATCTTGTATTGACCGCGCCGTATTTTTTCATTTTCATTGCGCATCTATTATGCGTACGAGAACCTGAGCACTTTGCGCGCACTCTATTGTGACGTAATAATCACACCAAATGCACACTGTTTGCAGTGTATCGAAAATTGTGTCAAGCACTGGATGCACAGTGCTGGTAGTTTGTTCAGTTCTTGAGATTGTCATGGTGGATTTCTGTATTTGCTCTAGATGTCTGATTTGGATAACAATAAAAATATTGACTGGCTTTACTTTCGAGGGATATCAGAAATATTGACCGCGCTAAGACCATATTGCCCTCGTCTTTCGACTCGGGGCAATATGATCTGAGCTTGGTCAATATTTCTGATATACCCCTCAAGGCCAGTCAATATTATATAAATATAAATTCTTCTTATATATTATAAAACAATTTGTATTTTGTTTTCACAGGGTGAGAATGTTCAAGCTATTTCCATGCTGCAATCAAGGTTAAAAGCAGAACAGGATGATACAGCCCTTGACAACCCTGATCGAATGAAGATTCTGATTCAACTGGCTTGTATCTATCAGTCTATGGCAAGGCTAGCTGTAAGTTCAGTTCTTGGTCAAGTGTGATGTTATGATGAAGTCACAGTAAATGCAGGCTGCACTACCTGTATCATCTTTTAAAACATTGATGTTTCATTTATTTAATATGATAATCTGGCTAAACAGCACTGACTGAAATTATTACATTGTAAACATCATATACATTAAGTTATGTAAATATTGTAAGTACTGTTTTTATTTGGATATACTGGTATGTGTTTGACATAATTGTCCATCTTTCAACTATTTTTGATTGAAGATATTGTTTTGGTAATCATGATTAGACTATAGTATATTCAAAGTGCAGATCAGATTTAAAATTATCTGTTTCATGGGCCATTAGTCCTGTGTACTTCAATGAAAATTATAACAATTTGGTAACAATTTGGTTTTGGTAGAACACAATTTTCTATAGACTCCAGCCCATATTATCTGTAGCTGCATATATTCAAGGGTTTTGGAAAGTAAAGTGAATGACACATAATGAGACAGATCTGAGCACACAATTATTTGTATGGCTACCGGTAGATTAATCTGTTGACTACTGGATTCTTTCATTCCCATTGACTTAATACAGGGGCCAACCGGTTCCCATAGACAATGGGTTAAGTGGATCATCAACACCTGTTACCATGTCAGGGAAGAGATTTAAAAAACGGAAAAAGAAAAGGAATTATTGGGAAAATGAAATAATAATTAAATTTGATCCACTTTTTCAGGATGCATGTGATTGTGTTCTGCAAGCCATCACCATCATGAATACCACCTATGTGGAGGGTAATCCAAGCAGGGGCATAGTAAGTGAAGGATCATTGACGGGGGCAGGGAGATCTGGTAGACTACTTCATATCCTTTCAGCCAGTCCCTCTATGCTGTTACCTTACTGTATACAACTGGTGCTGCTTGCATTCAAGGTGACTATCTTAACAGAGAAAATAATTGTCTTCATTTTCCAATCTAGAATGCTGAACAGGCAAATATACTGTAATCCTGAAAGAATTGAAGAAGAAAAATCATGCAGTGGAATCAAACACATTTCATAATTCCTTGCCAAAACTCTTCTGTATGAACCTTTATTGGCGATGTTAATCAGCAGCTTTACTTCTGGTATAGAAAAAATGTATAATATACGTTTTCCCTCAAGTTTTTAACATGCCATGCCATAAGGCCTAAAAAAAAAATTGATGACTTGGCGTAACGGGTCACTGAAAATTAGGGTAGGTAGGGCGATTTTTTTTTTTTTTTTTTTTTTTTTTTTTTTTTTTGTTGTTGCTTATATTTGCATACATGAAATTAGCCATTCATACACATACATACATACAGTGGCGTAGATAGGTCCTCAGACCTTGGGGATGATCTGATGAGAAGGGTAGACCACAATATGTTCAAATAACTCCACGCACACACACACACACACACACACAGACACACACATATATGGACACACACACTGTGTGAGCAAAGTGAGCAAGAAATTGTTGAATCTTGATCACCTTGGGACCTGGGGGATGCATACATACACCTGCCCCCCCCCCCCCTGCATACATACATGTACATGTACATACACCCTCATGCACATAAAATGCAAACATACGAACGCATTAATAGGTTTCCAACAGACCCCAGCCTAAGATATCTCAGACACTGTCTTCAACAGGATAAACAGGTGAATATGTAGGTTTAGAAGGGGCTGTTCACAAATATTAGTATTTTCACAATGTATTGACTAGCATTTTTATAACTTGTCTAGAGGTTAACATGTTAACATGTTAACATGTATCCAAAATCTTGAAGAATGAGGGTTGAAAAGAGTAGCCAATTACAACTTGTGAAAATATTTACAATTGTGAATGGCTCTGTAATAACAAACAGTTAAAAAATGTCTCCAGTATTTCAGAATCCTTTATCAAAAAAAAAAAAAAAAAAAAAAAAAAAAGCGTAGGGTCGGCGATAAAAATAGGGTCGGGCGGGTTACGCCAAGTCATCAATTTTTTTTTTTAGGCCTAAGCATCTTGACACATTATAAAATGAGCCCTTAAATTACTTTAGCCCTGTGACCACATTGTATGGATAAGAGAAATATGAGATTGAAGGTTTTGTACACCCGCAGAGGATTAAAAAAGATGTAAGGAAATGAAGCTTGAATTATGGACAAATGCACGAGTATGCCATGTGACAAACTGGCTTTGGTTGATTAATAGGTACCATTATGAATAATCAACCAAACGCTCTTCTCTTTACAAACCGTAGATGTGTAATTATACAACCTTGATGTTCATTAATGGATCGTAGTATTCTTATTGTTACAAATGTGATAAAATATTCCTTTCTGAATTTTACTAATCTGGTTTGCTTGTTTTCTTGTAGAAACGTGTCCTTCACAGAGCAGATTCCAATGACACTGGACTAGGTCACCTGATTGTCTTGATGCAGTATTATTGGTCGAGAGAAGAACCTCAGTTCAATGAGGCCATCAGGAGAATCAGAAAACAAGGCAGTTTCTTCTACCACTGCTTTCTCAACTATGTTGTCAGTATCCTTATTAATTACAAATATATTTTCAATTATTCAATGATTTTAATTGCATATAATTTTAAGGTGGATTAATGTATGTGATATATGTATTGTAAGTTTATATTAGGTATTTATTTTAAAGTCTTTATTATAGATAGTGTCTAATTTACTTTTTAGCTGAGTGTATTTGATGAGAGAGAAATGAATTACAATAAATATATAAGCAAAAACTTAAACAGCAATCAACTTGTGAAAAAAGTGATAGTAAATTGATGAATGGTAGGGCATCATCAATGTGTCAAAGGAGCAAGAATATTTGGAAATTGTTATTAATGCTGATGACCTCTTGTTTCTTAAATTTAATTATACACTTTTTGTTGTTCTCGAGTCTAAAGATGAAATATAAGTATCTGATTAGGAATTGCTGTTTTCAGGGAATCATGAGTGAAGCACCATATCATATATTATAACTGTCTGTGTCTCATTGATTTATTAAATGGTTTCAATTTGTCATGAAAGTAGTAGACAGTACTTAGAGTCGCTGCTTGGCAAGCAGTAGATGGTAGGTTCATATCCCGCTGGTTCCAAACAGTTTTCTGACTTGTTTTCAATGCAGGTGATCTTTAATACTGGGTGCAAGCAAAAAGTTTCTTTACAAAAAAAAAAAAATCATGTTTTTGAAAAAGATACATTCCTTATCTTAATTCTGACTAGACATTGATATCCTGGAAGAGTTTGCTCATCTGAAAACAGAAGATGGAGGAAAGGTCAATCTGGATCTTCTTCCTTCCTCTTCCGGTGTCCAAAGGTGAGAATATTGTATACCTAAGGGGTATTGTGAATGATATATTTGTAAATGATGTACTTGCTTGATTTAATTATATCCCCTTAGCAAGTTGATACTTATCAAGAAGTATTTTTATATATGTCCATAACAAAACGTCTACCGGTATTAAAGATAAAAGGTATGCAATTTCCCCCCCAAAAATTCATGCTGAATCAAAACATTCTGTATGATTGCATGACGGATGCTCCAGTGAAAACTGTGTTCAATTTCTAACACCTGTGGAATTCCAAATTTGAATCGTAACCCACCCCAATACTTAGCCATATTTCTAACTCAAAACCTAACTAGAAATTTAAATTTACTGCTCACCCTAACCATATAACTTTGATGAAATATACCCTGTAGCATATGTTTGATCACTGTATATACACTTGAGCTTGTGATTTAAGGACCAGTATTGGTACCAGTATGCATATATTACTAAGATTATATATCTGTGGCATATATTATGAGAATGATTGATTTTTCTTCCATCTCCCAGGCAACGGACAGTGACGAGAGGAGTAACGAGAGGAGGGAAAGAAGATTTCCGTGCTGGTATGGAGAGACAGGTGATGAGAAGCAATGATAATGTGGAAGCCGTCATCATGAAGTTCCTAATGGAAGAAAGAGACTCAATCAAACTCACATTTGCTGATAGCTAAGAGAGGGCTACATATGCCTGTGACCTGGAGAAAGCAATAACATTATGAATATTGTAGGATTGTATAAATCATGTGTAATTCAGACCTGAACATTAGAAGGAAGAATTTGAAGGGAAAGAGAGACTCTATCAAAAAGCACATTTGCTGAGACTGGCTGAGAGTAGACTGGGTAAAATAAGTGAAATATGAACATTGTAGAATTTTGAAAATTATGAGTAATTCAGACAGGAACATTCAATGGAAGGATTTGAAACAAAGAGTAGTCCTTCTTTGTTTACATTTCAATGAAAGACACAGATTTCATCAAATTTATATTTGTTAATGACTGATCTGAGATCGGTCTTTCAAGGAAAGAGTAATGGAAATATGAACTTGAGTGTGTTTCTATAAAACTGTATAATTACCTATGATTTAAATAGAAAAGTTGCCTGGGATGATTTGAAAGAATGAGTCCTTCAATCTCAAGGTTTCTGATAGCTGAGACAGAATAGATTGATGGAGTCTGTCATTTACCCTTTCAATGCTTTATAAAGTTTTAAGGGCCGAAATTTTGATACTGAATATGATGTATTTTTCTAAGAAAAACCTTTCTTTCTCCTCAAAATTCTATAAAGTTTCATGAATTTGAAATTTTGATGTAGGACAATTTTTGTCTCATGAAATCTTATGGCCACATTATGAGCTAGATCTATTTTTGACTTTGAAAGAAATTGATATTTGGATTTATATGGGATTTCAAAAATGTTGATATTCCTAATTGGGGTTCCAAACTGTCGTATAGATAAGAGCATCAAAATTGCAGAAAGTCTGAGATTAGGCCTCGATTGGCTGTGAATCATAGTGGTGTCATACTACCGGTAGTTGCACAACTGGCCACCTACTTTTGAATGATAAACAGATATATTAGAGTGATTTAATACAAACTCATATTTGTAGATTAATGAGAACTTTAAAAAAGTTCTAATAATATCTCTAAGTTTCAGTATTATCAAGATTATAGGCATATTAAGAAGGAAAAAAACAGTTCCTACAATAAATTAGTGCATTGCAATTCCATTTTTTTCAAATCCTTATATTTTTTATCATGTGTGTATAAATCTTTCTTGATAATACAGTATATTGTTGAATGGTACAGACCATTCATTTTCAGCATGCATATCCCGCTGTCTTGCTTGAGCAAGGGAATGGATTTCTCACTTCTGTAAATAAATGTACATTCTTGTATACCTGAATTTTATTGTCCATTGTGTTTGTATTGTACCTGTATTTTGTTAATTGTTGTTTTGTGCTAATTGTGATATATTTTCATATATTTATTTGCCATTCAAAGCATTAGGTAACTTGAATTAATTTCATGGACTGGCAATGGTAAGGGAGCCTAATAATAATAATATTGGATTCTTATATAGCGCACATATCGACCTTGCAAGGTCCTCAAGGCGATCCAACACCTACCGGTTCACATTTAACACCTGGGTGGAGAGTGGCAAATACTGCATATAGAATTATGCAGTGGTGTAGTGTGAGTTTAGCCATAATTGAAGGGGGGGGGGTGGTGGTGGTTGCCCATGGGGGTGTTTTACAAAGACTAAGATCGATTTAACCATGGCAGGCCGTTCATGCCACTGTTTGCTCTCACCATTTACTGGCATTGGCTTCTCAAGGGACGTACAAATCATAGTCGCAAATCTACAGCATTAAATTTTTTTGATAATTCATTATTGAAGGAAAAAATATTATTATCTAAAGATCATAATGGAAGGAGCAATTAGTAGCATGAATGGCCTGGCATAAATAATATGTCCAACTTAAGGTCGATCTTAGTCTTTGTGAAACACCCCCTGGTCTTACTAGATCAATGAAATAAGAGAAGAGAAGAGAAAGCAACTGACCACGTGACAGGTGTGATTGGGGATTGCATCATCTATATTTCTTTGTTTTGTGTAGCATTCCCCCTCGCCCTTTTTTTTAAAAACAAAATCTGAGAACCCTTATGAAATTTTTCTGACTCACATTTCTAATACTGTAAAAAACAACGACATATATCCCCTTCCTTGACACACCATCGATTCTCCACTATGAGTACTTACTAGAACTTTTTTAGGCAATTTAGGCACAGTTTAAACTTTAAGGGTAGGGACCCCCATGACCAGTATTTTTTCTTTTCTTGTCTAATCTGGCATCTTTTATATCAAAGCTCTTTGTATAGTTCCCCTCATCCCCTGTATTTCCTAGTAAATGCTCTGATGTTTTACTTCTCTGATAGTTTCAATTGTTAAACCCTCCCCTTCATGATCACATCCCCTCCCCCCCCCCCCTCTCCCCCCTCCTCCCCTTCTCCCCTCCTCTCCCTTTCTCCCCTTCTCTCCCCCTCTTTCCCCTCTCCCCCCTCTCTCTCCCCCTGTCTCTCTGTCTCTCTCTCTCCACTCGGATGCCGTACAGTACCACGTACCACGTTCGTGCGTGTCGACGTCGTACGTACGCGTACGTACGTACGTTCGATCGCATAGCAACGTAACGCGCTGGCGAGTGGTGGTCTAGGATAAATCTCGGATAAATTATCTAAATTAACATGGCTACAACTCGAATAACTACACAGTTACCACCAAACATAGATGTCACAAAAGCACCTCTAGCTTACGGGGACAGGGCTCTCCCCAAATTGGTAAGAATCGCCTGATATGATGATTGATATTGAGAGTTGTAAAATGCAAACAGTAAAATGAACGCATGGGACTGAAGTGACATCTGAATTGAGCCAAACTGTGCAGTGCAGTGCAACCAATCCATGACCCAGGCCAGTTCACAATTCAATGTCATGTAATTTTGTTGTTGTATTGTGTAGAAATATTGATGAAATATTTTGTCCAATGGAATAGTGTATTCAATTTCTAACTATTAAAAAAAAAAGGGGGCTATGATGTCAAAATAAGAACTAGACCTAGACTAGTAAAGTAAAGGCGAAAGCAGTTTTGTCTTATTTTTTTAAACTTTAATTTTAAAGTCTCAATCTTAACTTCTCAAGTCAAGAAGAGAAAACGGGCTCAGTCTCACTCTCACTCTCAGTCAGAATAATTACCATAATTTCTCTATTAGAAGAACTACCTTGAATTCAGGACTCCATCTTCTATCTTCAGGAAATAGGCCTACTGCACATAGTCTAGGCCTACATTTTACAGATTCCAATTTAGTCTGTTGTCAAGAAGAAGATGAGTCCAAGGAGGGGGGGGGGGGGGGAGGATTGTCGGCCTTAGCCTTCACACTTTACAGTTTGAAGGCTCGGCTATTTAGATCAACTTGAAAGGATTTTAAACTATTTTCTGTTTATTCTTGAATTGTTCCTATGTGCCAAGGATCTCAAAATCCCTGTAATTTTCACAAGAAAACAGTGGCTGTGTCATGATTTTGCTTGTTGAACTGCTCTGACAAACAGCTTGAGCACATTTTTTGGCTGTAACTATTTAGTATTGTGATGTTTGTTACACAAACAATAATCTTCCTTGTAAATCAAGCTTCTTACCATTCTACTTAAACTTTTTTTTTATTGTTCAGAATCGTGAGCTGAAGGACCCAGAACTCATCACAAGACAAAGAGCTCTAATGACGTTATGTGACTATCTTCATGATCCAGAACACATTGCAGATGCACTACTTAAAGTTGGTAAGCCTTATAAAAGTAACAAATAATATTTTGACTCTTGAGTTTATTAATAGACAATAATGTTAATGAAATGAGTAGACCAAATTTGTTCTTAATATTCAAATCATTGATGCAGTTTGAATTGAGTTCAGTTTTTTCAAATATATATGTTGTTAAGTAAATATATTTGATCAGATTTGTTATTACTTTTTTATACAGATTTTTTTACCATCATGACCCTATATTTAGGTTACTGTTTGGTATTACATCATGTCTATAAATAGACTACATCTGTTTGACATAGAATACAAAAGTATATAGTGTTACTGCATGCTTATTTGCATGTGTTATAATCCTATTTGATGTGTGTTTGCAATTCTCAGGTGTAGCTGAAAGCCTTAAAGCTCTTTTGAGTGATCCAGATGGAACTGTTAGGCATAAAGCAACAGAGGCATTATACATCATATCAGGTAAGTTACCTAGGCCTAGATCCCTAAAACAAAGCAAAGAAAAGTAATCTAGTTGTTAGTGATTTATTTATTTGAATATGTTGTTAATTGATCAATGAGTGTATTATTAACAGAAATAAAACATTTGCCCAAAGATAGATGATCATTTGAACTTGCATGTATACTGGTGTGTAGGTCATATGTTAAAAACGATGGACTCAACTTTGTAGTTCAGAAATTTGTGAGGGAATGTGTTTGTGTTGGAAGGTGGAAAAAACATACAACTCAGCCAGTTACACTGCAAAGAAGTTGAGTTAGTTATTACAAGAGACTAGCATATCACTTACTCAGGGCTACTGTTATATTTGACCAAAACATGGTTAAAATAAATGTTGGATATTGTTACAAATATGTTGATGTAAAACCTTTTTCAAAAGATGACATAGAAACAGGTCATCACAATCATCTCCCATCTCTCTTCTCCAGGTCACAATATTGGAAGGGATGCCTTCATTGACTTCAGTATCATCTTCCCGCTCTCCAAGCTGTTTGATGATGAGCTTGACATCGTGAGACGGAACGCCCACATGGCCATGGAGATGCTAACAGAGTTCCACCCCGGAGCCGAGGGGGTGGTAGAAACCCATCTTATCCCAATCCTGGTGGACAAACTCAAGGTTGAAGTGGATGAAATCAAGGTACAGGCTTCAAAATAGTGATTGCTCTTAGGAATTTGTATAAATGGCGGTAGTAGTAGTAGACATCTTTGCCAGTACAAGTGCTTATATTTCCCTGGACTTCAGGATTTTATTGGTGTACTATATTTAATAAAGACTGTAACTTGTCTCGTCCAGTGTTAGTTTGATGGACAAACTAAACATGTAATTAGATGAAATTGAGGTATGGTCAAAAAGCAGTATGAGAAATAGTTATCTATTTTTATTTGTTTACAATCAGTGACAATGTTTTTGTTTTGAAACTGATTATGAATAACTATTTTTATGCCTCCGCCACCGAAGGTGGTGCCGGAGGCATCATGTTTTCGGGTTGTCCGTCCGTACGTCCGTACGTCCGTCCCGTTTGACCGTTATCACAATATCTCAAGAACCATTTAAGATTTAAACTTAAGACTCGGGAATAGTATTTATCACCATAGGAAGACGATCTGATTAGATTTTGGAGTACGTAGGTCAAAGGTCACAGGTCACAGAGGTCAACTTATGAAATTCCTTGTATTGAGTTTGTTAGCGCGATATCTCAAGAACCATTTGAGATTTAAACTTCAAACTTAAGGATAGTATGTATCACCATAGGAAGACGATCTGATTAGATTTTGGAGCACGTATGTCAAAGGTCAAGGGTCACAGAGGTCAACTTATGAAATTCCATACATTGAGATTGTTATCATGATATCTCAAGAACCACTGGAGATTTAAATTTCAAACTTAGTGATAGTGTGTATCACTATAGGAAAACAATCTGATTACATTTTGGGTCACGAGGTCAAAGGTCAAAGGTCACAGGGCTCATTATGTATGCAAAAACAGCTTGTGATCGCGTTATCTGAACAACCGATTGATGGATTCCTGCCAAACTTTGGTCATGTATGTATCTTGCAGAGCTGATGAACTGATTAGATTTTGGGGTCACGAGGTCAAAGGTCACAGGGCTCATTATGTATGCAAAAACAGCTTGTGATCGCGTTATCTGAAGAACCGATTGATGGATTCCTGCCAAACTTTGGTCATGTATGTATCTTGCAAAGCCAATGAACTGATCAGTTTTTGGGGTCACGAGGTCAAAGGTCACAGCGCACATTGTGTATGCAAAAACAGCTCGTGATCGCCTTATCTCAAGAACCGATTGATGGATTCCTGCCAAACTTAGGTCATGTATGTTACTTGCAGAGCTGATGAACTGATTAGATTTTGGGGTCATGAGGTAAAGGTCAAGGTCATGCGGCTCATTATGTATGCAAAAATAGCTTGTGATCGTATTATCATTAGAACAGATTGATGGATTCCTGCCAAACTTAGATCATTTATGTATCTTGCAGAGCCAATGAATGGTTCATAAGATCAAAGGTCATGGGCTCATTATGTATGCAAAAATAGCTTGTGGACGCATTCTCATTAGAACTGACAGATGGATTACTATTTAACTCAGGAAATCTTGCAGAGCCAATGAACTGAGTAGATTTTAGGGTCATGAGGTCAAAGATCAAAGGGTCATATATGTATATGAGAAATTGCTTGTAATCACGATATTCTGAGAACATGTTAATGGATTACAATTGAACTTGAATTTGAAAAATTTCTTCCGTTTCGGTTTGTAAAATTGCTCTATGACGGAGGCATCATTTTCGACTGCGCGCAGTCGAATTCCATCTAGTTCAACATAATATCACCAATAATGGAGTTTGCTGGAATGAATTAGACACATGTTAATGGTAGGCAGTTGTGCTTTCACCGAAGGTCATTCTTTGAATTTCCAGTATTTTTTCAGGAACTGAATCTGTGGACTGCCTAATATTATTTATTGGTATATCATATTTATAGACACTGTACATGTGACACAAGTCAATTTGTCTGTTCCATAAGTCAACCAAAGTGTAGAAACAGTTTACAGTTTACTTGTGATGAAACATAGATTTGTTGAGATATGCTTTTGAGTAGTGTTGTGTTGAATGCATGTCTTAGTAAAATTGAACTCCTCTGCAATTTGTTTTGAAATAGTTACATTATATGAGTTCGTAATTATCGTTGTTTGATTATAATTTATCGTTCATCAGCAAATAAAAGTTTTCGTTCTGTTATTTCTGCAGGAATATATTTTGGACACCCTTCATTTCTGTATGAGACTAGATCAGGTCCAGGCACTGATTGCTGGAGCAATGGAGGTCTTCACTGAACTTCTCCTCCATGAATCACCTATCATCAGAGCAAAGGCTGCAAGGGATGTCATGGACCTGAGGTAGGTTCCATTCAAGTGTCATTGGTAAAAAGACATAAGATGCTTCCAGTTCAGTTGTATTGGATTATGATGTGATAAATGAGCTGCTTGAGAATTAGTACTCAACATTCACAAACATTTATTACAATTTGGTCGAGGGGAAACATGTCTTAAACACCATAAGAGATGCTTTATTCCAGTTTACTCACTATTAGCCAATATCTCTCATTTACCAGTCTCAGTCCATAGTATTATTGATATATGTTTTGTAAAAGTTTGTTTCAAAGCCATGAGTTTTACTTCCATTGCATATATCAAGAAACTTGATAAAGACTTCTAATTTTACAAATAGGAGTGAATGAAACTGCCATTGCATCATGGCTTTATGGCTCTCAATATGGTATCAAAAGAGTGGGTTGATTTGTCACTTGAACAGTTTGAACATACATGGTTGTTCAATGAACATTATGTTGATAGCTTTTGACTCTGTAAATTATACTTGTATGTCCAAGCGACTGGAGCATCAGGATGGTCCACAAACTAAAATTAAAACATATAAAATTGGAATATGGAAGAAGTATGAGCTGATGTATGCAAAACTCAAAGTCCCTTGTGGTCCCGCTCCAGGGCTTCCTGAAGGGCTCTAATTAGGTTCTTTGATGCACTCTTGTTTAATCTGAGCTATAGTTTTAAGCATTTTGAAAAAAACTTTATGATTATTTTGTTGGTTGAGAATGAATATTAACCTGCTATTGATTTTCAAACCTGTACAATCAAAGTTCAGACCTGTTGCTGTTACTTGTTTAAACCCCTTGCTAACCACGCTAGAACATAGATCCTTTGTAAAATTATAATAATAATAATAATATTCCGCTTATATAGCGCTTAATACAATGTCTCTAAGCGCTTTACAGATATACTATTACCCCGGTCATTGGATTCAGTGCTTGCCATGTATCATACATAAGTACAATATTTGATCATTCTATCTTTTCAGTGTTCCTCTTGATGGTAAGAGGAAGGCGTGTGAGTGTAACAGCCTGCCCTCTCTTGTCACTCTCCTCTCCGACGAAGATCCTGATGTCAGATCCAAGGCTGCTGGGGCCATCATGACGTAAGTGTGCTTCTCTATGATGCCTTGCATGGACAGTGGAGGTAGTGCAAGAGACACCGGTACTGAAGTTTTATGTTGTGTTTAGCAGGATTGCAACTTATTGAGGGTCACAGAGATAACTCTTGGAATGTTCACATGGTTTCAAGCCATCTCCAATGTATTTTGTCCCATAATATTACCAGCTACTTCAAAGATTGAAGTAAACTTGGCCCTTCATTTTTTAAACCGTACTCAGCTAGTTGTCAACTAATTACATAGGGTATATTACTGTACATAGCTAGTTGACAACTAGGCTTAGTAAGGTCTTATGGATATGGGTCCTGTTGATTATATTATATTAATGGCCCCAATATAGCTTATTGATAAAGATTTACAAACAACTGATGAGTTGTTTTATTAGAAGCATTTTTGACCTAGGGTGATGATAGACACAATGATAAAGCACCACAGGCTTTATAGTAAACTTGAGTAGACTAAAAATAGATATTAATGAAACTCATGGCACAAGTTGGAAATTGATTCCATGATGACAATGCTGAACTGTAAATTATGTTTAAACAGTAGCAAACTACTAGGTACATGTATATGATTGCACATCATCTTGTCTTGTCTTTCCATTGATGACTACAATCAAAGCAGTTGATTATTAGAATAGCATAAGTGATGTGTTTAATATCATGAGCTTTCTTCCCTCTTGCCCTCACTAAACAATAATCCTTGAATATGACACTAAATAAAATGACATTTGCTTTGGTATGGACCATTTCATCTTCTCTACAATAGAATCACAATCACTACCCAAGGCAAATACACTGCCATCAAGGCTGGAGCCATACCTGAGCTCGTTAAGCTAGTGGATGATGAGAGTAGTGAGGTACGACTCAACGCCATCACTGCTATCACCACCCTGTCAGAGGCACCAGAGGGACGAAAAGAAGTGCTGGAGAACGTAGACAGGGTAAGATATTAAAGGGATTGGGTAATTTTGTCTCAGATTCTGAAACAAATTCCTTGATTTAGCTCATACTGCAATGATAATTATAAACCTTTAGGTCAGTCAGGAAATCAAAATTAAAATCGAAATCAAATTTTGCGTTTTTCCTAACGGTTTTCATAACACTACAGTCTATGGGGAAAATGAGTATGGTAAAACCAGTCACTCAAAGATTTTTACTTCTTTTAAGGAACTTCTTGATCATTTTGAAGCCAATTTTTTTAGGGGTTCAATATTACACTATATCACAGACACTGATAACACGTAGGACCGTTCATCTCAGATTTAACTTTGTTAAATGATGTTAAAGTATTTTGCTTGTTTGTATAGGCATTGATAAGGATGGGGAGAGAAATGGACATTGTATAATTGGAATTGATTTTGTTTTGTGTATTTTAGGCCTGCAATGTCTAAGTTGGCTAGATTAGTGAGGTCCAAACGTATGATTATCAGTGACAGTGATCAATAACCTGCAGAGTTATTCATCTGCAGAATTTAGCAAAAGGCATATAATTGCAACTTCATATCAAAGCTGCAAGTGTAGTCATTAATCATTCTAATCCCAACACTTGGGGGTTAGACAAACAGTCAAGAGGTTTTCCATTTGATATCGATATTGTTTAATTAGAGTGATAATGTGTACCATAAAAGGCTGCATACTTTTAAAAGTAGTATTACTTGTGTTGACAATTAACTAATTTTCTGTTGATATAAAATAATGAATTATGAAGATTGCACCAAGTAATACTGCTGTTTGTTTCCTTTATACAAAGTTATCTTCCAATTTACACTTTTATAAAATCTTATTACTGTTGCTATTTTGATATCTTGATAATGATATATTTTTATCTGTCAGTTGAAACTACATACTTTTGACTCTACAGTTGTTTTAATATCTCAGAAATGTTATGCTATGCCTTCATTTACAAATATATCATTTTCCCTTTTTTTCTGTGCTTTCAAATTGCAGATAAGAAAGAGAACAGAAGACGAGTCTGCAGCTGTAGTGAAAGCAGCAGAGATAGCCGTCAAAGTCATTACATGGAAACCATGAAGAAGAAGGAAGAACCTTGGCACCCCCAAAAAACAGCTAATTCGTACTCTTGTTTTAATATTTAATCATATTAGATTCAATGTTTTAATTGAGATATTGAGGGGAAAATGCACAAATACTCAAAGTCTTCATGTTTCTAATCAGATTAATATCTATCAATTCTTTGCCACCAAGTTTTGTGATAGTAAATGAACTTTCATGAGTAAAATTCACTTTATATAACACTCTGTTTCTTCGATAAATTTGGCATAAAATGCATGGGTATTAACTTCGCAATGAAGACACCTACCGGTAATTTTGTTTTTGTGTTGGAAACTGGTAGTCCAAATACCTGTATATGTTATTCAACACTCACATTCTTGGGCTGTGTGTGCTGCCCTTGGCATGGAAGCAGTTAAAGCATTTCATTTGATTAACCCATTGCTTACTGGAACCTGGTGGTCCCTGTGTTAAGTCTATGGGAATTAGATAATTCAGTAGTCAATGGGTTAATCTAAAATCACCATGGTATGTTATTGCAATATAAAACTTAATATTTTGTAGGAAATGAATTCAAGGGATGGCCAGTGTGAAGTTAAGACAGCAGAGATTTTTTTATTTTTGTCAAAATGGTTGCATCTACTGTGTCTTGTAATATCATTGTCACGGTATTTAAGTGTAATGTAAATACTTTGTATATGTATGTATAATATGTATATTGTGTACATAAACAGACTTATAATTCATGAAACATTGTCATTTAGTCCTCAAGATAACATCATTTATTGTATAACTGTTCTAAAGTACAAGCATTTTTACATTTAGGACACTGTTATTCATAGGTATTTCAAGGTGTTTTGAAATTCAAAATATCTATTCTCCATCCTCAATGACATTTACTGAGTAGTAAATAGTAATACCTTCAAAGTCTTAAGAAAAACATTAACAGCTTCTTTCTCAATTTAAAAAAATGAAATGCAGACATGACAATTATGCGGTTCTGTCGTATTTATAAATTTTATTTCATTAATCTTTTTTTTCTTCAAAAATTAGATAGTTGTTCAATCTATTTTTTCCATATTAGATGGTAAAGCTTTTACTTTCGATAACACATTGTTATTATGATTGTATTATTTTTGATTAAAATGTTACATTCTCTATCAGTCCATTATTCTTCATGAAGCATTGTGTCTATTTTAATGCTGTTTTAAAACAATTATTTGCCTTTCAACCAAATGAAATGACCCAATTAAACCTATTAAACTAATGAGGAAAAAGCAAGTGCCATATGCTTAGGGAAGGTTTTACTCTATTGTGGCAACAACATGTCGGCTCTGGTAGGTGGAGATAAGATTAGGATGAGGGATAGATGGAGGAGCAGGACAAGAAGAGAGGAGGGAGAGAGAGAGAGAGGGGGAGGGGGGGGGGGGGGCTACGGGACAATAGGAAAGAGGAGGAAAGGAGAGAGGGATAGCCACTGATAAATCAATTCTGCAAGAGCAAGTGAAAGAAAAATGACAATTTAGTAAAAGAAAAAAAGGGGGGGGGTATGACATTCAGTGTGCTGAGTGTAAGTGTGTGAGAAGAAAGTTGCTATATATATATATATATATATATATATTTATACAAGAAAAAGGGGGAAAACACAGAACAGTGGATAGTGAATGGACATGCTTGGGAGTTGGCACCTGTCCTTATGACACTGTTGCATTTATTGTTTTACCATTTTGTCTCTAGCACTGTAGCAGCCAACATGACACAGACGATTATTATCCTACAAAATAATACTTTACACTATCGATGTTTAATAATCCTTTTGTTCTGAATATTGAGATGAGAATGGGCATAATTTTGCATTCATATAGCGTATTGGTTGTAAGGTATGTAACGACAGATGGCGACATCACACTTTTATTGGCGAGGTGTTGAAAACCTAAAAGAAAGCAGTCATACGATAGTAGTGCTAGTGGAGGAGAATACGTATGTGCGGGAATAGAACTATAATTTACAGAAAATGTGTTTTCCCAAGAATGAAAAGTATATTGAGCTGTTGCAGTATTTATTCAATTTTTGAAGATTAAACTTTCTTATTACGGGAACGCAGTGAAAACCATTTAATTTAAGTGCTTGTTTGGAAAGGGTTCTTCTCTGTCTCTGCCGGAATACTGAGGGAAAACCAGCCGGCAGGTGTGTGTGGGTGGTGCATGCAAAAACTGACTGTGTCGGTGACGTTGTTTTCTAAATAGGGATCTCTCATCTCATAATGGCGGATACGGCCGCCGAAAAGGCGAAACGTGAGCGAGAAAGGCATGGTTCTGAAACAAGTGGTATGTATAGATTATTCTTTAAATAGTTTATGCCAAGACTAATGTATTTTGATCTCTTCTATGATGCGATTTAAGTTTTTATTTGAAAGGAAAATGAGCCGTGGAATGTGAGCGAGCCTGTGACAGTAGACTCAACTGTGTGTGTTAGGCGTAGGTCTACAGTCGTTGTCTATGAACATGAATGGGAATTTGTGCATGGAACATTAATAAAGATAAACTTGAGTTCTAGTAAAAAAAGAAACTGACTTCTCACAGAATCAAACGGGCGAAACGAAACTTACACTGAATGTTCCAGATTACAAATAAATGTCATTTGCCAAATACTTTTGGTAGAAAATGTTGCTGGCTGAGTGGTGATGAGCATAGACTCTAGTTAGTTCTTAATCTTACTCTTATTTCTTACTCTGAGAAAGCTAAGGAAATCAAGATAGATCCTCTAGGCCTATAGGGGTCTTATAGGTATAGGCCCGGCACCCTTTGGTTCATGTAGGCCCATATACATCTTTCTGTGTACAGAGTGCTTGTTACTTTACCAAGACTGGGCCGAATTTATTATGATTTTGATGACTCCAGAACCTTGCAGTACACACCAATACATTATCAACTTTTTCTGATCCATTCCACACTTTTGCAATGCAATCGTATGAGTATGACCAGAACTCAACTTTATCTTTAAATAACAGAGCTCAGTCCGAGTCAGACTCAGAGATAGACTAAACATCAGTCACACTGCAACTCAATGCAAGCACAATGCAATATCAGCTGATCAAAATATATGTTAAGATTTAAAAAAAATGTAAGTAGATAGGTGAGAATACATTGTTATTACATGTATGGTATTATCAGGAAATAGGAAACTACCATTCGCTCTGCACAGAGAGTGAGACACAGTCAGTACTCATTAGTGAGTAGGGCTTCATTCATTGTGTTGATTAAAGTTTTTACCCACCCCGTCTACTGCGTCTAGACTCTAGTCTAGCTGTAGACTAGAGACTAGACTACAGATAAGAGTAGACTGTTCACACAAGTGGGCTTACTTCGAATCATCGGGTCATTGCGTCGGGTCATGTCGTAGGTTACCCTACCTTTTGTCCGTAACATTTACATTTCAAGAAAGGTCATGTACATGTAACGCATCCACCCAACTGGGCACGATGATTCTAAATAAGTCTTTAAGTGTGTGCATGCAGAAGAAGGAGTGGTTTCCAAAACCATGAAAAAATTGACATTACATACATGTACATGTAGACACTATGGCTATGATTCATAACAAAATGAAATTAGCTGTTGCTAACTTATTTTGCATATGGGGTCATCATCATTAACATCAATTCAACAACTACTCTGTACAAATCTGGGCAGCATTTCACAAAACTGTCGGACATAAGAACAAGTTCACCGACATCCTATTGAAAGTGTGTTGACAATTTAGCATGCATTTGAATGGGATGTCGAACTTGAAGAACTAATGACAGTTTGGTGAAAGGTTGCCCTGATATTCTGTAGAGCTACTTTTTTGCGTTATCCATACAGACATTCTGGGTTCTCCTGCCTTCTTCAATTCAATCCTGTTATTTCATAGTTTATAGTCTAATTAAATTCATGTAAATATAAAATAAGTTTTGTTAAGTCTGGAGACTCTTGACTCTTGGAATAGTTACACGAAACCATCATACAATGTACATGTACGGTACATGTTTTGACAAAAAAAATTGAAACATGTTTTAATAGTCTACATGTACTAGCGCTTCAATGGGATCTCATCAAAATTTTAGCTATGACTGCTTCGTAAAATGATACATTGGTGTCCAAGGGTTACACAGGGTCCACATTAATTCATTGATCTGAATTCATTGTGAGACAAAATTGTTGTAGCATTACATGTACAACAAACTTATATGTGTAGATGTCATTAGAAAATAATTGTTGGATAAATCTACTTCTAAAAAAGTTGCAATCTCAAAAATTAAAGCTGGATTAAATAATGGTAGTTGTTTAAAAGACATGAGGGGTGTAACAGTTATATGAAATGCAGCTATGCAAAGTAGAAAAAGTATCACATTCTACAAATCTGTTTTATTCTACAATATATATCAAACTACAAAACCAGAAGTTATGTGTCCAGACAGGTAGTTTATCCTTACAGTTGATTTAAAATGGTAATTTAAAGAAGTTTACATGTAATATTTCATATATCTTTTAAAAATTTAGTTAGAAAATATTAAGAAGGATGAATATTTATGATGGATAGTGTTATGTGGTGCCTACTTGTACTTGTACATTTCGTTAAATCCATTTATACCCTTCATCCAATCATTTGGACTACAGTGTAACAGAAGTTGAATAAACTTACCGGTACTTGCATGTACTTTTAGTATGTTGGTACTGTAGTACTATTAGGGCATAGAGGGTAGCAAATTACAATTTATAATGTCAAATTTGTATTGCTGCACTTTGGTTGAGATTTACTGTACACTGTACATATGTACAAACATGTACCCTCATATATTGGATGAGTACTCTTATCCACTTTATAGCATGGACATTTGTACATGTACATGTAGTAGATTGTAACCGATAGCTACAATGTATGTACGGTATCTTAACTTACATGCACATGTAGGTATGTATTCGAATAGCTCTTGAATAAAAACAAAAGCATTGTAAAACTGTGTTTACGTTATGTACACAAACTTGTTAGTAACTCTTCTGAACCATATGATTTGAATCTAATACATGTATGTAGCAGGCCTTAAATTTCAATATTTTTAGGGCAAGGCCACTTTTTTGTAGGGCACATTCCAATATTACAGCACAAATAGGAAAAATAGGAAGAATTGGAAAGGGCACAAAAAATCTCCAAGGCCAATGAGAGGGGCATTAAGGCCAATCAAAAGGGCATCCACGGCCATTGCCTTGGTGGCCTTACATTAATTTAAAGATAAACTCCAGTACTGGTAAAAAAAAAAAAAAAAAATTCTCACATAATCAAACGAAACTTACACTGAATGTTCAAGATTACAAATAAATGACATGTGCCAAACAATTTTGGAAGAAAATGCATACTGGCTGAGTAATGAGCATAGAAAGACAAGGAAATCAAGGTAGTACTAGCCCCGACACCATGTGTGTTGTCCCATATATAGCTTTCTATGTGAGTGCTTGTTACTTTACCAAGACTCAAATTTATTATGATTTTGATGACTCCAGAACCTTGCAGTGCACACCAATACTTACATGCTACATGATCAACTGTTTCTGATCCTTTCCACACCTTTTCTTTCACAATGCAATCGCATTACCAGTACTAAAGTTTATCTTTAAGCCCTGATGTAGGAGAAGTGCCATCATTGACAGGTCTTTTGTTGACATCATTGTCAACATAAGAAAATTGGACCATTGCAGAAGTATACAACATAGTTCTTCTATATTTTACCCATTTGTTGGCTGAAGTTTTGTTTTTTGTTCTGTAAGCTCGCAGAAATCATAATGTTACATGACACATCACACCCCATATATAGTAAAGTGATTATTCATGATGTACTGTACATGTACCTTGTATTATGCACACAATACATGGATGATGGAGGTCCAGTTATTCTCATGGGCATACTTTTTGCTGTACACTGCAAGCTCTGTCAGTACTCTTAAGGTTTACCCAAAGATTAATTAAAGAGTTCGTCTTAAGTCGACATTGGCAAGATATCGCCATGTCTTCAGAGAAAATGGATGACAAATACGGTACAAATGGATATATACCTTAATTAACAGTGTATTAACCGCACCTTTTTGAAAGTTTCGATTTATTCCCCTCCACCTGGCGCTATGCCTGTCAATGTCTCCCAGCTCAGTAATCGGTGTGTTGAATCACCACTCTGAAACTAGAACAACACTCAAATTTGTCTGACATCTTGGTTTGAAAGTAATCTTTCTGATAGATTTCAATATGTAGTTTATAATAATAATTCCTCCAATTTTTCTTATATTACACGGCGTACCACAAGGTTCTATCCTAGGCCCTCTGCTTTTTTAAAAATTACATTAATGATCTTACACATTCAGCTGCACCTCGCAGTTAAAGGAAGGCCTTCCCGCGTGGGTTTTTTAACCACGGACCTGGCTTGCTGCCGACAGAGTGGGCAATTTTTTTATTTTTTATTTTTTTTAGGGCGAAAAAGAGGGGTGCGGTTACACGAGGGCGGTTTACACACGTTAATTACAGTAGTTCTTTTAACTTGGGTTTGAAACATTGTTACAAGTTTATACCTAATTCACTGTACTTGTATAGGAAATGACAAGTTACTGGATCCAGAAATGAATGACACTGTACATTGTCTATATTATAACCATTTAGGACATACAAATGTACATGTAGTAAAAAAAAATCTTCTTTTGGGGATGAACATTTTGTACAGGACATATCTCATGGAGTCGCCCAATTATTTACGAGTAGTATCTGATAATAACAAGGACAAAATCTTTTAAGCACCAGAAGGATGTTGACTCTTGTCTATTATACTCTTACATGTACATAACTACAAACAAGTAGATGTTATGCTGTGTACATGTAGGTCAGTGCCTTTCTGTCCCCACCTACCCCCCCCCCCCCCCCCACAGATGACAATATCCACCAAAAATAAAGTCTTGTGTCTTACTTCAGACTACCATGTGGGGAAAGTCGAGTGCAAACAAAGTTAGTAATAGTATTTCTACAGGTTAAACATGTATTGTGTCAAAATATATAAATTTAATACCAATATTTTTAACCAATGAGATAGCATGTACTGTTTATTTTGGTAAATGACTATTGTACCAGCAGGCTTGAAAATAAGCATAATACATGTACCGGTACTTGTATTTGTATGTACATGTATGTACAGAGATGCCAACCAGTAGGATTAAATCGTATTTAGTATGATAATAAGAGTGAAATACGATCTTAAAATCTTAAAATACGATTTTTCATCTTTAAAAAAAACAAGCAAAAAAAAACAACAACACCAACGTAGAAACATGTACCAGTAAACCCCCGCAGCCCCAACAAAAACTTTGCTTTACTATTTTCTCATTAAATTTTAATGAAAGAGCAAACATTTTTCTGAAAATTTTACTGGCCTGGGGCCGACGGGCCAGTGGTAGTGTCGAGTTTTCGTGAAAATTTGATTTTTCTCTCAAAAATCTGAATTTTTAGGATACTCAGTCTGTTTTTTTGTGTCAAGAGGTTACATCTCTGTATGTAACTGTAAGTGAATGACTTAATAAACATGTCTGTGACCGAATGAATTCATCTATAGAGTAGTTTTTAATGATAAAATGAATCAGATTTTCTTTTTAAAACTCTGAATCATGTTTCTGTTATGTCAGTGAATACTGAACATACATGTATTCATGTTGCCAATTAGCATTTATTGCTTAAATTCCTGTGGAATTCTACTGTAGGTAGTAATTAGCAATGCAACACAATGAAAACATATGATATCGCACAAGAATTTGTATTCCTTATATTCAAGCATACAGTGTACATGTACAGTATATCACTATCAAATGCTTATAATGCAAAAAGTAAATGTTTGAAATTACAAACTTACAGTTACATGTACATGCATCTTTGAAAAGATTGGACATATTGATGAAAAGAAACACATTAAAAGGGGTAAGTGTGGGTTTCATCATTATTGTTCCTTTAAAATCTATTCTTGGCAAATATGTAAGCTGTTACGAAATATTAAGTATGGCCCATCACTTGTTGAATATCATCAAAATGATGTAGGAAAACACATGTGCAGGTTTAGCCATGGGGCTCTTAAGAAAAATATCTGACCCCGCCCAAAATTAAAACAAAAAATTTCTATGAAAAAACCCATAAATAACACTCACAAAATATTTAGGAAATATTTAATCTTCCCCATATTCACTTGCACAAAGACCTGATGAATCAGGGTGGAACCTCTACACATGAATAAAGCTGCAAGCCTGCAAGGGATGCATGACAAGCCCCTTCAAGTGCCACCCATTCAGACAGTGTTGAAGTATGCTGGGTAAAGACAACATTCATCTTGTATGCACAATGCACACCATTCATATCATTACAGAGCATGGTGCTCCTCCAAGATAGGCAAATCTGACATTCCCAAGGCAACAATAATCTTGAGGCAGGTTACCATGGTGATGTGTTGTAGAGCTTGCTGGAGAAATGGGAACCAATGGACTGTTTCTCTTGACTTTTGATATCATGATTTGGGATGTTATTTTAAGTTTTTAACTAATTTATAAATTGGGAAATTGTACTGCTGTAAGACCGATCACGTTTTAGAATCTACTTACTGCAGTTTGATTATGAAGTGAACCCATTCCTCTGTTCAGAGCCAGAAGGGCGTTGGCTCTGTGTTAACATGTATAAAGGAGTTAATGCCCTTCTGGCTCCAAACAGACACATTCTGACAAATGAGTACTGTAAAACCAGTACTTTCACATACAAGAGAGCTTTGTGAATTGGAGTGATTCAGCTGCTTGAAAGTTTCACACTGCTAGTCATTTTATTTTTGTTGTGTGTAGTGTGTCATTGCTCTCATTAACATTCCAATTTGCAAATATGTTGTTACAATAATCTTTGGCCATTCCATTTATGAATTGGCAAATTTACACTCCAATTTACATGAACATGACAATGGTATGACTAGGATGACAATGAGTCTCATTTTTCTTTTTTCTTTTCTCTTTGTTATTTGCAGCAAAAAACTCATCAATTAGACTGTCTTCAAAACCGAAAAACCTAGATGTAAGTATTATTATTTTACAAAATTTGTTTTGTGTATTATTTGTTTAAGGATTATGTTTTTGTGAATACTGTGAGTTATAGAGACATAAAATTAACAACATGCAAAAACGAGTTGGCAATGTATTGGCACTGCTTTGTAAGTAGTTTATGTGTTTATTATTTAAGCGAAAAACAATTACTCAAGAAAAGTCATCCACAAAATATTTATATTACAAAATATTGGCTCAAATAGTGTTAGGCCCACATTAAATACAAATACATTACCTAATCAAGATGATGTATGAATTAAAATATGGACTTGTAAAAAAATGAAAAATTGGTCAGCTGGTTAGACAATGTTCATAATGTAAAATCATTCTGCATGTTGTGTGACCATAAAATGATAGAGGCCTGTTTATGCAGATATATGTAAATACTTTAATTTGATCTAATTGAAACATTTTATGGTGTGTGAATTGATGTGATTTTTGTCTGACCCATTGACCCTGTGAGTCTATTGTACAAGGCTGTAGTGTAAACCTACCTCATTCCCAGTATTGTCAGTGTGCCACTGCTGGTTACTTCATGTACATGTACATAACATGTACTGGTCTGTTTTAAAGATTAAGTTGAGTACTGGTCATGCAATTACACTGTAAAAGGAAATTCTGAAAGCAATTGATACAATTTTGATTAAGTTGTACATTTCATTTGGGGTCTATTCAACATGTATTGACTACTGAGAGGTTTTAGAATCATCAAAATTAGAAGAAATTGATTTAGACTTTTTGAAAGTGATACATGTATGCGCTGCATATAAATAAATGTGGCATGAAAGTTTGGTCCAAACTTTTCAACTTTTTCTTTTCATTTTTTTAAATATGAGTGCATTTGAATATCATTATCAGGGTATATTTCTTCCATGATATTCTTATTAAGTAAGAAACCCTAATCCATGGAAATATAAATTATGCCATTGTTTTTACATGTATTGTACTGTGAATAAAATCAATGCTATTGAAAGTATTGAATCCAATGACTGGGGTAATAGATCTGTAAAGCACTTAGAGACATTTGTATGAAGCGCTATATAAAAGTGGATATTATTATGATTATTATTAATACTGAAAACATAAGGAATAGGATACAGTGTACACTAGGCGTTCATTTATTAAAGCTACATGTACATTGGGTATCCTGGTACTTACGGGTACATGTAAATTGTTCACCTTGCTATTCAAACAGTCCTTTTGTACCTTTGAGTGGGCGGCTTTAGGAATGTCTACCGTTTAACTGTCCATGCAAAATAGTTTAAAATCAAATATGATATGATTACACACTTTAATGGTTCAGTTATTAATGCTCATTTAAAGGAAGTGTTGATTTATTAGCATTATATACATGTACATTCAGGATATTTTGCCAATGGCCCGATATACCCTACATACTTTCTGTATGTTGGTTAAAATGCTTCGGATTACTTCAAAACAATGCCCATGAATGTCATGTTAATGGACCTTTTTGGTAATTTTACTTCAAGATTAATGTCTGTACATCGTGCACTGTGTCTTTACATTATGTAGACGTAATATACATGTGTTTTGTAGATAGAATACAAATTCCTTTGTATATTTATGCATAACCATCGATCTCTTTTTCTTCTGATGATTCTGATTCTGATAATTTTTCTGTTCCATCAAAAATTAGTAGTTGGACAATCCCTTACTCATATTTTTGTTCATTAAAGGTAATACAAAGTTTTGGTATGGGGTAATGAATTTGGTTCCAATGAACATATTGGAAGCATATACGATCCTACAATATTCAGTGATCGTTGTCGCGGTCGAAATCGACTCTAAAGTTATGAAATTGTAAATAATAAACACTTTATGTTGAATAGCTCCCTCTCAAGGTCAAGATATTAATTAAGCTATAAAACAATGTTTATTGACTAAAATCGACCGATTAGCTATTCTCGTTCTGAAATTATATACCACAACTACATACTCTGAGATTTTCATGGTCGCAGCTACCATTGTACGGCTGTAGGAGCTATTTGAAATTTATCAAAATTTACCGGTAGTACCGGTAAATCTTTATATTCAATTTTTTCGAAAGCAGAAGTGTTTTAGGGGCTAAAATTTCTGGTGTTTTTAATACATCCACAGGGGCATCCAAATATATCAAAATTGTAAAGAATCACTATCCACCCATTTTTCAAAATTTCCCAAAACTTTGTAATACCTTTAAGGTCAGCCTGTTACAAAACTTTAGGCCTAAATAAACTACATTTTATATGTTGAAAAGAAAATGTAAACCTCTCCCCAATGCGAAGTGGGATGATTTAGAGGGTCCATATTTTATCAATTGCTTGCAAGAAGAAATGTTCATTTCATGAAAGGCATAGTCCCATCTTTGGATATTAATTGATGTACACTAATATATTTTGAGACATAAATTTGTCCCAGGCTACTGGTTTGGCATGTGATTCAATGTACAGTGTACATGTGCATATGTAGATATATGCTTCATTCTTGTGAGTTGGGGTCTCTACTATTGTGTATTCTCTTTGTAACTTTTTCATGTACATGTAGGTGTATGTATGTAATGTACATGTACTGTAGTTGCCATATTAAATTACCAATTACCATCATTATGTATGTGGGAGTGAGACTTGTTGTTTAGAAATGATGCATTAATCCATAGGCTATTATACTACATGTACATGTACATGTACATTGTGTATTGAAGCCCCTGTAGCGTATGGTCTTGAATATGCTTGTACAAGTACTTGTACATTGTATAACCCAAACCTAAAATTATGCTGGTTGAACACTGCCGTGACATCTGATGACGATATGATTATAAGTACATTGTACACTGTACATCTTTTGTAATTTTGCCAGACTCCATGTCAATGGACTGTCCTGTATGCCACAAGCCACCATTTTTGTTATCTTCATAAATAATAATCTTTACTATGAGGATGAAAGCCAAAAGTGTGTTAGCTTTAGAGCTACATGTATGTAGAGGAAGAGGAAGACCACTGGTCTGTAAAGACTACTTTTTAATTTGTTTCCTCTATTAACAAGTTTTGTATGCAATCCTTGTAAGACAGTTTTTCACACCTACCTTGAGCGATCTTTACAGGGTGTACATACAATACGTTACACGTTTGACCGAACAGTAATTGACTGTAACCCACCCCATACCAGAAGTGTAGTTGATGTATTGTACATGTATGAAACATGAGTCAAAACAATTGTCTTGTAATTGCCATCAGTTCAAAAGCAAAACTGCTTTCTGTTACATAATCACATAATTGATTATTGCCTACACAAATGTCTCTTTTTCCTTTTTTTTCTGTATGTGATTTTTGTTGTCTTTAGTTTTCAGTGTCCCAACAGTGTAAACAGTACATCTCAATAGTTCAGGGGTTGTGGTTAGGGGGAATGGCAGAGCTTATGATTAGCCTGTATTATTATAAAAGCTTTTTCTATTTGAGAGAGAATTATACATAACATATGGAGAAGAAAACATTTGAGATTGAGTATTAATAATTCATTAGCAGTGAATCAGTGTTAGTTTAGTGACTCTTACTGGTAGTAGTGTTTTTTTTAAAAAGCCTAACATCTACCAGGTGCCCATGATTAATACTGACGAGGCTACCCTGGGTAAACAAGACATATCATTATTACTACATGAACATTGTACATGTATATATCACATATTTATTTGTTTCCCTTTTTAATATGTTCATGGTCTGTTTTCTATTGCAGCAAAGCATGACGGTTTCAGAGTTGGATCCCAGTCGTGCTGGGAGCACCTCCAAGCAGAAGAAGCTTGGCCACAGGAGAGTGGACACACATGGACAGGTCACATATAAAAAGGTGAGGATATAAAAGAATGCCCTCTTGAAGCCCTCTCTGCAACCCTCTCTGCAACCCTCGTCCTCTTCTAAGATCATCTCTTCATCTTTTCTCCTCACCCCCCTCTCCTCACCCTCTTTTCTCACTCTCTTTTCTCACTCTCTTTTCTCACTCTCTTTCCTAATTCTCACTTCCCCTTTCCAATTCATTCCCTCTTCCCATCCCTCACTTCTCCTCACCCTCCCCCACATGTACCCACATGTACCCACATTCCTGCCCAGTATACCCTTTTGTTAACATGTTAACATGATGAGGAACGAACAATAGTTAATAGGTCAATATCACTGATTTTTTTTTATCATATCCCAAATTGCAATGAAAAAGGACAAATCAAAAACAAAAAGGAAAACAAACATTAAATCATACAAATGACTCTAAATATGTACAGCTGTGTCTCTAAAATGTTTAGGACTCTTTAGGAGAAAAAGAAAGGGGATTCTGCCATCTAGCATGTGCATGAGCATACATCTACATGTAAAGTTACTTTTTCCTGCAGAAAATGTTTAGATCTTGCCATTTTTAATCAGACGGGGAGTGGCTATGATCAACCCAGTTCAACTGCAGCGTAAATAACACGCCGACACTCACACAAAATTCTTATCTTAAATTTACAATGATGATACTTGATGTGGATTTTATCTGATGTAAGCGTAAATTACTTCCATTAGGAAGGTGAAAATATGTGTTGCAACTACATAACTCCCAGGATTCCTTGCATAAAGACCTGCCTGACCTACATATGTACATGAAGGGTATAAGTAGTTCCAACTTAATATATACGATGTTTTAGATAACCCCCAATTAGCTCAAATGAAAGCAACGTTATCACATACATTCATCTCAAAGTCAAAGCCTTTTCAGTTCTGAACTAACGTCAGCACCTCGTGTTAGCATGATAGAAAATAAAACAAGTGGAAACTGTAATCTGATTGTCCTCTTTTGTGGCCTGTCTGTACTTTTCTTTGCCAAAGAGAGATTTGCTTGTTCTCATTTTCATGTTAAGAAGCAGGTCTTTGATGTCGTGCTTGTCCAGAAAGGAAAATCATTTTGGATTGTTTACGTGTCTGAATATCATGCTCTCATTGCTTTCCAAAATGAAAGTCCAAGGTATGTTTGTGGAGGATGTTATGGTCAATCATCAGTATCTTTTATCGTTGATGCTACGACCTGTAGCACTGACCAATGATCTTTTTATATTATGCCAGACCTCTTCGTCCACTCTTATGGCCGCCATACAGCTGGGTATTGGTCACTCAGTGGGCAGCATATCGGCCAAGAAAGATCAGAGAGAGAGAGACGTTTTACTGCAAGACTTCACTGTGGTCGAGAGTGTCTTCTTTCCCAGGTAAAATTTCATATTTCATTGAATAATACATAGACATTACATGATGGGCCAAATGTCAAATGTACCAAATTATTTAATACCCTGAGGAATTCTGAATTCTACACTTAAAAACATGAAAAAACAAAAAACAAGAAACAAGAATCCTTGTAATAGGCCCATTTGATAATAATGTACCCATCTACAGTATGCACATTCAAGTTGATTTTTTTCTTGAGCCTTTAGGAACAAACTATTTCATGCAAAAATATATGTATATGAGGCATTGCTAACTAAGAAAGTAATAATTATTTTTGTTTTTGTTATTTTGTTAGGAATTATTAATGTTTTCATTTAAAACACTGACGTTATAATGTTCTCTTTTCCGTTTTGTTTTTGTGTATTGTAATTGTTCAACCCTGCATGAGATGCATTTAATGTAATACAAATCTCTGTCCTGGGTTTTATGTCACATCTTTATTATTATGTTACATGTATACTTTCTTGAATAAAGATGAACAAACAACAACATGATGGGCCAAATGTCAAATGTACCAAATTATTTAATACCCTGAGGAATTCTGAATTCTGCACTTAAAAACATGAAAAAACAAAAAACAAGAAATAAGAATCCTTGTAATAGGCCCATTTGATAATAATGTACCCATCTACAGTATGCACATTCAAGTTGATTTTTTCTTGAGCCTTTAGGAACAAACTATTTCATGCAAAAATATATGTATATATAAAATACATCTACCTAGATGGAATTTAAATGGCATCCATTGTTGTTGCTTTGCCAGGCAAGCCTCATACATATTTCTTTTCATTAATGCTTATCCCAGGGGCACCATACTAACCGTTGTCACAGTGAATACAGATTGATTTTTCTTCTAGAGTTTGTATATGTACATGTATAAGCTCACGCCCCTGATACAAATTCTAAATTTGAGGGATTCAGAGTTGAAATGTGGGGGCTATAATATAGGAACATTCTTATATGCTGAATCATGAGAGAAAGTCTGCTATGCTTGATGTCTTGATCAAGGTTGTTCACCTATATGCAATTTCCTTATGTCTGAAAAATGACCAACCCTGTGTTATGAGCATTCACAAATACAACCTTTGACCTCACATACGTCACACTAGAATGAGTGTACATCAGTGAATTTAAGGCGTTTTCAGTCAGGCTGATTGAAGCCCCATTAGTAATGTGTATGAGTGGGTGTTTATCAGAAATACAAACAACATGGGTGGCAACCATCATGCAAACAAGTATTTTATGAATTTTAGTGATATGAGATCCTTCTTTCTGTGTTTGATCACTTTTAATGAAGATGAAATGGCATATCGTTGTCAAAGATATTTTAAATTTGGATTGGTGCTTGTTGTGTACATGTACATAATTGGAGAATGGTGTGGTCGATGGGAAAGGGAGAGAGGAGGAATTACAGAGAAGATGTTCGGGCAATTAATGGAAATGTGCGAGAGTGAAAAAGAAAGAAAGAAAGAAAGAAAGAAAGAAAGAAAGAAAAAAAGAAAAAGATTTAGGCATCAATAGAGGAAACAAACAAACATGTTCGTTTGTTTGTTTATCTGTAGCTTTGTTTTTTGTGTGTGTGAAATTCAAACACAAAAATATGTAGATAGTAAGTAGATCTTCAAGTTCTATTTATCAATTCAGCAAAATATATGGAATACAACAACCATTTGTTCTATGTCAATTTTCTAAGAGAGATATCGAGAAAAGGAGAGAGAGAGAGAGAGAGAGAGAGAGAGAGAGAGAGAGGGGAAAAAAGAAGGGGGGGGGGGGGAGTACTCAACATGGAATTCAGAAAAACACCACAATTAGACCATTTCCAAAACCAAACTAATGTACATGTACATACAATGTCAACAAATGTACATGTATGCCATGATGACTCATTTCATCTGACTTATAAATACCTTCTGCCTAGATAGAGGGTGTGCCCCGTTTTAGGCATAGATATGATTCGCTTTGATTAAATTGATCTTTGTAAAGATGGTTCTTGATCATCATAGATTCATGTAGGTTAACTGATATTAGCCTACATGTACAAGCATGTTAATCCAAGGGGGCCTATTTTACACATTGACCTGGTTTGTGATTTGTTAGTGGTTTTACAATGTTTGTTGTTGTCAAGCCATATCTAGAATATATTTTGTACAGATAATGATCAGTGAGTACACATGTGTTTTGAATGGTCGTTTACATTTACATTTGTAGATGTGTACAGAGGGATATGTAATAAAATTTACAGAGATGAACTTTTCTACCTTTTTTTTTGGCTTTGAACAACTGAAATGTGCTTAAATGCAGTTAATATACACTGTACATTAAAAATTAAGTTTTTTTAAATATATACTGTACATTACTATATTAAGTTTATTTTATAACTCATTATATGTTATAAAGTTGACATTTCAAAAGACTACATGTACGTTGTGTACATGTACATAATGCATATAATTGTGAATAGCGACGACATGTAAGGAAAGAATGTAAATAAAAATTAATAATTCAACTAAAATCTGGGCAAAACTAAGTTAATTAACTGAATGATTATCAACATTTTTAATCTGGAAAGGAAGTGTGGTTTATTCATGTTGTATAAAAGCAAAAATGAGAGGATTTGGGGGAAAATTAATGGCAGTATAAGATAACATCATACTGGTAATTGAGAACTTTTTTATCATTTGAAATGAGATAGGGCAGAATGTTTATGTGTGTAGTGATCAGAAAATTTGATCATCAGACTCCATGCATGTACATAATTCGTTGATGCAATTACACAAATTGAAATTTGTCATTATTGTGAGAGCATAGCAAGATATCCAGCTGCATGTGATGGCCTACATGGATTTTAAGTGGATTTTGTGCAAGTAAAGTTTCCTCAGAAACTTCTTAATTGAGGGATAAACCTTTTGTATGCTGAGTGATGATTATCTGTGTTTAGAGAAACAAATACCATTTTATCTTTCAAGTAGAGCAATGTGTACAATGTGCATGTTTAGGCCTCTATGCATGTATTTTAGTGTAAAACAATACTTTTATGTTGTATGGGATCTCATTGTCATTTGCTACATACTGTAGTTACAGTGAATTTTGTGTCTTTCCTTTGTTTATTTTTCTGTGTTTATTTTTCTTAACCAGACTTCTATTTTCCTATTTTCAGAGTTCCTTTTAAACTTCACATGTTACAAAATCTACATTGCTCACTGTTCTCTTTAATAGTTTTCATTCACTCTGGTGTTGTACAGAATGGTTTCAACTTTCAAATAACTTGGCATGTAGTACTTTAACTTGGCCTTGCAAAAGTGAGATTTATCAGCCATTTTTCATCAGTATCTTCATAATTGCATATGAAGTAGATTTCATTTTTAAAATGTTTTTAAACCATATACTTTTGTCTGTTCCATTGCAGTGAAGGCAGTAACATCACGCCTGCTCATTCCTATCCCGAGTTCAGATTCAAAACCTACGCTCCTATTGCATTCAGATATTTCAGACAACTCTTTGGTATTCAGCCAGATGATTTTTTGGTAAGTACCACTTGTTGATGACATAGATAAATGCATTTTGGTTGGTCCGAGCGTTGTAAGGTGGAAACGTGATTTATTTATGTATCTATTTAATGGCGTTTCCTACATTGTATAAAGACTTACCAGCAGCACAGACTGAAACATAGCACATGAGAAGTTATATTTATGACTTTAAAAAAAAAACATTTGAAAACAAATACTGTCTCAGTGTTATACCTCAAGGATATTAGACAATCTATTCATTCTACCTTTGATTTTTAATGTAGCTTTACAAATTTGGTATCTACTATCTAGGTATTTAATTTTAAATTGATTATTAGCAACATCAATTGAAGAGGTGCCGAAACATCAATGTTGCGTAAAAATACATTAACATAATCTGAACACTTTCAAGACCTGAAACTATTGCAAATTGTCAATGATGACTGACTTTGCAGCATGAAACTTTTATGTACATGTACCTCAACCACTTGTGAATTCTGCAGGGGTTTCATGATAGTGAAAACAAAATTATTTTTTCATAGTTTGTGTTAACATGTTTATGGTAATAATGTATAATTTATAGACTGTATTTTTGCAAGGATTTATTTCATGAGTTTTGTAAAGTGTTGATAACTTAACACATACAATAAGCTGGTCATTAATGCATGTACGAACATGTTAAACTGTCCTGAGATAATCATCACAAAAAACCATGTCTTGATAGAGTAACTGCCCTTGTTAAGTTGTTATCCATGAAAATATATGTATGTGTACATGGAAATATTGGCCCATATGGCATATTTTTACTCAGTGATTCTAATGGAAATATTGGATACATATAATGTTACTGCTGCGGTCATCTTTCAACTGAACTCATCTATGAAGCCACCTCCCTGTTAAATTATATGCATTTTTCATGAAAATAGATCGTGTTATTGACATGTTTGTAGTCAATATTACCTTTTAATAAAACTGTGTCAGGATAAAATTAGGTTGTCCTGGTAAACAAGTTTTTATAATTGCAGAGCACTCAGCAATGATTGCACTATATTTAGACCCATCTCCGAGGACAATCCTACCTAGGAAACTAACAGAATTAATGAGTAATTTGTTGCTGTTTATAGGACTATCAGCTTTGATCAAAGATTTAATATCTAAATGTTATTACATGTAGATCCAATCTGTGAAAATACGCAAGCAAGGTGCAGTTGGCTCTCTGTACCAGTATTTCAATTTGAAAAGGCAGTGCATATCATAATTTTGTTTTCTCTGTAGGAAGTAGGAACTCCTTGGTTTGTTTTTGTTTTTTCCTGAAAAGGTTTGGGTTCTTCTTAAAAAAGACTTTCCTGAGCTACATACATGAGAACATTTATACATTATAAACTGCTCTCAGTTCCAAGAGTTTTGTTTGTTTGTTTGATTTAAGTTTATTTCTTGTAGCAACCAACAGTTCAAATCCATGTGTTGATCTTGGAAGAAAGGCTTTAGAATACATGTATTGCAAAATTCATTCCCCCATATTCTATCCCCATCGGCCAGAAACTGTCAAACACTTCAAAGCCGATTTGTAGTCCTCATATCAGGCATGGGGATTTGACATTTTGGTGGTAAATTAATATTGTACTTTCTAGGACACTATTATTAGACGTGGAGGAGAGAAAAGCGCAATATTATTGCTTGCATGCCGTGCCTAGGGGTCACGAGTCTGCTCGGCTAATATCAGATGCGGAGAGCGTGTGATGTCTTCTCCTACACGTATGCATGCAGTCTTGAGGAATAGTCAATGTTGATGGAGACGTCTTGAAAAATTAAAGGGATAGATGATCAATCAGGGAACAAGTAGAAAGTTAATGTAGCCTTATAAATTTCATGTTGAATGTTGATCACAAAGGATTGATCAGTCGGAACTTAGAAATGAACATGTTGTAGTAAAGTGTTGCGACTTGCGAGGCATATATTATGCGCAATTGATGAAGCGATGCAGGAAAAGAAATTTACACCTATTTTACAACTGATTGCTAGTGGGCTGATTTTGCTTGTGGGCTGTTTGCCAAATTCAATTTGAATTATATTATGCCAGTCGATGAAATCCAGGAGCGTTTATATCGTGGATGGATTGTATGCCAAGTATTTGTTGCTAATTCAATTATAATTTAATTGTACTTCACTACTTTGCTCATTATTATAGCTGTGCAATGTGAAATAGAGAGTAGATTAAATAGAGTTTGTTGCCATTTGATAGGGGCCTTCAAGTATATTTAATAGTTTTAAACACTTTAGATGTTTGAACAATTGTAATTTATCTCTGAACATACATACTCATCGATTGAGTGATTAATGAATCTCAAAGTAACGAATGAGTCAAAATGGCTGTTACAAACATGCACCCAATTTATTGCAACTACTTAATTTTGTGATTAGTAATTGATTCGTTTTATATGTCCATGTACATGTAGGCTGGTATAGCACCATACTGATTTTCCTAACCAAGCAATTTGCTCCCAATGTGGCATGAGAAGCTGTGTCTGGTCTGCATTTGCAAAGGCAAAATGTGTACTAGACATGTACAGTGTATTACTTTCTTTTTGTGTGTTGACTAAAAGCTTTGTATTTAATTATTTTCCAGTTCATTTTAGAAACCTGTAATAAACTAATGATAATTAAAAAAAAAAATGATTTGATGATCGTTCGTCTGTGTTGGTGATACTGATACATTTGTTTGAGAGCTAAAAAAATTCTCAATATAAAATATGTAATCAATTTTTATCTCTGAAATTTTAAGCTGTTCAGCTACAGCCTTTGTTAGCCACCCCCCCCCTCCCCAAATGATGTTTGATTTAAATAGACCATATGATAGGCTACTCACAACATGTAGGAATTTAGTACTTCATTGCTTATTTTGTTTTAATGCCATCTTATTGGTGACAGTAACTTCTATTCCTGGGCTGTTTGCTGAAATGCTTTGCAGATTGGTGTTTTGTGACCGTTACAGTAGAAAGTTGTTCAGCAGTATCCTTTCCAACACTCATTGTGAATAAAGTTTGAAGTTCACAGAGGGTGTCCACATGTGTACGTGTGCACCTAGACAAGAAACTCCAGGCTGCGGGCTGGCTGGCATACATGTACATTTTAGCATCAGAGACGTGTCTCTGGTAGTAGCATGTAGGTGTACACTCTTACAAGTATAGAGTTTGTGGAAAGGTCACACATCTGACTGTCTCAGTTTGGACTACATGTATGTATAGACCTACTATACATCTACTGTAGCAATCATTTGTGCCTTTGGTAATGGCCTAGGTTATATCCTATATGGTTGCCTGGTTGAAGGTGTACACGTCTGATTGACCATGTAGTCTCTTCTGTGGATTATTTCAACCATCTAGAGCTCAGCCTTCGATCAATTTAGATATTAACTGTCCTTATTCAACAAGGGCTTTGGGAAAGTTAAAAACCTCACAGACCGAAATAGCCAATAAAATGAAGTGATGACCTATGGTGGAAATCCCAGACAACATTCTATTTACTGTACACCATAGACCCACTGAGGTATTTCTCAAACTAGTGATATCTCAAAATGCTCCACAGCCAAGTTTTCAACTCCAGAAGTAGGCCTAAATAATGAAAGGAAATTTTAATTAATCCCCACAAAATCCCTGAATGAATAAGATGAAATAAAAAAGAGAATGAACATTCAGTGAAATAAGTTTTGTTAAGCCTACAGTGTACTTGACCGTGTCCGGTGTCAACACAATATGGATCTGGAGCAACGTAAACACTAGGCCTGCATGCTACTTCTACGGAGTACTACCTACATGTACAGTGTACGGTGAAGAAATCCATGGTCATTGAAAGTCCAAGGTCAATGCCACAGAATAATAACACTGCATGTACATGTAGTATAACAAAGGAGCCTTTTATTGGAATCAGAATCGAGACTCTCTCCTCTCTCTCACACCTATTCTGGCCTCCATATTATGTCTGCTGAGAGCCAGAAGGGTGGTAACTCCTGTACTTCTACATACTGTTAATGCCCTTCTGACTTTCAGCTAGAGATAAAGATAGACAGGTTCTAGAAAGAGCAGACCCTAGTATTTTTTGTTTCATTTCCCAGTACAGTGCAGTGTACTGAAACAATTCTATGAGGAGCAAATAGATGGAAATGTAGGTTTTGGAGCGTAGTGTAGATAGGTTAACACGACAGTCCGTAAAAGTTAACTTTAAGCTTAGCTCATGGTTTCAACTTCTGGGTTATCCTGATGCCCTTGTGGTTTTAGAATTAAATATCATTTTCAACCGCAAACAATCTGATGGTGAACTACAAGCAGTGCTTGGAGGCTCCTGACTTGAAGTTACATGCACATAATTATACTGCATGTGTCATGCGGAGGTATTTGACTTCAGGGTTTCGCCAGGTTGTTACGTCTGCATTGTTTTGTTGGAGCGTTAATCTTTGTGAGGACTTGGTGGGTCATTAAAAATGAAATTGGGAGTAAAATTAGAATTTATATAACAACGATGTTGTCGTGAGGACATAGCTAATGAGTTTGGTAACAGCTGCTGTGATATGATGATTGTGAGGTATCGATTTGTAAATCATATCAGATATCTCTAGGTATACTGGAAATTATAATTTTTTGTTGAAAAAAAAACACCTTTATATGTTATTAATTGTTGTTGATAATTTGTACATTTTTATGAAATGATATATATACATCTATCTCTATCAAGTTTTCAAACTGATGGCAACTTGTACCTAGCACAGTTGCCTTCAAACACTTCTACTTTTCCCCCTTGTACATGTATGTAGGCCTGCAGGCCGTTAACATTCAAATTCATTTTGATATTTTTGTCACAAAAGCCACGATTGTGCTTCATACATGATACATTGTAGGCATTATTCAGCTGAGAAAAGTGATTTAACATTGAAGGTGCGTCAGGGCTCCTTAGTATAGCCGCCGTGTGTGTGTGTGTGTGTGTGTGCACTGAGCAGTATGTGTAGCATTACATCATATTTATGAATCAAATCCAATGACAGATGTATCACACACACCACGGTGGTGCGCAGTGTGCATCTGTTTGGTGGATAATGTAACATCTGTGATGTCAGCGCTGGTGTTGATTAATGATGCTTTCAATTTTCAATAATGTAGGATTAGCATCTTTCACAAGATGTGTCACTACATGTATTCTGCAATCTGCACATTGTGTATTACATACCTACAGACATTTCATGTGCAGTGTGGACCTAATGTACTCCATACTGGCTTTACTCCCTCATGGTGTTCATGATATCTGTTCACAATGACGACTGCTGTACATTATAATAATGTGGTTTAATTGAATTAACGATTGTGCAGATAAAACAGTTGTACATGTATGCAATTGATTTTATGGTTACTGCATGTAATGATTTTAGTCCATTAGTTGATGCATACATTTTAGTAGGCCTTACCACATCACTTTGGCCCCAGTTACATTGAGGCAATTTGTTTTTTCATTGCCAATTTTCATTAAAAAAATTTTGTCTTGGAATTTCTCTTTAGGTTTGTTTATCCCAAGTTTATTGAGCAAGGTATACAATCATGCCTGCATATTACTGGCTTCGAAATGTTACTTGTAAAACATTTAATTTACATGTACATTCTGTGGGGCTTTGACACCAGCCCCCATTTCCATATATATATTTTTTTAATTATTATTATTTTATTTTTTTTGGGGGGGGAGGGGGAGGAGGGCAGACCCTGATTACTTTTGGATCTCAAATCATTTATTGCTCTCATCAGCGCCGATGTACAACAAAGGATAGGCCTATTCATAGTCGAGCTTGAAAATGGTATCAAAGCGATCAAAGGGGGAGGAAGGGACATGCATGTAATTGCATCCTGCCACCGAAATTGCAATTTTTTATTAAAACAAATTACCATTGCTATCTTTCAATAGATTGTTACCCTAAACATGGACATGTACATACATTCTCTTGCGCATGTATGATATGCACACACGGTTTTAATGGCCAGTGACACAAAATTATGCAGACATTGTGACAATGCGAAAGGTACATGCACACATGCGCATTGTGATAATTTTATCGTAAGCAGGTAAGTGTTGGAAGTGATCGATGGCTCAGTCTAGTCCCTAGCATAATGGATTGACATTTTCCATGCATGCCTACAAACATGCAACATGCATGAAGTAAATGCAGCATACTCTCTCTCCCTCTCTCTCTCTCTCTCTCTCTCTCTCTCTCTCTCTCTCACTCTCTCACTCTGGTTGGCTTTTATCAATGCTCAAACTCTCCCACTCTCCCATTCTCCCCCCTCTCTCTCTCGTCAGATACTGTATTTTTCTTCCTTATCCGAAGGTGAAATTTGTATTCTAGTGTGCGTGCTTGCTTCATGGGTATTATTGCTTGTGTAATATTGTGTTCATTGAATAACTCTATGATCAGATGTACCACCACCATGGTATATTGTGTTGATGCTAACAAAATGTAAGGCATAATGACACTTTCATACGTATAATGGATCCGTGATTAAATTAATGAATAAATAAATTAATAAATAAATGAATAAATAGAATAATTCGAAAATAGTTAAATGAAGTACCAAAATAAAGAAAGGAAACAAAAAGAAAACAGGGATGGAAAGGATCTTTTATCGTGAATACCAGTGTCTCTAGGATTGTACCCGTAAGCATATGTATTTTAAGTTTGGATCATTAAATTCATTGGCATGCATGTATAATTTAGTCTGTTTTGTTTAGATTTATACAAATATGGTAAATCTGTGGTTCTACAGTATATTAATGTCAGGATGTTTCAATATGAAAGCAACACATGAGATATGAGGAGAGGGGAAATATCAACTGTAAGCCTTCATTTTTTAAGAATAACAAATAAATGGTACAACTTACATCTACATACATACATGTACCTTGTTTTACATGGTACAGCTGTTGTGCTGCAGATTTGATTTACAGTTTCAGCCGATAGTTTTTATGTGGATTTTTGTAGATGAGAGAGAGAAACAGATATTTTGGGGAAAGTTGTCTGTGAGACGATAACCCTGACTGCTTTCTGTACATGTTTGTACATACAGTCATACACCTCTGAACAATAATTCACAAAAGTTGTGAAAAGTTAAAAATAACAACGTACTGTATATGAAATACACAAAAAGGAAACACAGTGACACACCTTATAACTAAAAACTGTGTTCTTCAAAATTTTAGGCCGATATGTGAGTGAGCTTATTTACACAAACTTCACTGTGGATGCTCACACATAGAGTAGTGTACTGTTAATAAACTAGAAGCTTTCATTTTGCGAGATACATCAAGTTCCATGCTGTAAAATTATGGAATCACAACAGATATTTCACTGATTTTTTGCAACTTCCTGGATTATTTCTTGCTATTATAATGACCGTTTCCAAGTCCTGAAAGTGTCTCATCACAAAAGTTTCTGGTTTTACATTCAAAATCCTGATAGAAGAGTCTTAGAAACTGAAATTTCATAAATTATGTATAATAACAACAACATAGAGAGTGAATGGAAGGAAGGGAGGTTAACTGAAAGCAATTATCCTGTAGAAAATGTTTATACAAGATTGTGAAAAGCGAAGTTTCGAAACAAAATGAATCATTGTTAATTGCAAATAAAAAGTATATCACAGATCAAATTGGACTGGAAATGGTTTGTCCTTCTCCGAACGAGAAGGATATATGCTTGCAAAGTCTAAAATTAAAAATATTGCAATAATTGGAATTTTTAAAGTCTTTTCAGATATCATTTGTTTATAGGAATTTGACGAAACTGTCAAACCCAGTAATACATAATAGTAGTAGAGTCTACCTGATTATATGCAGTCCCTAAATATTGCAATAATTAGAATTTTTGTCTTTTTTCTCCTGATATCATTTGTCAACGAGACATTGCAAGAATGGTCTAACCCAGGTACTACATACATGTAGTCTACATGTACCTGATCATATTATAAAATGACTAAATATTGCAATAATTAGGAATTTTATTTGTCTTTTTCAGATATCATTGGTTGACAGAACATTGACAGAATTATCAAACGCTGGTGCTAGTGGAAGTGTTTTCTACCTGACTTTGGATGATGAATTCATCATTAAGACTACACAACACAAAGAAGCAGACTTCTTACAGAAACTACTACCAGGCTATTACATGGTAAGCGTTCTATACTTTTTTGTTCGGAAACTGTCTTGGAGGTTGTTTTCATGGTGAAGCTCGATAAATTTGATTCTTGTTTTAACATGGAGAAACATGTATGTCCCCTTCTCCAACCCAAGGCAGCAATGTTTCATGGACATTTTTTCTTGTGATAACATTGACCTCTCTCCGTTTGCACCTGTCTTTCATGTGCAGTGTTAGTCTTTCTCTCAGCTAGGTTTCGTCAATTTTATTCTCCTAAGTATCAAAATCATTGTCTCAATCAGGAAATTCAATTTTTGTCATCTCCACCTGTATTGTGTAAATGTATAACATGTTTAGAAAGACAATGAAAACCAGGAGACGTGATTTGAGCACAGAATTTAAAAAAAAAGTGTTTCCTTGATGCCAGGCTAGTTTATATTGATCGCTGTGGCAGTTGAAACATCCAGATGATGAACATGTACAATATATAATGACGTAGACATACATGTAAAAGATGTGGGATTGACTTGCTATCATTTTGACTTAAAGGGATCGTTTAACAATGTTAAATCTGAGATACACGGCCCTACGTGTTATCAGTGTCTGTGATATGGTGTAATATTGAGGCCCTAAAAAAATTGCGCTTCAAAATGATCAAGAAGTGCCTCAAAAAAGTAAAATCTTTGAGTGACCGGTTTTACCATACTCGTTTTCCCCAATAGACTGTAGTGTTGTGAAAACCGTCAGGCGAACGGTTTTCAAAGTTTGTAATTCCAATCATAAATATCTTGATTATCACACAGGCGATCGGCTTGTAAAAGTCATGGGGTTCCTGACTGACCTAAAGGTTTATAATTATCATTGCATCATGAGCTAAATCCAAAATTTTATTTCAGAATCTGAGACAAAGTTACCGGATCCCTTTAATGGTTTTCCAAACCTGTCCTGCGTAAAAGAGAAATTGACATGGATGATAGATCATTATGTGAAAATGGAGGTTGGGTATAGTTTCATAGACCTTGAAGAAGTTTGTGGGAGGAGGAAGGGACTTAAGGGAGGGAGAGATGAAAAGAGAGGGAAAGGGAATGGGGGGGGGGGGGGGGGGAGGGGTGGGGTGAAAAATCCATCATGTGTTTGAGATACCTGTTTGTAGAGGAGATTGAATTGGTCAATCTAATTCTGTCCAGAATCAAGGATGCCCTCCCGCACGTTCCTCCTCTACAATAGATCTTTAATTGAGTATCCTTCGCTGGAGGACCCATGATGATATATCGATCTCATAGGGCTATGGGTAAACATTGTATGTTTATATACAAGAATATGAGTTTAATCATATGTATTAAATATATGATGCATGGGTTTTATGATAACTGCTTATCAGAGGAGGGTTGAGGCTCGTTCACATATATGACATGCTGAACTGCTGCGTTTTATGTTCGTGATATGCGCTCCACATTTACACAATAAAGTGAGCACACATAACACATGGCTCGACACCAACCGGCATAAAGCTAGACACATGGGTGCCAAAAATCTTAGTCCAGACCCCTCAAAATCCTCGTCCAGACCCCCCAAAATCATCAGACTTCTTTTACATACATGTATGGCTCATGCATATAGACTCTAAAAAGTTCAATTCGTACCCCTTTCCATTAAAGTTAGTGTGCATGGAGCCTTGTATTACACCTTTGTTGCATGCAGCTATTTATTCCACCCCACTTGCTATCCATTTATACTCTTGTGTGAACAAGCTACTGGTAGCAACACTTTTAGTGTGGTATACTCATTGTGTTTTAGTTTTTTTTGAAAGGCTTGTCAGTCATTCTTTGAAATGCTGTAGTTCTAGTATGTAAATGTAATTTGCCATGAGCAATTTATCCAGATTGCTATTGCTACAGACTCTGCTAGATAAATGCAAGATAAACAATTCTGACTGCCATAGAGTGCATGTGTATATCCACAAAAGGAAATAAAAGCAGACATTTTTTGGTACTTTCTTTTGTGTAGTATTCTTCATGTTTTTAATAAGTAAATATCATGATTCTTTTATAAACCCTCCTTCTTTTTCTCATGCAGAATCTTGTACAAAACCCCAGGACACTACTACCCAAGTTCTATGGTCTTTACACATACCAAAGCGGTGGCAAGAATATCCGATTTGTCATCATGAACAACCTTCTACCTTCAACATTGAAGATGCATCAAAAATTTGATCTGAAGGTGAGCATAATGTCTAATTTGATGTTTTTTTTAATATTTTGTGATGATTGAGAGCCATTTACTGTTTTCTCTCATTCTCCCTCGAGCACTCCAAAGTACAAAGATCATATTTGTATGCATAATGGGAGATTAATATCGTGATTTATGATTAACCTGGGTGGTGTGAGGTAAATCAAAATAGCTTTATTGTTTGACTTGTTATGAATTTGACAGATGATCCAAATTTATAGATAGCTGACTTTATTACAATGTCCTGCATTATTAAATTAAATGAGGAGGGGACAGGAGAGGGGACTCAACACTTTTTGTTGCCACATTCTCATATCTTCTGTACCATTCTGTTACATTTACCTACTGTTTGTCATTAAGTGTCCTATAAATCACCAAGCATTATGTTATCAAACAAATTATCATTTTACCGCATATTCTGTCTGATACAAGCTCTAGTAGGGCTTCCAAATTATTGCAATCATCAGATATAAAAATATTTTAGAAATGGTAGGAGCCCTACCTATGGGACAAGTTCAGTTTATTTCCCATACATGTATTCTGGTATCATGACAAAAATTTGCCACCAAACGTATCATTTTAATAGATACATGTATCTTGTGTGATCCTTCCTTCAGTAGGGCTTGCAAATTATTACAATTATATTACAAAATATGAGATATAGTAGGGAATGTTTGACTTTGAAACAAAATAATAGTAGCTTAATAAATACAGTGCCCTACACGGACATGTACATGTATGAAGTAATTGAGGGACATTGCAATGTGCCATGAATTCCAAAGTCCACAATATAATTGTAGACCTTTGTGCCAGGCACTAGATTTGTACAATCTCCTAGGAATTTTGCTTCACCGTTCAATTAGCAGTGAAATTTGTCAACTCGGTGCAGGTTAGGGTTTGTCAGAAAACATTAGATCGTGAGGTTGACCGGTCAACTGCTTATCATTATTGCATGTTTGCCTGGTAGTAGGATGACAAGTCCAAACAAATAGTAGGATAGGGTCATGTAGGGGACTTCCGTTGGTCATGCTTATTCTCGTGTGGATCATTGTTTATGTATATTTGTTTTCCCTCAGCCTGCCAATGTAGAGGGAACTAGTCGGGTGTGATTGATATGGCATAGATGTGAATTAATGATTTTTCTTTCATTTCTTTTTTAAGAAAAAATTATATATTTTTGAAAGTAAAAAGGAAAAATATGCAATGATTTATGAGTAGATCATAGGATTTGTAGTTTTTGTACATCCTTACCTCTGTTTGAAGGAAAAAAAAGAAAAATAGAGATGAGAGCAGATAGCAGTTCAGCTCTCAAAAGCTCCTAAAGAGCTCTGGAAAAGGAATAAAGTAAGAAATAAATATTTAACATTGCTGAGAGAAATCATCACTTATACAAAACCACAACCAAAAGAGCTCTCACGATCAGTTCAGTGTTTGTTGTACTTGTTATGCTCATGTTGTTATTAACATCATATGAAAGAGTAATATGTACAGTACATGTAGATAGTGTAGTGCACCTTCAAATTTAAAAGATGTCATCTGATGAGAGTTAGAAGGACGTTAACTTATGTAATGTTACATAGAGTGAATGCCATTTTGGATGTAAGCAGACAACATTTTCACGTCTTGGATACCTGACATTGGCAGCTATGAATCTTTCTCTATTTGTTTATTCTCAGGGTTCGACATACAAGAGGAAAGCCTCGAAAGGAGAGAAGCAGAAGAAATCGCCAACATTAAAGGATTTAGATTTCATGGTAGTACATCCCGAGGGGCTGCACCTAGATGCGTTAACATATAATGCTCTACTCAAGACGATACAACGGGACTGCAGGGTGAGTACTGAGTATTCAGTTTAAAGGGGGTGTAGCATGAGGAGTATGCAGTTTAAAGGGGGTGTAGCATGACGAGATTACGTGTCTGTCCCGTGGCCTGACTTGGGGCCAATTGGGTATAATACGACTACAGATGATGCGCCCACAGTATTCACGTGCGTTCAACATACGCGAAACCAAAGCGTGAGGAGAAATTCTGTCTGTTTCGCAAATGCTAGTGCGCGCTGACCGTTAATCAAGTCCATTCGTTTATGTGCAGTTGTCCAAAAGAAGTCGTAGATGGCGTTAACCAGTATTTGCCATGCTACACCAAGGTTGATCCAAAATTTCTCTGCCCTGGCTTATGTCTTTAAAAAGATACAGGGTTATGGGTAGGATGTAGTGCCATGGCTAGGGTTGAAATCAGACTTTCGGTCAGTATAAGAAGTTGATTGTGGTACAAATGCTCCTAAACTTGGATCATAAAACCATTGCAGGGGGTTGTCAGGTGAATCTAGAGTGGGATGACTGTAACATGCTCTATCCTGGCTCAGAGTTGTTTCCCCCATAAAAAATTGCAGTAATAATGATTCTATGTTAACCTTTAATTAATTTTGGTTCGTTGCATAGAGATAAGCCAGCCATCCTGTGTATTGTTTGTATTGTAATACTCTTCAGTAGATTTTATGGCTTTCAGTTGCACCACAGTGCACCACAGTGGCACATAGCAGAGCTTACAGGTATCAAACAAATAGAAAGAATGTTTTAGTTTTTGAATTGTTTAATACAGCAATATCATTAGAGATTCTTTTATCGTATTTCTCTCATTGCAGGTACTTGAAAGCTTCAAGATCATGGACTACAGTTTACTTCTTGGTATTCATAATATTGACCAAGGAATACGAGACATGGTAAATGACCTTCTACATTTTATGCCCACTTTTATTTCTATTTCAAAGCCTTGCAAGAGAAACACACAATTTTTCTGTTATTTGAAAACTTTCATTTTCATCTTGTACTAAGATGCATTTTGAAAAGTTTTGTTAAAGTGGTTTGGTTTAAAAAAAACACTTGAGTGGCATTAAAACAAATATCAATTTGACAATTATGGGGCCAAGGTTATCTTAGTTTACATGTAAGTTGGTATTCATGGTACCCATTTACTGCACCTGTGATGAGAGCAGCAAATGTAGATTAATGCTTTGCTAGAGGACATTAGTGCCACCACTGAGACTTGATCAACAGTCTGGTGATGTATCCACAGAGTAATATTTTTGTCTTGTATGTATTGTGTGAGATCATCAAAAACTAATTGAACACTATACGATGATGTGCTCATTTATTTGAACAGGCCAAAGAAGGAAGGGAAAACCCAGGCACTCCATCAGGTCTAGATGATCATCCTTCAGAGTACCCTGGTGACCCTGGTAGCTATCCTGAGACACCCAGAACACCTACAGAGAGGACACCTAGAACACCTACAGAGAACAGCAATGGCGAAGATCCTCTAAATTCATCATCAGGTATTAAAACAGGGCACATTCTGACTATTTTCTTATGGAGTCCACATCAAAATTTGTAAGGGATTATATGTATGAGCCTCATGATAAAATTTTAGGGGTTCTGGATGTAGATTTTGGGTGTCAATGTGTCCAGTCTAGTCTTAGCGATAATTTGTGAACTCAGCAAGTTCCTTAACAAAAGAAATTCAGTTGTTTGTTGAAAGCATTCTTAAATTTTGTTTTTATCTAGGAAAGAAATATCCATTTATTTTGATACATTATGAAATGGTCAGCTAGATATTTGAATTTTCACTTTTCATTTACAAAGAATATGCTATAGCTTTAAATTGTTATGGTCGTGATCAGATTTTCGAAATAATAGCCCTCGTGAATGAGGACCAACTCCTTGACAGCAAATATCTTTGGATAAATGCAGAAAAATCTAAAAGATACAGATTTATTACAACCTTACAAGAATTGACAAAGAAAAACATTTTCTTATTTTTTAAATCTAGATAATTGATTTAGGGAAAAGCAAATTGTCATATCTATGATATAAATGCGATTTTGGTAGTATATAATACAAAACCGCCATTCGCCTTCCCAAACTCTGTTTAAAAGCTTGCATTTCATTTCAGATGAAATTGGTTTGGAAATTTAGATGCAAGTATGTAAAGGACGTTGTGACAGATAAGCTTTGTTTTTTCAAAGAATTATCCCCTGAAATCTACTACATGTACTACCAATCAGCTATCTATCTGTTACTCTTTTCAAAGTGTATAACTTTAAAATCATACTCTGCGTTTGGGGGATTCTTTTTGATATTCATAAGTTGTATACTTTCATTTCATCCATTTTAATGCTTGTTTGAAGGTGTACCTCCAAGGTTAGAAAGATCACGTTCCTATAACAACAGACAGAGAGTAGCTGCATTCTCAACGACGAGAGAAGCCATCCAGGGTCAGTCTGATACATACGTGTCAGGAGGAGAGGATGAACAGTAAGTTTGATACTTTCTCAAGCTTGGTCTTGTTTGTTAATCTTAGGTTTGCAGATTCGTAAAGGAGACAATGAAAGATATGAAATCTCGAGTTCTATTAATGAAAATATAAATAAACTTTAAAATGTTGCCACCTAGACTTTTTTTTACCTTTTTGGTACAGTGCAGTTGCGAACAATAGCTACTTCAGGTATGAAAAAATATTTGCCTAATTGTTGAAATCTGGTTATACCTAAGATTTCCAAATAGGGTGATGAAATTAGCTCTCTGGTGCTCCGATTATGCCATATTTCACTAATCTATTAAAATACAGAATCAAAAAAGCATTTCTATGACATGAAATGAGAAATTTGTTAGGTGTACAAGACATCAGAAAAAAGTGACGTTACTCAGTTCTTAAAAATTGAAATAAATAAGAAACAGCACTAGTTGTTAGTTCAATGTTCTTTGGTAGTTTAAGAATGATGTCCAGCCAGCTCATAGATAAGTGCTATTAAGATACACAGTGTCTTGAGGAGATGATGAATAATAAGACTTTACTAACTCAATTCTCAAAGTTGATATAAACCCGAACCATTGTTTAAAACCAGTTTAGTATGGAGTGGCCAAAAGGGGAAAATTTGACATAATTTCACAAGAGATTCCACCCACAGCCATCTTAATACATTTGTCTCAGGACAGGATGAACATTTCTTAATAATTACTATTTTTCTTAACTTGTATCATATAAATAGGTGCTTCTTGAAATTTTAATTGTGATATGAATACCCCAGTACGTAGTTGTATTTCACCTTTTATTTTTCTCCATCTCTCTTTTAGGAGTGGTGGTATTCCAGCTAAAAACTCAAAAGGAGACCGATTATTACTCTTCATAGGCATCATAGACATCTTACAATGTTACAAGTAAGTAATAAAATCTCTTAAAACACTGAATATTCAAGTGAAAGATGGAAGTATTTGAAGTCATGACAATAATAACTGAAATATTGTCATGAACTGTATAGATTATATTTGTGTATTTCCCACATGAAGCAAGGAACTTACATGTAGTAGTAGTAGTAGAAATGTTACCTTATGTCTACAAAGTTATGATATTTAATGTATTTCAAATAATCTTTGATATTAAAGTTAGAGACAACTTCAGCTGTTCATAATGCTGGTGTGTACTACATTCCTAATTTTGTAATAGAAAGATATAGCAAACAAGGAGATGGTACCTTCATACAAATCACTTTAAAATTTGACATTTATTTGAAATTTTACAAAATATGGAAGCTAGAGCACTAAACCATGACAGTTATATATGAGGGATTATTTGATGATTGCTTGCTCTTCTTATTTCCTAGATTAACAAAGAAATTAGAACACACATGGAAATCAGTTGTACATGACGGTGATACAGTCTCAGTTCACAGACCTGATTTCTATGCCAACCGTTTCAAGGAATTCATGGCTAAAAATGTCTTCAAGAAGATACCTCGTAAGTTGATCTTTTTCATGTCTTTATCATAATTATATACATATATATATCTTTGCTTTGTATTTTGTGGGTCAGTGGAGATAAATATTGTGCTTTTCTATTTTATTATTTATAGTGATTTAACTTTGCATTAAAATGTTCAATCATGTTTCTTTGATTTAGATGAGAGGGATACATCATATAAAGAAGATATAGTTGAGGCAAACTATGTGAAGAGTATAGAGTACTGAAATGTGACATCATACTGGCCAAGTTTAATATCAAGGTTGCTGGTTCCAAACAATTTTGTGCTCAACATTTGTTTGGTGATCACACCAGCCCCAAACACTTAATTTTCCCTGCTCCAGCCCATTGCTTGAATGATTTCACAGTGAACCTCTTGCGCAGGCTCTGTTGTTTAAAAAACACTAACCTTGACAACATGCAATATGACGTTAGAACTTCGGTACTTTATTGCTTGGTTATACTTAGTTGCCATAGTAACAATCTGAGATGCTGTCTCTATGGATGTTTTCTTCTTTCTTGTAGATTTATTCTCATTTGATAACGTTTCTCAAGATCTTCTTCCGTTTAGGGGTAATGTAGTGGTATGGTTCGGTTTGGTCTTTCGAATGCCATGAAGAATTTGGTTTACAGTGAGTGTGTCTGCATTTCCCCTATTTTACTGATAATTTCCAATTTTGGGTGCTACATATACATGTATGTACAAGCTCTTGTAAAGGACCGTAAACATTAAAATATTGAATATTGTCTATTTGGGTCAGAAATTGGAAAAAGTGATAGAAATAAACATGTAACTCACCCCTTCTATTCTGCAGGTGAACAAACAAACAAACAAAAATATATGCTCAGATAATGTTCAACCATAATGGTAGACTATGAAAAGCTTATGTTTTTATGGGGGAAAAATGAGGTTCGTTCATTATGAACTTTGCTCCATGGGAGATACTCCTTATCCAATTGAACTACAAAGATGTACATGTAATTATGATAGAAATCAAATTTATTTCTTTGCACTTTTAAGAGACACATTTGGGTGCATAAACAGTGATGTAGAACACCATTGTTTTGGCTGGGATTTGGCATAGACAATATTGCACTTAATATGGATGAGAATGCAAGCTGACATATATATTTGAGTTCAGAAAGCAGACTTCTCAGAAATACACATCAGCCGTTCCATGCAGATTAGAATAGTTAACTTAAAAGCAGAGATAAAAACATTGAAATGCAATAAAAACAGATTGAAAGTTTCCCCATGTTACGTTTCTCCATTCGCATCACACAATGGTGTTTATAGTATCTAGAAACAGTGGGTATACTAATCTAAACAGGTGCGCACATGGCACAATCTTTGAATAACATAGTTTTATAGTTTTATGTTGAGCTATACTTGCGCTCTTCACTATCAACAAAAACAATCCTTTTAACGCAATTAAATGTAAATGGTAAGGGTACATTTCAAAGAAGTGCATGATTGTATTAACCTAACCCGCTAATAATATTAGCCTACACAATAAAAGTGGCTATGTATTATTGAAATAGTATTTATATAACTACTGTGTGCTTTAATTTTTTGTTCTTGTATCATTCAATTTTTATTATTTGAGTGGTTTTTTTTTTACCCCATTGTGCTTTCATGTAGCATGCAGCTCTACCCTCTTACCTTTCGATGTAAACATTTATTGAGTAACCTAGACTAAGATTTAAATCAGCAGTCTAAGTACATTATGAAGCTCTGTATTGCATGCTTGTATCTTTGTTTATCATAGAAATCCTCCAGCCCAAATCTGGCTATTATTGTGATCGATGTATCAAGTTTAAAGATAAAATATGATTACTTACAGTGACACTACATTTGGAGGGAATGTTTTTAGATGTCATAGTGATCATCATATTATCAGTATAATACATTTTATGTTATGATAACCAGCCAAATATGAAAAAAATCATGAAAACCTGCTGAAATCATTATACCTGAAAATTACCAACACAGATATAGGGCAATATCAAGGGCTCTGCAGATACACTGTAGACAACATGCTTTACCAGGACATAGACCTCAAATTTTGCTGAATGCCTTAGTTAATTTTGCCAGCTACTAGACATTACATATTTTTGTTTTAGTGTTTTAGAGATGCTTATTTTATTTGTTTCTTAATATGAACATTTTTTAATGATTATGTTGGATTCTGTTGGAATTCATTATTTGATCATTACCCAAACTCAAGATTTTGAGAGCCTACTCCATAATTAGACTGCAAATTTAAATCTGACTTAAAATCAGGCACATTTCTAGTTACGGGCCTATGTATTTATTATTTGTACTTCATTTAATTTCTTATATTAATTGACGTTGCTTTGTCTCCAGTTCGAAGAGAGAGTGATGCAACCCCATTAATCAATGGTAACAGACTTTATTCTCTTCAAAATCATTGCTTTTTACTCAACCTTTTGCCCTTATTCCCATGCTTGAAAAGGTGATTGGTATTCTATATAAAAAACAGTTTAGTCATTCTTAACATGTACATGTAGATGTACATTATTCGTTATATGGTAACTCATATTTCATAAGTTTAATGGAAAACTGTATTTCCCTTATTTAAAGGATTATTAACACAAATGGGATTATTTATTAAAAAGGCTTTAAAAAGTTCAATGTCACTTGTACAAATAATGCAGGCACTGTGTAGTTATTTATTAGTTGAACAATGCGTACCTACATGTATATTTATGTAACTAATGATACATACTCGGATTGAATCAAACAAATGTACAATAAGTGTTGAAATAGATCAAGTTATAGAAACTTTGTAGTCCATAAAATATGCATTTCTTACAAATCAACTTCATCATTATTATTTAGATAGATGTTAATTAGTATTCAGTGAAGTACCAAGCAGAATCTAGTATCTTGTAGTCTCCTCAGAATGCCCTCATTCCCCAACCCCCTGCAAATATTCAGTCTCAACTATATAGTTCTAATTCATGGAAGTTCATTGTAACATCTTTTACCTTGTAGTATTTGTAGCGGGAAGGAAAAAAAAAAAGCTTTTCACAACTCTATATTGCTTCCTGGAAAGAGGGCAGTGGTAAAGATATGGTATTTTTTATTGCTGGATATTATCTGAAATAATGGGGAAGAATGATCTTTCATAATTGGTTAGATTTCGCATGAAATTTGTATCTGCTTTATTAGTCTTTTTTGAGTGTGTGTTGCATGTCTGACATTGACAGTCAGTTCCTTGCTGTATTTGTGCTTTTTAGAGTAAGATCAAATGGTTTCTTTAATAGGTGGAGGGTCATTTTGACATTTGTCAGATTTTATACCAAAATTAGTGCAAGTTAATCATTTCCTTTTAATATCAGGTTAGTAGTTTACTTATTCTTAATATGTACTTAACGCTGCATAGACCATAAAGAGGATCCCAAAGAGCCATTTGCATATCACTTGTAATCAACCCAGGTTTCCTTTGGTCAACTACATCAGCCATATGAACTAAATAAAGTTAGCAGTGTAACTTGGTGAAAGAGCTTATACTAATGGGTCCATGACAGGGCACTTGTATCCAAATGGAAGCATCATTGGCAATTCTTATTCAAATCTTGTTATCAACAAGTGTTTGTAGTTCTTCCATGTTTATGAATAATTTACATCACGCATATGAATATCAAGTGTTATTAATAGACTATGAAATCACAAATATCTCTTCCAGGAAGTAACCCTTCCTGTATGTATGATCATATATTGAATCCCCTACATGGTGTATTAAATACAAAATAAACAGTTTTTTTTTTTTTGGGGGGGGGGGGGGGTAAAGTAAAAGCCCTCTTCCATCAAATCATTGAAACAAAACAAAACAAATAAGTCATCTAGATCTTAAACTCTTTCATTTGCAGGATTTTCCAAACTCTTTACTTTTTTTTTTACATACGGTACTGTATCTAAATGTAATCAAAGGTGTATATCTTCTTAATTAGGGATTAACGTGATTCATATGGATTATATTTTTAATCTAATTTTTTATGGAACTATCACTTTTTTTAAATAACAATGTATCAGAGAAAGGAAGAATGTACACTTTATTCTAGAGTTCTGATTCAATTGTTTGAAAGGATAACTTTCATATCACTTTAGTATGGTGCAAAACATACAATGGAATGTTTTGAATTACTGTGTTAAGATGCAGAAAACTTCTCAGTCATGCAGTAGTTATATTTTAGGACATTTTCTTCATAAAAATATCATATCGAAGATTTTATGGCCATTTTTATACCTGCACATATTTTGCAATTTATTTCGAAAATAAACTTCTACAAATTTAAAACAAAGGAAAGCTCTATGCATGTATTCCATACTTGGTAGATATTTTTCTTTATAAATTATGTATAGTAGAAAAATGAATCATTAGACATCTAACTTCTTGTAAAGTTCAATATTTATTGATGTTTTCAAAAGATGAAATGGAACAGGTAGTGTTTGTTGTTCAATGCAACCATGTAAATGAAGAGGTCTTCAAACTGGATTTAAACAAGGATAGCTGATTCTTAATATGTTTGATATCATGGATGACTAATTGTATTTATGCATAGTAGCAATATCTTGATCAGTCCCATCTTTATCTTTGGGTGGGTAATGAACTAATAAACATGTAAAATGTACCGGTATTCTAGGCTTGTTATTGCAACAAGATAAGTTGATAAACTAAAACTTTTCTTGTAATACTCATTAACTTAAGAAATAATTATAACATTTACTGATTCCATTCTGCACTTATATCTTCCTTGCAGTGAAACACTCGCCATCTAAGAAGAGGGGTCAAGCAGGTCAGTACAGCCAGAGCTCCAGGCAGGCGGACAGCAGTGGGGCTAACCGACCCAGGTCACAAACTGAACCTGTACTCTCAGAACCCCACTCCAAGAAGACACTTCCAACAGAAGAAACAGGTATATCATGGTACTCTTGATCTTTCTGAAGCCTTGTTTACATGGCTTGTTAAACCATTTCAACAAAAAAGTGTTGCAGCAAAAGAAAATGGCTTATGGGAAGTGTGCTTTTCATTTCTTTATCTTATTGATCATGTCTATTGATTAGAGGGTATGCTTCAAATTTTTGTTGAGTAATGCTCCTCTCGTTTTTAAAATGCCAAACTACCTTTCACTTTGTCATAAATTTGTTTTGCTGTGCAGCAGCATTTTATTTAGAGTGGTTTATCGCATCATGTCTTGAGTGGACGTCAGTCATTTCTATGTAATTTGTGCTGTTGTTGGTGCCCCAGGATTCTTGGTAAAATTGTGAATGGCAGGAAGGGATTAAGAGAGTACTACTTACTCTGAAACATCAGCTTAAACTTCCTTATAGACAAAAAGTCTCTAGGACTTGGATATAAGTTGCGAGAAATATGAATGAGAGAGAAGTAATAACTTCTTTACCTGAAAATGGGAAATTGCTCTGATATTGTGCATGAACATAGGCAATGTAATGATAATGATTTTTCTTGTAGAATCTTGCAAATTGGTTTAGAACTGATTGGACTTGTCATACTCTGTACTGAGCTATTTTGATATCACATACAATCTAGGTGCCCGTCCAAAGGAGCCTAGACCTGACCTAGTTCCTAGTACCCCGCCCCTTGGAGGGGAAGCCTCCGGCTACACGCCTTCAGTAGAGGTAACAGAGACGTCTGACGCCAGCGCTGAGAATGCAATGCCCGCCAAATCAGCATTCCGGCTCAAGCAGCAATCAACGACTACTACAGCGGTCAGCGATGACCAAGCCTCGCTGTTGGACATCAACATCCAGACCGAGGGCAGTGGCTTAGCCATGCAGGAACTTGAGCGAAAGCTATCAGCGGCACACTTAGAACAGAATATAGACTATACGCAAAGGTGAGAGAGAGTGTATGTGAGATTAGGAGACGCTAGAGGGTCGGGGACAGTGGTTGAATCATCTGAAGGAAATGATGCTTGTGGATGGCAAGCAAGGGATTCCTGTTTAAGATATTTCATAGAACTTAGAAGAAAATTGAAGCTGCAAACATGCTGGAGAATATGATAACCATACGTATTGAATTGTAGGAATGTATGAAGGAGGAGGTGGAGATTAGTTTCTCGATATGAAAGCTCTCCTTATGATAACATTATTATAAAAGAATATGACAGACCAAATGTGGAGCTTGATCACATGAACATACATAGGAAAAAATAGTTGGAAGGTTTGAGAAACTTTCCAGTTACATATTGCTATCATTGACTAACTTAAACAAATCTAGTCTATGGCTTTAGTGCCCTAGCAGTGCTCTCTTGTGTATCTTCTATCAAATAGTTGGAAGGTTATTTCTCTTTAAAAATAGATCAAAACCCTTTGACCTAGTAATTTCAGGCTTCATTAGTTCAAAGAAATCAGTCATATACGACATATATTTTGAATAATGGGAAGATAATTATTCAGGAATTATTGAGATCGTGTGACAAGTTTCTTATCAAGCCTTATCTGTTCAGAGCCTGACAGGCTTTAACTCTAACATTGACTGAATGATATGAGTTAAAGCCCTTCTGGCTCTCAGCAAACAATATTTTCCTCTATGTCAAAGTTTGATTATTACTTTGATACATCTGCTCCCCAAGTATAAGGGAACTGGAAAAAGCATTCTGTATTTATCAACCATCATGCCTCATTAACGTGTGCCCTTATTCATCCTATTATATCTAAAATTCAGTCACACCTCTGTGGCCATTGTATCCTTGGTACACTCTATCTTCGAGTTGTAGTTACACTTTTTTTCCCTCATGGTGTTGTGCATTGTAGATGCCTTGTGTTGTCTGCCCAGAGCCAGAAGGGTCTTAACTCGTTCCATTTTACAGCGTTAACGCCCTTCTGACTCTCAACAGACACTATGCTTATGTACGGCACATACTAGCTATCCTCTTGCAGTTGCACTGGTTGTGTCGCCCTTGCTAAGGTTTATAGAAAAACAGGTTTGGCAGGATCTGAAAGACTTACAAGAAATCTCCTCTCTAGCAATTTCAATACCGTATGAATGGATCGTACGATGTAATAATTGACTTGAGGAGCAGACTGGGATTGAAATATGGTAGGGAATTTTGATATGACAAGCACATATGTATGATTCATACAAACCGGCCCTTGGACATTAATTAACTGGCTCTAGCCAAAATATTGAGGCGTTAGGAAACTCCTTGAAGCCCTCATGGGTCATGGCCAGTCCGCCCCTAGATGATTGGCTGTAGAGTTTATTTTGTAAGAGTCATGTGACATGTTCGTATGAATAACAGATACACCTACCTGTGTATTTGTAGATGTATCTGTATGCATTCAAGTTTACTGTAGTTGTAATGTCTGCTAAACCTTGCTCACAAGGTCATGTTTTTTGAGAGTTAGATGAAGTAGAAGAGAACAAAAAGAGAAAAGAATATCAGGGAGATAACATTGAGGTCATGGCTATATTACGACATTACAAAGTACATGTATGTATTCGTCAGTCTCATGCATTTTTTTTTTTTTTTTTTGCGGGAGGGGGGGGGGGAGACCTACGTAAAAGAAATTCTGGCTGACATTATTAAAAATATATTGTTAATGTTACAGTTTGATAGTATGACAAGCTACATCTAATAAGGAAAGAAGAGGATAATTAATAAGTTTATACCGAATTAGATCCTGGCAAACAGTCTGAAATAGATCAATGAAGAAATGTGAATTTTAAGTATTAGGTCTGACATATGTTTTGCTGAAATTAGTTTAGTGATGCTTTCTTTCACATCACATTGTCATATTTCACTTCATATTAAAATCGTTAATCTCTAACTTTCATAGTACATTAACATTCATTCATTTGGTAGACTAGGTTAGAGCATTGCATTCTATTTGTAACCACTAATACCCATGCTTCTCCTCTTCTCCCCATCTCTCTCTCTCTCTCGACCCTTGACCCTTGCTTTCTGCCTCAATCTTTGCCGTCATGAATTATTCATTTTCTTTGAACACAACCTTCACATACGGATAATCTTTGTATTTATCATTTATATCCTATTAATCGACTTACACCTGCTTCTGCTATCGTTTGGCTTGCTTTTTTTTTTGGTTGCTCCTTGCTCTGTTGTGTATGATTAATGTGAACGCATGCCTTTCGTGCTCCTCCACCTATCCTTGACCTCCTTGCTTGCATACATACCCCCCTCTCTGTTCTGGAATGCGGTGACAGGCCGACACTAACGACAATGTTACCCTTCACCCCGAATCCCACCCCAACCACGTCCCCCACCGTGACCACCCCGTCTGTTTCCCCACCCCCCTCCTACAGTGGCAGCAGCACGCTAGACACCGGTAGCGAGTCCTCCCCTAGGAAGTCCCACGAGTTTGATTCGCCCTACCACCAGTCAGAGTACCATGACATCATCCTCAAAGGGAGCCGGGAGAACCTGTCCGTAGGAGGCGTCTCGACGACGGCGGAAGAAGCAGGAGAAACGATGCAAGGAGATGTGGATGTGAATGGGCTTTCACGCTCAGAAAATGGAGGAAGAACTCATGAAGAGGATAAAGGGGAAGATGTAGAGATTGATGGGAATGTAGGAAGCGTTTGGCTATGAGGGAGCCCTTCATAGTTGGCATTCCACTTTGCCGTGCTACGTGGTTCTAATGTTGCAAACGGTGTATGACTTTAAAAAGCAGTTGTGTCATTTCCAGTACGGCAGAGAGATCTTCACGTCAGTTATCAAGCCAGTGCTATGTGAGTGCATACGTAATGGTGTCATGTCATTAAATAAGTGTTTGTGCTGAGTTTTGGTTAAATGGATCAACTCTTTCAAGATTGTGCAGGTGGCATCTGATCCGTTATCATGATTTGCCCAGAGCAGCAAAATGGAATCACAGATGGATGGCATCATCCAACACGATCAACATACGGACTTTGGGTGTGTGTTAACAATAGCTTAACAAATAAAATATGGAAAGTGTTTAGCTTTGAAAATTAACCCCTAATCCATGTTAGCATGATACAAACTAACCTGCATGTTCTCCTTGATATCCAAATCCATGCATTATCTTGACCCAATTATCATGTTATGAAATTTCCCCTTTACCTTTCCCCCTATTAAGATTTGAATGGCTTGTCAATGTAGGAGAGAGAGAAATGTTCTTGTTGCAACAGAGTTGAATATTTGCAGTCTTTGTCCTTTGACCTTTATGCTTGATCCAATGCTGACCTCAGTATGACCTTAGTATGACCTTTCCCTGCTGCCCAGTTTGAAGAGTAGGATTTGAATACCGAATAAGAAAACTACTGTAAATCCACAATTATCCGAGAGTCCCTCTTTCATTTTCCCTGCTCCCTTCCTTGGTTCTATTGCATTCTTGATTTTTCTTTGACAAGTTGGAAGTGTATAGAGCTTCTGGCACTCAGTGCAATGAGAACATTAGTTTTCAGGCTAACGATGAAGATCTACTGCAACAGAAAGTAGATTGCCTCTGCCTCAAAATGTTGTTCCACAGACATTATTTATAAAAAAAATGTTTTTGATTTCATCATACTTTTTTTAGTGGAATTTGTTATCCAGATGATAAGTTGATTAGAACCCAGTATTATTTCCATAAAGATTTCTCGAATTCAGTAAGTGTATATATTTTGTTTAAAAAACAAGAAGCTTTGCTTTGCAACATAATATATTCATGAAAAAGTAATTTTGCAATTAAAAGCCTGTTTGAAGAAATGCACAGTTTGCGGCATTTAATTTGGTCAAATCCACACTTCTGATTATTAATTATTACATCACATTCCCTCTTTCCATGTATGCTTGATTAAATTAAATAGAAAATTATCTGTTTATACTTTTGGCCTTTTTTGAGCTGCAATAAAGTAAACTAGGTTTGAAAGAAGAACAGACCAGGTGCACAGTTCAATAGATCAAAGACTGTCTGGAATTAACGGGCTATTTCATATATGTAGCAGGAACAAACAAAATGTGGCAGCAGTAATTTTTACATTTCCGTTTATCCAGAAAAAATGCAGATTCTAGTGCACTGATTATTAGCTTTACATATCAACATTTTATTAGCCTAGGATTATAACAGCGCCAAACTCATGTGAGAATTATCTTTTTTTTTTAAATGACCATTTTCTCCTTTTATATTTTTTCCTTGTATGATGTCAATGCATATTGAAAAGACAGAATGTTATGTGGCATAATGCTGTTCATGCAGCGAGTATATTTTTCTTTATAATTTATCAAATTTCAAAGTGAAATATTACTTTCTTTGTTTTTATTTGTTACAAAAGGTATTATGTATCATTTAAAACTTTAAAACAAAACAATGTCATATCATTAAAGTAAGACCAAGTATTATTTTTTTCGTTTGTTTCCGTATGTGTATATTGTATATAAAAATATACACCTCTATAGATGTATATACTACAGCTATTTAATATTTCAGTTGTAGCATTATTATAAATAGTATTGACTATGTCATAATCTCAACTATATTTTGTGTAACCATTTTCCATGAACACGTTGATACATTATTCAATTGTCACTTGTTTATATTGTTTTATTATGTGCAGGCGCATTAAGAATAGGTCAAACCTTTTTATATTGGATGTATTTTCTTCTCCCCTTCCCCCTGATTTTCTCTCAAGTTGTTACCTCTGCTGTATATTGGTATATATTTCAACCTCTTTTATTGTGTACTTCACCAAGCTTGAAGAATATAACCTCGTTTACATATGCCGCGGGAAACTGCTGCGGTACACTGCATGGGAAAAAAATAATTGAAGTGCGATTAACAGTTCTGTATCTTATAACACAGAGGTAAAAGTTTATAGGGTAAGGGGCCTTGTGTGCAGATCCTTTTTTTTTCCATCCCTACTGCGATTCATTACACTTAAAAAAAAAAAACCTGCCACTTTAAACTGCTGCAGTTTTCCGCATCATATGTGAACAGGCCTAAACGGTTTGTGATGATGGATATGTATATTGACTGGATTATTGAGCTATGTATTGATTGTCATGTTGTACAGCAGTACCAAGTCTGTTCTCTATGTGCCACATGAATGTGATAACCAAAGCAATAAAGTGGATGAAGCATTGTGATCAATTTGTGGATTCAAACTGTACAGGCTCTTGCTGTGTGAAAGAAAACCAACAACAAAATAAACGGTCAAATGTAGTATTGTATGTTAGGTGGTTGTTTCACGTTAGTCGTGCTTCTTGTCTCATGGATTCATTTTAATGCCAGATGTTTTGAGTACTTCAAACTGTAGTTAAGAAAGAATTCAACAATAGCTGCAAAACATCAGTAACATGATAACTTGTTAATATAAAGTTATCCCTACAGTTATGTAGTATAGTATTAATGACTGCTTTGAGAGAAATAGTTGTTTTATTACGCTCAAGGGAAGGTTAGAATTGTGCTATTCCCAGAGGCTTGCCGAGGGGAATAGCCCAATTGTAACCTTCCCGAGAGCGTATGAAAACAACTATTTCTCGAATATTAAAGCAGTCATTAATACTTTTATATGCCGAAAAAAAATAGACTAAAAAATAAAAAATAAAAAATACTTTTTTTTTTGGTCGAAGATGAGATTCGAACTCTTGCGTACTAAAGGTGATGTATCTAAAGTCAGCGCCTCAAACCTCTCGGCCATCGCGCTCTATTCACACGCTTGGCGGTTTTGTACAATATATACATTAAAATGAATTGAAACCGGCTTCGCGTGTGATGAATGCTTCGCAAAAGCTCCATATACGGACTCTTCTTTTACTTTTGCAATGCATATTGGCACGAACTTAGATCAAGATCTATCGGCAGATGTTGTTTTTTTGTTTTTGGAAGTTTATCTTCGTCTTCATGTCAACAATGCAAGATAAAATTGTCGGTAAGATCGATCGAGATTCAATTGTATTGAAATTACCGACCAATCCTTCGCACACATACGGTATCCTCCATCGCTCAAACCATTTTTTAACATGTAAACCTATGGGGTAACCATGGAGGCTGACCTATTTTTTTAATAACCATGGTTATTAAAAATATTGAAATGTTTTAAGCATGGTTACCGGGAATTTTACAGGAACAGTTGAAGTTTATGAATGCAATTCGACCAATCAGATGGCTGGATTTCTTAAGTGAGGTATATAAAATAGATTACTGACATTAGTAACCTTTGCCTGTGGAAGTAGCAGAACATTTGCAGATAAGCTGCCTGCAGGCTCAATTAGATTTAACCCAATCAATTGCAGAGATGGTTTCTGCTTTATATCTAAAGATAAATTAAGGGTAAGATGGAAGCACCTTTAGCAGAGCTGACCACTAACAATTGCAATTCACTAACAATATGGGTGCCCAAATGTAAGCCTAGACCCCAAAACATCTCAATCCTAACATGGGGCTCAGGCATACCCACCCCCCCACCCACACACACAACGGCAACAAAGTTAAAAAGTTAAGTGTGTGGGGCCCTGTTTTTAGCATGCATCTATAATCTATATGTACTGACATGACTCCCACTGCCTAGGGAGGTCTCTGAACTGCCTGTGCATCATTCCTTTAATGGCTTGTTGCTCTCAAACCTGCATAGAAAGACCTCTAAGAGAGACACAAAAAGTGGCCTTTCTAGGTAGATGGTCTTTATTTACACTGACACATGTTTCAAGAAACACTGGTTAAAGGGGAAAAGGCAGGTGGTCATTCTATACAGGTGATGGCTAAAGCAGATTCCATGCAATGTGTTGTGTATGACATATGCATTTTGTTCCCCATTTATTTTCATCCCAAAATGAAAAATATCTTGGTACGACAATGTAATAAAATTTTGTGCTCCCAATTCTGTAGAGAACCGTAAGCAAATTTGTTACCGGTATATCAAGAGATTTTCATTTTTTTGAAGAAATAAAATGGATAAATGTCATATGTCGCATAGGACACACTGCAGAAGATAGACCACAAGCAGATTTCATGGTGTCAAAATAGGGGGAATGTTTCAAAATTTCAGATGAACTGCAACACACTGTTCCTTAATCTACTGGACACTGAATAAAGACTTCTTTTTTTTATCTTACATTGGACCTGTCATTCCAACTATGTGCCAGTCTTAGTACGAATGCAATAAAACTTCAATTTATTATGATCATTATCAGTAATCTACATTCAATTGTGTTAATTCATTAAATTGGACATGTATCATGACGATAGGGTTTTGAAATTGCCTTTGACTTGATTTCTCGAAAGTCTTTGCAATTGTGTTTGTTCTGATTCTGCCAAGAAAATGCAAAGAAGGAATTACTAAAATGTTTCCTATTGTGTAAGGTTCAGAGCCAACATCAAGAGTATTACAATATGGGAGGCATAAAACGAGTGTAGCAACAATAAAAGGTCGTTATTTTATTAAAAGGGGATTCTCTCGTGAACATGAGAGAGAGGAGGGGGGTGGGGCGGATGGGGGTACTGTACATGCTTCAAAGAGACAGAGTAAAATTATTTATATTTGTAAGGTGTTGGCACAACTGCCTCTAATCTGGTTAATGTAAAATGGTACTCCATCGAGTACACATTCTCAGATTCTCTAGTGTAAGTTGTTTACCGTGGAAAGAAACTGAGAAAAGTTGCAAGGGACATTTTCTGCTCACGTTCTAGAGTGCAGTTCATTATAGATGTACAAGCCTGGGAAGTTTTCGAACACGGTTCCCACATTACAAATCTTTGTGTTTTACTTAACCTCATTTTGTTGAACAAATTTGGGTAGTGGTGGTTTTGGTAGTGGTGGTTTTGGTAGTGTACCTCCCTCCCCCCCCCCTTTCTCCAAGCATTGTTTTTCTGTAGGTCAGGAATTTGTATTTCGTAGTAAGTGTCAAGCTTTAGAAGCACAAGAGTTCAAAGTTGAGTGTGCCATGTAAATAATTGTACATTTTGAAACCAGGGGACAACAGAACCTCTTGTTTCTCCTCTCTGTCTTCAACTATGGTGCACATTTGTATGTAAGCAATGTAATTATGTAAAGTGTATAAATTAAAATGGCTGGACTCGATGCAGAAAATAGATGGAAAGAGGGAAGGATTTAATACTGTGATGAATAAACTTACCCCTGTAAAGTTGGGTGGTATATATTTAATATATTGTTATTACCTTTGTCAAAACGGTATTGTGGTATATGCATTTGTCAGTTGATTCTTTTTGTTGAGGAAAAAGGTACAAAGAAATACACCAAAGTTTTGTTTATGTTTTTATAAAACAAAGCTTTATAATATTAGAAAAGTAGACAACCAAATCTGTGTATCTCAGACTCGTGCCAGTGATGTCATCAATATTCTAAACATTTTATTTATGAGCTGTTATGAGATATGGATATATGTGACAAAACAATAAAATCACCATGCTATCAATATAATGTCTGTTTGGAGCCAGAAGGGCATTATCTCATATACTTCACACACAGTTAACACCCTTCTTGTTCAAAACAGACAATATTCCTTTGTCATGGTTTGTGGCCAGGTTTTCAGCTTTGAAATCTGGGAAAGCAATTTAGTGGTAGTTACTCAATTATATCAATTCAAAGCAATCAATTACAAAATTTAAAAACGAAACTCTGAAGAGAATGTACTCTGTCATTTGTAGGTTTTTTGTGAAATTAAAAAAAAGAGTGTCTCAAGCTGAAAGCAATGTTCCTGTGAAATCAATATTTACAAAGTACAAGGAGGAAAAAACACCAAAGAAATGGTTATTGAAAAATAAGGATGCTTTTTTACAATTCTGTAGAACATATAATATTACTGTTATTTGTTGTGGAAATGTAATATCATAGTGCTTGCACATTTAATGTAATGCTCAATAGACCTCAACCTTACACAAATTACTGCTTGTGGTACCAGTATGTACCACTAAATTCAATCAATTTAAAAAAGCAAAGAAGTTTTGTTTTGTCTGCATCAATCTCTGATAATAGCTCATAACTATTGCGAAGGAACAAATATCCTTACAAGGTACATAATAATTGAAAGCAAAAATATGAAGCCAATAACCAAAATATTAATGCCTGTCATTTTTTCCTTGGTGTTATAGAATGACTAGTGTCTGTAGCACACATATCTGCATGACCAAGCCATGCAAAGAATAAATTGTATTACCACTTTATCAAAATTTGCTGTCTTATGGAGTTTTTGTGTTGTTTCAGTGTGTAACAAGAACATTTCAATGAATACATTATCAGCAGTAAGAGTAAGAGGGTGCAGGGAACTCTTCCTGTCATTCAGCTGATCAAAAATGAAAAATGGAAAGTAATTAAAAAATGAAAAATGGAAAGTAATTAAAAAATGAATGCTTTTTCTAGGTATCGGGCTGGTATTATGAGAACACAGACTAATAATGAAGCTCAATTCCAACTTTTTATTTTTGTGTGTGCAGATTTCTTTATGAGCTATCTACCGTTTATGCAGCTTCATGCCTTCATATACCCATGCACAGTCATACACCAATGATTCTTTAATTCAGATTCAAATTCAAATAGCTCTTCCTAAAATAAAAGATGGTTTAGTTTCCAGATTATTATATGAAAGATCTTTTTACCGCTTTTTGACATGTTTGGGCTTGTCTTCTAAAAAAAATGGTCTCCCTGAAAATGATTTTAATGATTATAAAGACTGTAAAGTATAAGAACATTTTTGCTATCAACTCCCTCAGATCAGATATGAGATAACAAGTATAAATTTTCATGAAATCCTTGACCTATCAAGTCTGGTCAAGTAGATAAACTGGTTTTCACCAAGATTAGTATTCTAAATTCACATTCTGGAATATAGTCCAGAGATTTAAAATGGTGCTTAATAATTGATGAAGTAAAAAAGAAATTGTACACTTAAGAAATATTCTGTTAAAGATGCAGTTGTACAGTATAAAATTATAGAAATTCAGGGATTCTTCGTGAACACCCTTTAAAAGAGCAGACCATTCTGTGTACAGGTGTAATTATAAATCACTTGGATATTAAAAACATGATTAGTCAACAAAATGCAATCAGCAAGTAAATTTACACTTGTCTTTTATCTGATAAAGTAGGTTTCTAAATGACACCTACTTCAAGACTTGCACATATGCATGTAAAAAATGTATAGTTCATTTGACTATCTTCTGTCATGGTTTTATTCTCTCTCTCCCTCCCTCCCTTCCTCCCTACTTGCACATTGTGCATGTACAAAAATGTATAGTTTATTTGACCATCTTCTGTCATGGTTTTATTCTCCCTCTCTCCCTCCCTACTTGCACATTGTGCACGTACACAAATGTATAGTTCATTTGACTATCTTCTGTCATGGTTTTATTCTCTCTCTCCCTCTCCCTCTCTCTATCTCTCTCCCTCTCTCTCTCTCCCTCCCTTCCTCTCATTTCCCACCTCCCCTTTCATACTCGTCATCTTTGCTTAATAATGTTTTCACAATACACTATCATACTCATGATAACATTCCACTGAAAACAGATGTACAGTACCAACATTATCTTTTTAATGCAATTGTTTTACAAAAGACATATCTAAAATTCTTTACATCATCACCATGATTGGACTTTGCATATTGCAACAAGATCATCATTTTTTTTAGTACTGAAGATATGATGCTTATATATCAAACTTCATTATTGCATTAATTCTCACAAATCAGATCCTTAAATTCTTAAATATAAAACAAATTTAAAAAATGAAACACAGGCCTGTAGCTGTAGACTCCCCCTAAATTATCATATATCTGTGAATCACCTAAAATTTTCTATTATAATCAAATTTGATTTACCATTAATATCTATTTGGAGGTACATGTGCTGGATGGGGGGACACTATAACCATTGGGTATCTCCTCCCGGTATAACAGATTGGGGTGTTCAGATGTATGTACCACTACACCAGGGTCTCCCCTTCTCCTTTACAAGAGTGCATTGGGTTCTCATCATGCACAGGTGGCAACTCTCCCAGATGTGGGGCCATCATTTCATGTTAAGAAAGCTAAGAATTTTGTAACAATCTCCTTCATTTTTATGAAGACAACAGCTTTTGAAAAGAAGCTACATTTTCAAATACCTGGCTGCTACAGCCCAGCTGTAGTTTTTTCAATTCTCTGAAAATTGGCCTGTGAACGATCTCAATGGAATGAATGACAAATATCTAACACAATGCTAAGCAGTGTCTAGGATTTGATGACACTTTGACAAATCCCCATATTCCTACTCGTATCATCTTAGGAAAACAATCATTTATAAAGCTCTAAATTATATGGCCATTTAAAATCAATCCACATAAAAGTGAAAAGCAGCCTCTTTGAAGCTCATCATATTGTAGTCATCAACAAGTATCATACTTTTTTAGCCCTCTGATCGATAAAATAATATTGCATATACATGCACATGTATAATATAAAATTTATGGAAGTAACGTCAAATACACATATATCTTTTAGAAAAAAAAAAAACAAAGCTACATCACTTTAAAAAAAAAGTACAGTTCACAATTATTTCTCTGTATCAGGCTCACATGTATTATTCATGTACCGGTACATTGATTGATGGACTGATATGTGTGCCTCTATGTTTTGTTACTTATAAATAGATGGCATATATCTATTTGCAAATTGCAATTTTGATTGTTTAACTGTGTAACAAACAATAAAAAACATGATAAAGCAAAAAAAATGCAAGCTTGAAAGAGAAGAAATACATGTGCTAGGCAAGAATGATGCAGAGTTGCGATTAGGCTACATTTCCTACTTAGCGTGCAGCATTTAAAAATATGTAAAGAAAGAGGCGCAAACATTGTAGGAAGTGTATATGGGTACACATTATATGAAATAAAAATGACATATATATATCTTAAAACTCTTCAAGAGTATTCTGTCGAGTTAAAAAAGCAGAATAATTTCTACTACCGGTATGCGATTTAAAATACAACTTTTCCTTGTCTATTTATATGTATTTTATAAAGTTAACAAAGGCAATACAATAGAAGAAAAATAATAATAACGCCACAGCAGACTTTGTGTGCAATTTTTTTTATACATACATTATTTTGTGTGCAATGCATTTAACTTTCAGCAAGGCTGATTTTGATCATACAAAAATCGCATGACCAGAACTCAAATTTATCTTTTAAAGAATCAAAACAAATCTCATGAGAGAAGCTTACACATCATTTAACAGGAGATGATTAAGGGATGGAGGGAACATCACACCATCCAATTCATGAACAACCCCATTGGTGACAGTCGTGTCGACTTTCACTACCATCCTCCCTCCAGCAGAGGTGCCACCCGCCCCTTGTTGGAAGTAGATAGTGGATCCTTCCAAGGAATGGAGTTGGAAATCCTCATAGATGGCTGCACTGTAGTAGGACCCTACCACTACATGAAAGGTAAGCACTTGTTGGAGGATGGTGGTGTTCTTCAAGAGGTCCTGCTGAGCCTTGCTGAGCTTTCCAAAGGCAGCATTGCTGGGGGCCAGGAGGGTGAAAGGCTTGAAGGCTGGGGTAGACAAGGCCAGTGTGAGGTTGGCGGCCTAAGAAGATGGATTGAATAAGAAATGAGGCAGAAAAGGTTTGAAATCATATGCCTCCAAGATGAATTCTATTACATAATATCCTAGTCACACCCCCGAACAAACTGTGATCTTGACCACTAAGGGTAAATGTAATTCTTTGTTCTGTTCGTCGTCGATCTGTGTGTCAACATGTACATGTATGTCACTGGTGTATCAGGGGTATCACACTCAGGCAGTGGAATGACAAAGAATTTATGTGAGCAATTAATCAATCACGTTAAAAACTTTATCCCCATTTGAGCCCTTTGGTCAAACATCCACAAATGCAGGGTTTCCAAAATCAATATATAAGGGAATCTGACTGCATTGAAATATACCTCAAGAGCAGCATAAAGTGAGCTGTAGTTCGGCTCTCTTTCAAGGTACTTGGCCATGTCTGATCCTGTAGGTATTGGGTAGATGACCCTGTCGATGATGTGGACGACCCCATTACTAGCCACTAGGTCAACCTTCACAACACGAGAACCACTAGCTGTCACAACCTGTGGGAAAATCAAAGAAATTTATACAGAAAAAGATAAGGCAAATAAGATGAATAGCATCTTTGTATGTCGATTAAATCATTGACCTTCAAAGTTAGGTATCAACAAGCCTTTCTGGAGGATGTCTTTAGTGATCTAGACCGATGATGGTTTTGCGAGACATCAACACTGCCCTGGTGATCAAGTACATGGTGGTACAGTAAAGCGACAATCCACATAAAAACCCTTAATAGGTTTTATAACAAAATATTTCCGAAAAGATATATCACAATTTTCTAAAATTATACCTGGTAGCTTAAATATTTGACTATCTTAATCACTGAGCCAACTACGTATTTCAAGCACTAACCAAGCAAGGTTGATAGATGCATAGACCAACAGTATTAATCTAAATAACCCCAAAAAGAAGTTAGACATGGCCTCTCCCAATCACGGATATCTCCAATTCCGTTTAACCGCCAGTCAAAACTGGACTGTTTCGGATAAACGAATTAAAAAAAAAAAAAAAAAAAAAAATTGTTTGTTTTGTTTTGTTTTGACCCGATTCTGTCGGCAGCAAGCCAGGTCCGTGTGAAAAAGCGGGAAGGACTTTCATTTAACTGCGAGGTGCATTTGAAGGCGCTGATTTGTGCTTGTGAACTTGTAACAAATAATAGTAACAATGTTGTTTTTAGAAGAATGTGTAAGTCTAAGATCATTAATGTAATTTAAAAACAGTAGAGGACCTAGGATAGAACCTTGTGTTACGTCGTCTGTAAAAGTTGGTTGAATTATTATTATTATAAACTACATATTGAGAGCTATTACAAAGATTACTTTCAAACCAAGATGACATACAAATTGGAGTGTTGTTCTAGTTTCGGAGTGGTGAGTCAACACGCATAGTGCCAGGTGAAGGAGCATAAATCGAAACTTTAAAAAAATTAAAAAATTAAAAAAAACAGGAAAACGAAACCGTCCAATTGAAAATGGAATCCACCACGGGCGGTCGGATACCGGACGGTTAAACGTTTGACTACAGCACTAGTATCCACTAGCCTTGGTTCTTTTGTTTTTCTACTCAATTTGGATATTCTCATTTATTACAAGTCTTGATAGCCATAGGTTTGTCAGGCAATGAGTAGAGGAAAAAATCACTCTAAAATGGAGATTCAATAAAGACTTTGCACATCTAAAACTTGGACTAGGAATCTACGTATGACTGAAAGTGAAAGTGAAGTTGAAGATCTCAATGTGAAGGCAAGAAAATCACTCTTGGTGGCATACCGAGATACGCTCTCCGTTCGAGTACACCACATATGAATCAACATGGATGGGCTGGTACTGGGAGGTGGGCTTGAAAGGTGGAGATGGATACAAAGAATAAACAACACTATCCACACCACGGATAGCTATGTCATGGCTCAAATGTGCCCCCAATGCAACGTGATACTGCAGAATCTGATTCCTGCCAGAGACGTCTGCCAACGCTGCCTTCACCGCCGGGGAGCTGCGACTGTACGCCTCGTCGGAGAACGCGAAGACAGTCACTTTCCCGGGACCGGACTGCAGCGTCGCGTTTAACCAAGAGGTGTTTGTGGCGAAATCTGCAAATTTCGTTGCAGAATTTTGCCTAGCCACGTCCAGGACGTTAGTAGCAGTATCAAATTTAGGTTTGGGATGGACTTGCTTCTCAAGAGATTTTGCTGGCTGGATGAGAAATGCATTCATCACACGCGGAAGTGAAGGATTAAAAGATGGATTTTCACCCCGGACATTTTCCCGAAGCTCAGCATGGATGACACTTCCTCCCATTAAAATGCACAAGATAACACAAGTATTAATGTACTTCATGTCGAATGGCATGTCCTCTGGTAATAATAGCTAGAAAAGCTTGATCGGTATTAACCTAGATCTAGTTGAACCGAAATGAGTATTTTGATAAACAGCTCAGCCGGCAGCTCAGAGAGTCAGCCCAGCTCCAACTTCCAAGGGGTGTGAATGTAAACACATGACCAAAGTATTGTCACGTGATTTATCACGTGACTCACGTCCCACCCCAGGGCCAGCGCGTTCTATCCCCCTTTGATTGATTGATTTTTATTCGACAAGCCGAAGCTTCCAACATACAACAATATACTAATAACAGATCAAAAAAAGTCAGCTTGAACAGGATAACCCACGAAAGCTCGAGAGCTTATTTCCAGTGGGGTCCCTTACAGACATGTATAAAATTAATAAGTTAAAATAGTATATTTACAGACAGATAAGAAAATAAAAGAACTACTTATTAAAGATAATAATAATAATAACAACATTAAACTGATGATAGAAATGATATTAAGTACAAGAAGAAAAAGAAGAAGGAGAAGAAGAAAAAGAGGAGAAGGAAGAAGAGGAAAATAATGATGAATTTGTAGAATTTCTATAACGTACGAAAACATAGGTATATACAACATGAAAAAGTATGAACCGACATGTCATTCATTCATTCATGTCATTCATGTCATTCATTCATTTTTCATTTCTCTTGTCCTCTCTCTCTCTCTCTCTCTCTCTCTCTCTCTCTCTCTCTCTCTCTTGAATATGTGAAATATATTTAGTATAGTATATTAATATATATAATATTAATATAAATTATAAATAATATCAAGCACTAATTATTCACTGCACTGCACTGCACCCTCGTACAGACCTAGTACACCTCTACGAACCACCACGACGACTCCGCTCTGTACCCAACTTCTTTGCATCCCACGTTCACGCACTCCTGGGGAAGGCGTTCATTTTCAAGTTCTGGCCCTGAAATGTGGAACTCACTCCCTCCTCACCTCCGTAATGAGAACTCCTACTCACAGTTCAAGTCTTTGTTAAAAACGTTCCTGTTCTCCCCATATTAGTTTGTTTAATTATGTCTTACATTGTACTACCCTTATATAACTTTACTGTAATATGCTTTGTATTGTATTATTGTATTAATGCAAATTATGTCCTGAAGTATGTTAAACTGTAACTTAATATGTGTACTTTACTTTCTTTCTTGAATTCTTGCCCACAATACAACTTCCACACAACTGCGCCAGGAGTGTCATTTTTGACAGACATGGCGCATTATAAATGTTCACTATTATTATTATTATTATTTAGAAGAAGATGATGATGAAGAATTATGAAGAACAAAAAAGAAAAAGAAGAAGAAGAAGAAGAAGAAGAAGAAGAAGAAGAAGAAGAAGAAGAAGAAGAAGAAGAAGATGAAGAAGATGAAGAAGAAGAAGAAGAAGAAGAAGAAGATGATGAAGAAGAAAAAGAAGAAGAAGAAGAAAAAGAAGATGATGAAGAAGAAGAAGATGAAGAAGATGCAGAAGAAGAAGAAGAAGAAGAAAAGAAGAAGAAGATGCAGAAGAAGAAGAAGAAGAAGAAAAGAAGAAGAAGAAGAAGAAGAAGAAGAAGAAAAGAAGAAGAAGAAGAAGAAAAGAGGAAGATGAAGACGAAGAAAAGAAGAAGATGAAGAAGAAGAAGAGAAGAAGAAGAAGAAGAGAAGAAGAAGAAGAAGAAAAGAAGAAGAAGAAGAAGAAGAAGAAGAAGAAGAAAAGAGGAAGATGATGAAGAAGAAGAAGAAGATGAAGAAGATGATGAAGAAGAAGAAGGAGAAGAAGAAGATAATGAAGAAGAAAAGAAGAAGAAGAAGAAGAAAAAGAAGATGGAGAAGAAGAAGAGGAGAAGAAGAAGAAGATGAAGAAGAAAAGAAGAAGAAGATGTAGAAGACGGAAGATGATGATGACGAAGGAGAAGATGAAGAAGAAGGAGAAAATGAAGAAGAAGAAGAATTTAGAAGAAAAAGAAGAAGAAGAAGAAGAAGTAGAAGAAATAGAACAAGAAGTAGAAAAGAAGAAGATGAAGAAGAAGAACAGTGGAAAAGAAGAAGGAGGAGGAGGGTGGAAGGAAGGGAGTAAGGATCGAAGGAAGATTTTGTAGTTTTCTGGCCGGGTAGACCAGTAGCGGTTCCAGTTCCCAATTTGTTTAAGTCCCCTCCGAAGAAAACTTCTTTATGATAACTGAACTTAAGCGATGTACAGTGTGAGTCAAAAAAAAGTTTACACCTAGAAAATTGCTAATTATTTAGAAACTCATCGATGAACATAAATTGTTATATGTCTTATGAAAGAGTGTTTTATCCCAAGTCATTTGGTACCATTTTTGTGTGGTATGTGTTCACGATTGGATGAACAGGAGACATTGTTTGCGAGAGTGCAAAAATCGACTTGCGCCAAAGTTTCCTATGTGATGTTTGAATAAAACAATTGGGATTTGGGTATTAATTCGGTCTTGGGTATTAATTCGGTCTTTGCAGATCCAAATAACATCCCTAACAAAATTAATCATGCCACACATATCAAATATCGAATATCAAATATCAACGAACATTTGTGCGCGTGTGTGTGGGTGTGTGTGACTTTGCCCTTCGCAAATAACATATGCAATGCATTTCCATTGATACATTCAATTCATTCTCTCACTCCGCTAATCCCAACATAATACATACTGTATGCATCACTTTGGCGCAAGTCGATTTTTGCACTCTCGCAAACAATGACACCTGTTCATCCAAGCGTGAACACATACAACACAAAAATGATACCAAAAGATTTGGGATAAAACACTCTTTCATAAGATGTATAATAAGTTACTGTTCATGGATGATTTTAAAAATAATTAGCAATTGTCTAGGTGTAAACTTTTTTTTGACTCACACTGTCTGTACATGTAGAAAATAATAATAATAATCTTCCACGCCTGGGAGTTTAGTGTCTCCCAGGCGTGGAAGATTATTAGGAAATGGAGGGAAATCACACAGTTTGCGGCTAAATCTTGGGATTGCACAGTTAAGACTCTAATCATTTTTTGTTTAAAGAAGAAAAATGGACTCACTACACATTCATGAAAAACTTTAATAGGCATACTCACCTTTTCGGGGTCTGATAACATACTGTTCCAAACCGTGTACATATTAAACCTCATCATCTGGACGGGTTCATTCATTGACTGTGGAGGTTTGAAGGCAGTGGGGACCAGACGGTTATTCCTCATTCCAGAGCGTGGTATTACACCAAGTACTATGTGATAACGGAGGTACCATTCCGTCACCTGTATTATGGGATAGAAACATATACTTATAATCATTTCATTAATATACACGGGGTGTAGTTACGCGGACCCAGTCATGCCCCCTCCCCATGCATCAAAATAATGGCGAGGAAAAAAGGAGGGAGGGAGCGGAGGAAAATGACGAGGAAAGAAGATGATCATACAAAATCAAATCGCTATGCTTTGGTGCAGGGGCGTACGCAGGGGGTGTTTTGGGGGTTCAAACCCCCCCTTTGGTATTTTAATGTATGTAAACCCCCCTAAAAAAACCTAAAACCCCCCCCCCCCTTTGGCTTTTATTTTATTTTTTTTTTATTTAAAAAAAAAAAAAAAAAAAAAAAAAAAATTATACCCACGGCTAACCTAAATAAGGTGACCTTACCCCCCCCCATACGTAAAAAATGTCAATTTTGAAATTTTGAGACCAAAAAGTGTCCGCTTACCCCCCCCCCCCCCCCCCCCCCCCCCCCTACTGAGCGACTTTTCTGCCGGCTGAGTCGTTGCGATTTTTTTTGGCCTCAAAAAAAAAAAAAAAAAAAAGTGTCCGCTTACCCCCCCCCCCCCCCCCCCCCCCCCCCACTGAGCGACTTTTCGGCCGGCGCGATTTTCAAATTTTCGGGAGCAAAATATTTTAAAACCCCCCCCTTGAAAAAATCCTGCGTACGCCCCTGCTTTGGTGTATTTCTCAGAATTGCAGATTTATTTTTGATAAACTTTCTCGAATTTCCTGTTGACCAGAGTTGCCCCCACCACCGGGATATGACTCCCCCTCCCCCTATAAAAAAAAACAAGGGGGCCAAGGCACTTCCATTCACCCTAATTCATCTATCCACTCAGTAATTACAATTTTGTTTTGAAATAATTTTATTTTATTTTGATGATGATTTGTTTCAAGTAACATGTTTATATTACGTTCTGTCACTTCTGTGTAAGTTTAAATATATCATGTCAGGATTTTATTCAGTTAACAATTTCAAATTGGAGTTTATGATTATGATATTCTCACCTGAGCACTTGAATTCATAGCATCGTGAATGACCTTTGGTATCTTCTCGAATGCATTATTCGTCGGCGCGAGCACCGTGTATCCTGGTCGACTTCCAAGTTCGTGGAGGACCCACGGACATCGTTCAGCGTAAGAAAGAAATGTGGTCGCTCCCGCTTGACGTAGCACGTCCAGAATATTCCCATCGACGAGGTCGTCAACAATACGGTAATCGACGAGTTCGTCAACACTACGGTAATTGACGAGGTCGTCAACACTACGGTGATCGACGAGTCCGTCTGAAGTCGAAGGATCAAGAGGAGCGATGCCGATGCACGTGAGTAACCAAACGAACACTGTTACGATATCCATTTTTGAACGCTTTCTTTTACTATGTATTGGTCACAACATTACATCTACAGAGAGAACAAAATGGAGAATAATTTATTGAAAAACAACTTCTACAGAGCTTCACATGCAAGGGTTTGTTTGGAAGTGTCAAAAAGTTTGTCTGGAAACAATACAAGGAAGTTTGTACTTGTATGGACTTTGACCAGATTGTATCACGATTGGGTTTTTGCAGGAATTAACCATTAGTGAAGATAAGACAGTTATTATTCAACGCCGATGGGTAGGCCAATGTTACAAGCAAAGGGTCGTCATGAACGAGGGGGAGGGTGCGTGGATCTCGGATTTTGTAAAAGAGGGGACGTGTAAGGCCCTCAAATGTGCCTTTGTCGAGCACAAACAGAAATAGGGGGAGGGGGTGGGACCATCATGATTTTCAGTGCCATTTTATTCCCCAATTCTCTGATATCATCTTTAAAAAAAAAAGGGGGGGGGGGGGACGCGCTATTGGACAAAATGGGACAGATACTGTTATGCCAGCGGAGAATGGAGAGAAAAAAAAACCGCTATAGCTTCAAACCGAAGATGGCGCTAGTCTCTCCTCTACGAGAATATGACTGCCATGATAATTGCCTATAATGTAGTCCTAATATACATTTTGGTAACAGGCAAAAGGGGTAGGACTATCAACAGTTGAAATATAAATAGAGAAGCAAATTAATGACAGCTTGAGAAATGTCGGGCAAAAGACAAACAGAATATGTCTTTTGTTAGTTTGTTCGTTTATGTATTATTTGTTAAGTTGAATTCACTATTGGGCCTATGAGAGGGAGATGGGAGAGAGAGAGAGAGAGAGAGAGAGAGAGAGAGAGAGAGAGAGAACAACTTGAGAAAGCACGACTTTGTGTGTATTCAAGAGGTCACGAAGGGTCACTTTTATAAAACATGTATAGGGCCTACCCTATAACAATTGAGTACATTTCGTCAACTGCCCGTTATAGCTATTTATTTTCAATGGCAGAAACGGCCTTCTTGCGGGTATCATCAGACAGATGTCTTATTCAAATGTTTAGCAAGAATAAATGACTTATTGTACTGTGATAAACTCCTAATCAAATTAGTTTTTGGCTTGTTTGTCAGTGGGCAGGTTAGATTAACTTATTTATGCAACAACATGCATTCAGAATCGTTGCTGATTCTGCACAAGAATATATACCATGCATTTATGTTTCTTCATAAGTGGGGAACCATCAGAGTCGAAAAGCTTATAATTTTTATTTTTAAATACAATTTTTGGGGTTGGGGGGGGGGGGGATGTCCTAATTGAAACAATTAATTATTAACAAACGGGCCCAATTTCACAACGAAGGGCCTATTGTCATTTGTCTGAATATAAGGGGGGGGGGGGGAATCAAGTTTCGGAAATTTAGAAATCTAGCGGAGCTAACATAAGAACAAAATCAAGAAAAAAAAATTGCGGGGGGGGGGTACATATTAATTTTATACAATGCAGGGGGCCGTAGCCAGAGTTTGATGTTGGGGGGGGGGGGGGGGCACATACATGTAAGCGATCGACGTCCTGGGAGGGGTCTAACAAAGTTCAACCGATCTTTGATTTTTTTTTTTTGGGGGGGGGGGGGGCACGTGCCCCCCCCCCCCCGTGGCTACGTGCCTGTAATTTTCATCATCAAATTATAATTACGCAATATGAAATGACTGCTCTTGCTGCCAGAATAAGAGATGGTTACTTGCCCAAACATATTTGGTAATTTCAAATTGTCCGGGATGGAGTATAGGTGTGGGAGGAGGGCTGCATAGCGCACTGGCCACCGCCCCATTCGCCTCAATGAATTCAACAGATATTTGCTCAAGGTGGTAGTCAAAGACACCACCACCTCTCAAAGTTTATTGTTTAATGGTTTAATTGACATGATGTGACTTCTTTGCATTCGGATTTGTCATGAGCAACTATCTATCATCCCACGAAAATAAACACACAATAAAAACAATTCTCTAACTATGATCAAAATAATAGAGGTTTTTATCTTTGCAAGAGTTCCAGGACCTTCTTTCGAAAGTGAGGGGGGTGGGGTGGACGTGCCCTAATTGGCGGTGCACCAAATTCAATTATACCCCGGGTAGGCAAAATAAGTTTAATATATAGATGGACACAGGGAAATTGTTTGCGTATTTGTATATGGGTCCGAAACCAGGGTAAACTGAATATCAGAAGATACAAACATTTTTTGGGGGGGGGGGTGGGGGACGGCGGGGGATGAAGAGTAAATTACAAGGGGTTGGAAGTAAGCTCCAAATCAGTTCAGAACGCACATAATCTAAGTACAGTATTTTTTTCGGCCTGACCAGCGCGCGATCTTGATATATATCTCTCTGACAGACGGTCGTAAATATGTCAGCCAACCTGTACAGCCGTCAATCATTTTGTCTCTCGTTCCAACTAATCTTGCTATAAATCGGCACGATACGCACGTCATCACCCTCGAGACCCTTTCCTTCGATCATTCAATTATCACCTTGTCAATTGGCACTGCCATTGACGTCTGACGGACTGAACAGATTCAATCTCGCCTTGACGGTCAGCTTCTTCAAGTCCTGTATAAAGTCGTCACCACTGGTGGCTTCTTGTTGAGATTGATGAATTTCTGCACCTATTAAAAGGAGGAAAACTTTTCATTTTTCGAGGGAGAAGATTAGGCCTATGCAGTGTAATTTGGCAAAAAATAGAGCTGTATGCAGAGTAGAAAAGTTTGATATGATGACCTCCTGGTGAACCGTGTATTACTGGCAACGTTTCTGGACGCACGCACCGCTCACATTTCCCTTTGTTCAAACGGAAAATGTTTATCTACCCTACATCCGACAGCGAGCCTTGATTTGTGGAGCTTTTCTACTTTACTCTCGACCTTTCTCACTCTAGCTATGCATCGCGATAGACCTGGCATCCGGATCATTAACAATACATCGCACGCGCAGTTCCACGCGTGCTCCTGTACCATCATCAGCTCTGGTTAACTTTTTCTAAAAACGACTACAGTTTTTGGTAGTGCGTTGCTCACTTCAAGATCTGGCCGGTGAAAAGATGCGGTACGACGAACTCGCATCGTAAAACAAAAAAAAATCGTCATATTCATCGCGAGCGAGCGAGCAGGAACAGTAGCACGGATGTCAGTGATACGATAAAGACTCGCATCTTGTTAGCGGATTCCTCGATTGTTGCTGGGATGCTGGGGCATGCAGAGGTTGAAGCCTAGAATTATTACTGTGACCCAGAGTTCACTAGCCTGGTTGGAAGGCCCTATACAGCTAGTCCTCATCCCATGTTTTACGGCAAGAAATCTGAAACCCCATCGTGCTGTTTACCAAACGATCATGTAGCGGAACCATCAAACGTGTCCTGAATTATTGCACTCTTCCATTTTAAAAAAATACTCAAATGCAGCTGTATTAATTCGACAACTTTCGACTAAATAAGGTGGAAAAAGTTTTGAGAACGAACGCGGCGATTGGTGAAGATCGATCCGATGGTGATCTGTGCAAACGTATGGATTTGAGAGTATACAATCTCATATTGGTTATTCTGTAACTGGAAACTATTAGGCTTGTGGCTCAATATGGAATGGACAAATGTGCATCTTTCGTTGTTGGTGTTGACCTGTTTTAGTACAGTGATATCTGTATTTGCGGAAGAGTAAGTATTTCGGCCTATCATATTACAATTCCCTGGCTACAGGAAGGGAAACTAAGATTGGTTACGTATATCACACACACACACGAAACTAGATTTGAAGATGACGAAAGGATAAGGCCTGTTAATGCTCACTATCATGACTATTGCCCGCATCTATAGTGCTGTAAAAGGCTTTCCAAAGTGAAATACCTAAACAAACAAAACAACCAACAAACAACAAGCGTTATTGATGATGGAATATCATAATATGCGAAAAAATATTCAATCGAAAAATATATAGCTTCGCATTTGAACTTTTGAAGGACTTTATTGTGTGGTTTCCCCATTTATTTCTCCTCCAAAATATTATTGGCCAAAATGATGTTTTTTCTTCTAAACTGATAGAATATATAATGATACATGTTATAGACAATTTGAAGTGAGGTATTGCGTATTAAATGCGATCACAACGACTTTCGAGACATCAACCCAAATACAATTTCAATGCCCTATTTGTAAATCTCGTAGAAATGATATTCGGAGTATGTCATACGTATTCATATTCATAATGTCATATTGTTTGGTTTGCACATTCAGTGATTGATGGGCAAGGCTTTAGGTTGATTTTCGAAAGTCTTTGTGGATGATGTTAATAACAACTCCATCGTTTCTCATTGTGCAATTGCCTTTTGAAAATGTATCATCGTTCGACTAAATTGAAGTCTATGTATATAAATATTGTGTAATTTTCCATTTGATGATTCGCTTAAAAGATTACCCAAGGTTGTATGAAGAACAAAATGTCTTGAAACACGTACTATGTGGAACGAATTATTTAATTTGGTATGCTTGGTTTGTGAAAAAGTTCCCTTTTTAATAAATAAGTGTATTGAAGTATTAACGGCCTTGATTACACAACGAAATTGGAAAACATACAGATTCATTTTCACATAAATATTTTTTGGCATAATATGATAAGGCGCATGAATTGTTATTGAAAATAATTGGTTATGGTAAAATTGGACAGACAATTACTATGTACACAATATTTCATGCACATGAACATATTAAGAAAATATATTCAAGTTGAATGTCTGTTACGCATATAGAGATCAAACGGAGGTTGCCGCATATTGTATTTTTATGGTTTTCAAGAGGAATATCTTGCCTCTGACAAAACCCAAGTTTGTAACAAGTTGCTGAATACAATGTAAATGGTATATTATGTTTAATATCGTTTTCTGTAATTGTACAGAACTTTACACAATTCTGATATTGAATGTTTTGACTTTATACGAAAGGAAACTAATTATAATGTCCAATCTCTTTTGTTCTGTCATTACTGTGGGTTTTTAAATCTTTACCAAAATGATAAGAGGTCGATTTGAAGTCCCTTGCCAATTTCGTATTAATACCCAGACTAGTGAGGTTTAATTGATATTTGTTAATCGTAGACACATGCATCCAGGAAAACGATTCAGTTAGTCATGGTAACCTTTCTTGGATAATTAATGACAATGTTTCCTTGGTAATTATAACAGGACACTTGTCTGGTATAACAAGATATACGGAGATGGATCTATAGAATGTATCCAATACTGAGAGGCACAAAGAAGGGGGCACTTATTGATAATTAATGTGTATTTAAAGAATGAAGATTGGGTTTTGCAGGGGGGGGGGTATGTGTTCCCCCTCCCCGCATCCATGAATCCACCACGGAGGTAATGTGTTTCAAGATATGCCTGTGGTAGAGTCAGTGATTAAGGATACGATTGAGTCAAAATCTTTCGGAAGTTAGGCGGAAAGTTGGATTATGTCAAGCGTGATTAAAGGGTGTAATGATGTTTAGTCCTTCTGGACCCAATCTATGAAGCTTACAGTATGGTACTGTGCTGTATATTCATATAAATTTGCTTTTCGAGCAAACATTTAAGTATACGCCTATTATTATAAAATAATGGATCAGAAAAAAATAGCGAATTGTTTCAAAATTAACGATTTAGTAGAAGCAGTTCTTAAAGGTAAAGACCAGTATTGGAAACGCCCCAATTTCAAAAAATGAAATGGAAGCTCTCATTACCAATCATGTGAAAGAATATGTTTTGACTAATACATGATGATAAAAAATTTGCCGGGAAACCGCCTACTAATTCATATATTTGGTAAATTTGTTTCTCTCATGGTCTGTGAGAGATATAGGGTAGTCCCATATACATCTTTCTGTGTATAGTCCTTGTAACTTTACGAAGAATTGGCCAAATTTCTTATCATTTTGATGATTCCAGAACCTTGCAGATGCTAGATGCTAGATGATCAACCTTTTCTGATCGATTCCACAACGTTTCTTTCACAATGCAATCGCATGACCATAACTGGTCTTTACCTTTAATAGCAAGGTCCTACTAAAATAATAACAACCGTTAGATACACACGTGTCTGTGCAGGTGTATCTAAAACTGAAAAAGGAGAACGAGAATATACCGGAAAGCCAGCTTGTAAGCAAATTAAAAACAATATTACAATTTTCTTGGTTAAAACATTATATGGGAAGGTTCATGTCAATTATTTCCCTTCCCAGAAGGCGTGTGATGCTATTGAATCAAAAATATTTCGGAAAACGTGGGGATACACTTCTCTTCTTGAAAAAACAGTTGAAGAGTTAGTAACATAGTAAACAATACCTTACATTTTATGGTTATCCCCGATATTATGATGACTGAACTTTGGTGGAGATTAAGGTGTGGAGTTTCATTCTTTTATACTTCTATTTTAAGGTGGAATGCAATGCATTCATTTTTCATACCACCTGATCAAACAAAAACCTATATATATTTGTAGATGTAAAGCTTATACTGGGAAAGTACGCCCATTTTCGAGTACTCATTTCGAATTCGTGATATAGTCGAGCAGATAGTTTGATTTTCAGATGAGTTTTTTCTGCTCTCGAGAATCTTTATTCGTGTGTGGGCGTCGGGAACGTGTTTAGACGTCCGAAAAACAAAATCTCAGAAAGCAAGGATTCCTATACAACGTAAATCTTTAAAGTGGAGGGGATTTTCTGGGATTTTGCGATGAAGCATCCCTCACTGCTCACAACGAAACCATTATTCATCTGTAGGTGATACAACTGAGAAAACAGAAAAGAACAGATCGGATGATGAGATTAAAAATGGCTTCTTCAGAAACTGTAGGAATCTATTGTAATATGGGAACAAAGCTAGAGGTTAAAGTAGTATCTTCCATCAACGCTACTTCAGATCTTTTGTCTTTGTACAATCGATACCAACGCGGATTTATTGCGCCGGTAATAGCATTATGATTTGGAGCAAACTGTAAACTGATGGGTAACTTCAAAGGATACTAACAATGCGGGTTTCTTGTAAGATTCTTTTGAAGAGACAGGTAATAACTTGCTTTGTTATTGATAATAGGATTTACTATCATGTTCTAGATAAAGGAAGTGTGAGAGATTGGAAAAGTAAGAAGGAGATGTAAGTATGTACCTTAGAGGGTGGTATTTTGGATATTGTTGGACCATGGACCTACTAAAAATAGGTCCATGGAATAATCAGGCGCCGGACAGGCCGATGTTGAGTCATCCAATATTATATGTAACCTATAGCATTACAAGCATATCCACCACCATCAACAACCCCACCACCACCACCACCATCACCACCACCACCACCATCACCACCACCACCACCACCACCACCACCACCGCCACCACCACAACCGCTACTATCAGTACAAACACCACCACGCCACCAATATTAACAACACCAGAACTACCACTAGCACCACTATGGCACAACCAACATCACCACCACCACCACCACCATTCACCCATTACTACCACATCAGACCATGGACATATACGAGACGCCACCAATGCTGAAGGAGTGGGTGGGGGTTCCACACCCTTGTTTGGCAGAAGTGAAATCTTCACGGAACAGAACCTTTTTTTCTCCACAAAAACTCTGTGCTCGTCGTTTGACTAGTTGGAGAATGGAAGTCCTTTCGAAACACCCGATATAACTAATTAATGTCCATATCTTTCATTGCTTAACAGAGGGTACTTGGTGGCATACCCTCTCGCCTTTCGACCAGGGGTATCGGAGAAACTCAGTGTGACCATCTTTGACTACAATGAACCAATTCTGGTGGAAGCCAGGATAAGATGGAGAAACAAAACCCTTGCTAACATCGGCGAAACCATTTCAGGCAAGTCAAGAAATGTTTTGTCTTAATTAGAACAACCCCAAAGAATGATTTAACCGAAGGTTTATTAACCGTTCGTTGCAGACACTGGCTTAATTGCAAACAAATATACAAAAGATGCAAACGATAAAAATGTTTACTTAGGATTATCATATCCATAATCATGGATGAATATACCATTATTGAATTGGATTGATATGATTAAAAATGTCGTCAACGAATGAAGAAGTAAGAACAATGAGAGTTCGTCAAAGTGTAGACGATCAGCTGTCAGCTCGATTCATTTTGGTACCATCTAAATAACAGTTAACTGTATTTCTTAGCTCTGACATTATTTTGGTAATTCCATGTTACAATCATATAATTATCTCAACACGTGAATTCTATCATTTTCATTGTTAATATGGGTACTGTCAATAGATTTGGCTTGTATGTAAATGGAAATGGATTTCTCTGAATTTTCCAACTGAAAGCGCTACAAAGTAATCATGCAGCGTGAATAGAAAACATAAAAATGAGCCATGTGAGATTATCTTGCACAAATAAAACCAAGGCAAAAATATATATAGAATAGAATACACTGACTCTGAGAGCGAATTGCTATCTTCACAAGAGATACCTGCCCACTATCGTTATGTTTACGAGTGCTGGTCATGTAATTTCTGATAGCCTAGCTCTGTAGTTAATGGGAACTTTTGTATGTTATGAGATTGTAAATCAGAATCATCAGAATTATTATTGTTAAATGTATGCAATTTAAAATGATATACAAAGAAGTGAGAGAAAACAGTTATATTTCGCAATTTTGTTCGAAAGATTGAAAAAAAAATCACACCTGCATTTTTTCCATTAGCAATGCTGTTGCGCATAAAATCAACGAGGAAGGTATGATGGCTTAGTGGTAGAGCAGTGGTATCGTATTAAAATGGGAGATCCCGGGTTCGAAACCAAGTCAATGCGCAAGTGCCTCTTGGTAAGGCACTAATCCCACTACCAAGTCCCTCAGAGAGGACTTTCAAGTAAACAACTAGGGGACAGACTACCGTGGTTGCTTATTTAGAGATATGGTTTGATTTAGTGGAAGATCTTGATTTCATTCAAGGATAAATCCTTTGAAGCTCCAGCTTTATTCGTTTTAAATCATTCTGTGAAATCGGTCAAATTTCAATTTTCAGATAAGTAATGCGATAAATTGCCTTGTATACAGCGTGCAGCGCAGCTTATCTTCAAGTGCGAGGCGTATACTCGAACTATAAAATAAAACAATTGTCAATTTGTTAAAGTTAATTGTAAACAGCCGACATCGCTATCATGTAGAGTCTCAATGACCCACGTTAACCCCACTTCATATAAAAGAGCTCGTATTCCACCCAAATTCTACCAAAGATTCTAAATCATCTCGATGGCATATGGACTTCCTTTATCAGTCCTGGAACATCATCATCCCATCGTAACGCCCGCGCCTGTTTATCTTGGCAACAACAATAAGAATGTTTTGTCTACATGTATACAACGATAAAGGAAAGTATTGTCACTTGGGAATAAACCTTTTTTGAAATGGTTTTAAAATGATAATATACAAAAGTTAGATCCTAGTAAAATGGTTGATATAAAGACAATCGGTGGCATATCTGGATATTGGCGTCGGGGGGGGGGGGGGGGGGGGATCCGATGAGCTCTTAATATTAGCCTACAGCAAGAAAACTATTTAATCTGTAATCTGATCATTCAAAAGATTTATTACAGATGTATTTAGTGAATTTCATTTATGAACGAGCGAAACGAGTGAGTCAAAGTTTATGGTCCTCAATTACTTTTGAATAAAAAAAAAATGATCCTATTTCTAAGAACAATTCGATTACCCTGAAATAATATCTTCAATCAACTTTTACAAATATTTTTTCTTGGTTAGGCGTTTGTCGGGGGGGGGGGGGCGGGGGGGGGGGGGGGGTTCGAGCCCTTGCCCCTTTACATATGTTTGTGCTTTCACTTGTCTTTCTTCAATGATGGCTAAACAATCATACTCTATTTCTCTTTTCTATATTCTCCTTATGCAGGCAAAGGGTCATTGATACTGAAAGTAAGTACACAACTAACTGTCAATGTATATTTTTGTCTTATTTTACTTTTCTTAGTTTTGTTGTTGTTATTGTATCCATGCAAATGTTATCATAAATATATTTGCAATCCTGTCTTTTTTAGCCATCTTAAAACAAACTAAATGGTTTAATTATTTCTCGACATCGTACGATCATGGTCCGATCATAAATTTGAAAAATGTGGATTTTTCTCAAGTACCTGTAAAACCGAGAAGTCAAGTGGAAATCATCCAGGAGTGCATTTTTGTTGATAAAACCCAAGGCTAACGCCTGTCTGAAAAGTACATTTGTTTGAGATGAAAAGTACCGTAATTGCAAACAAGGAAGATTTAAGAAAGGTCGTGAGAGTAAAACTTGTGAATGTGTGTGTATGTGGTGGAGCGAATGGTGAGGGATGGAGCAAGGTCCCAGTTACACCACCAAACCTACTCCAGACTACCAATCAGACATAATCTTAGCCATTTGGAGTGAAGTATTTGCCTCTTTCCCGGTATTTCGACTGGTGTCGGTTGCTTCGGTGTGACTGGATTATTATCGCGTATATCAATATTAAAACTGTCGGAGTTTTAAAAGAAATACTAAAATTCTGGAATTCTATGGATACCCATTCCTTATAAGCATCTTGATATATATTGGAATCATTACTTCAGCCGACGATAACGTTTTCATTTCTCAGCTATATCTCCTTAATTGATAACCCGTCTTGTCACATTTCACGATGCCTTTGGCTATGTTAAGAAACTCAATCACTTTATTTGGAGATACCCTTGTTTCACCCGACGAATTTCATTTAAACCGTTTGTCACGATAATTGCTCCCAATGGTCCAATTGACATTCCAAACTACCGCACCGACCACCTAACCCGTAAATCAAATCTCAAGAACTTTCTTGATAAGTACTGTCCTCCCACCTCCCTGCTCGGTGTCTTCTTGTTCTTGTTCATGTAGTTGTAGTTGTTGCTGTTCTTACTTTTTGTTAATCTTCTTCCTGTTCTTTTCCCCATTTTCCTTCTTATTCGTCATCATCATCTTCTTCTTCTCCCTTTACTTTCCTTCTATTTATTTGGCCATCCTCACTCTTTTTCCCTTTCTTCATTTCTCCTTCTTCCCCGTCTTCTTGTTATTCTTCTTCTACTTTTTCCTCCTTTCCTCCTCCTTTTAATTTCTCAAATTCCATTCCTGTTCCTCTTCTCCTCGTCTTGTATTTGCATTTTGGCATTGGTGAGAATGTGTTTAAATTGTTTATAAATAAGTAGAGAGTTATAACAATCAAATAAGCACAAAAATTATACAGTTGTTCGGATTCGCACCAAATAACCCTAGGCTAAAGTCCAGTGGGTATCAACTTAGCAAGAAGAGCAATTACAGTGGAATTCCAAACCATTGTCACCATAATTTTTGTTGTTGTTGTTTCTGGTAGTGGTGGTGATGATGTTGTTGTTTATTTTGGCGACGGTGGTGTTGAAGATGATGGTGTTTCTTGTGGTAGTGATGGTGATGATTGTGGTATTAATGATGGTGATGGAGGTGGTGGTGCATGGTGAGGGTATACAAACTTGCTTCCTCTTCACCTTTTGGTTTGCCTTTTTTCAACATAAGCTTTCAATAGTTAAACATTTATCTTCAAGATACCACCTTCAGTTTTCTTTCGTCTATCCAACTCTCATTTTCTCAATGATATTCAACATGAAAATCATTCCATCGTCCTTTCATTTTTGGTGTCGTTTCCCCACTCTCTCTCCCTCGGTATCTTACTAGTCACCATTTTAATACGTTTTTTTTTTTTCTCGCTGTTATGGTTAGTTATCATTACAAAATAATATGCGAATATCAGCTTAAAAATTAAACAAATGAACAAAATAATGATTTTCGTACTGTATATTTGAATATCTAGGTACCAGATTATGTAACCGGAAAGGCGGTTCTTGAAATATGTGGTAACTGCCAGCTCGGATCTCAGGGTTTCAACTTCAAGAACTCGTCTGAAATCACGGTCTTAGAGAAAAGCACATCCGTCTTTATTCAGACCGATAAACCGATTTACAAACCGGAACAAAAAGGTAAGATTGATCTTCTTCTGGTCAACTTCGAAGAGTTATGCAGCCCATCACGAAGATGAACTAAAGATTTCAAGCGGTGTGAGGAAGACAAAGGAGGTTTAAATGGGGATTAGATGCCTTAGAAGTAGTCACTGGAAGTTCCCTGGACTGTCTGCATGCACTACATTGCTAGAAGGCTGTTCGTTTTTGGGACAGAGTGTTGGGAAAATGCAAATTTCTTTATGTTGCTTCGGGCTTGGTAAATCTTCGCGATTTGTTGAAGGAAAATAATGCTCCCAAGGGAATGACAGAGAGACCATAACTGAAATTAATATTATGATTCAATTACTTTAATTATAATAATTTGTTGTCGTGCATTATTAAAATGACTGGGCCTTGGGGCCAAACCAATGAATGGTCTTTCCGCTGGAGATTAAACTTGCAATGTAGAAAATATATCCAGGAAATAGTCTACAATAATGCAAAATTCTCCACGTTGGACATTACAGTAATTCTCGAAATTAATTTATACATTTAGTCTCAAAATGATGGATACATGAGGACATGTATGTGAAGGTAAACCGATTCCTTTTTTTTTCTTTCACAGTTCTTATTAATTTATTCACTACGGGTCCAGATCTGAGACCTAAAAACGTACCGGTGAGTCATGTCGTTTGAGCATTCATATTGTTTCAGTTGTGATACAGATTTGTTGGTTGAGATCTCCTAACAGAAACAACAACTACAAAAAACAAAACAAACAAACAAAATAATACAACGACAACAACCAGCAACAACAAACCAACCAACACAACCAACAACAAAACAACAATAAAAACAAAACAGCAATGACCCCCCCCCCCCTCCCACAAACGATCAAACAAACAGGCAAATAAACTTTGGTTAAGAATGTTAACATTATTCACTGTTAAAAAAAATCTTTCTGTAGAAGCTATATTATTACTAATACGGTCCCAAAGAATTTCAAAAAAACATTTTTGTCTTTTCCATCGCATATTGAAATGTTCGACATTACAATGAAATAATAAATTTCATTATCTGAGTGTGATGTACAATGGGGTAGTAGAATTACCCTTGAGTTTAGTTTTCGAAGAGTTGATTGTCTTGATCGGTATTCCAAAATATCAATCGATGTATACTCTTCATATCTTTATGTTTGAGTCTCTAAGCTCTTCGTTGTGCTATTTTTGCTATTTTTTTGTGTAGACTTGTTATATAATTTCTTTATTTCATAGATGCTGGTTTACATCTTGGATCCGAAAGGGGCCAGGATGATCCAGTGGAAAAATCTTGAGCCAACATGCTGTGGTAAGTGTATCCCTGTCATCCCATTCTTAATCTAATTCTAAGGGACCTCCATGTATGTTATCAGCTTTTTTTTCATCTGTGAAATGTAATATCCGATTATTTTATATTTCATCTGTGAAAATCATTATTTCATTATATTATGAAGAAAACAAAACCTTTCTAAGTGGAATTTCGGTTGTTGAGGGTTGTATCAATATAGGCTAAATGGGCTGCATTTTATTGAATACCAACGAGAAATTATGTGATTGTCAACAGTTCTCAAAGCAAAAGAATAATCAGATAATCAGATATTTGATTGAAGTCGGAAGGAAGACCTTAACAAAAAGTTGTCAATACTATTTACTCTGACAGGAATTGTTAACGCGAGTTTCCCTCTATCTGATCAGCCTGTGCTCGGAGTGTGGACTATTCTAGTGGATATGCAAGGTCACATGTATAACAAAACCTTCACCGTCGAAAAATATGGTAAGATGAACTTGAATAATTTACTTTCTTTAAGTTAGAACATGAAGAGAATGTGTATTAACGGATCCGTCAAATTTGAAAATACTAAGGATTTGTTATTTTGCTTGATGGATATTTCGGTCTAATTTGTCGCTAAATTTGTGGTTGTGTTTTAAATAATATGCGTAAAGAAAAAAGAAAGAATAAAGACTGACTATATCTATATTATATGTTTTTGTTGATTATAAATGTTATCAGGTAGAAGGTTCATGTGCTTTTCTTCGAGATAAAGGAAAGTGGAAAATCAATATGATGACAAACATTTAGACAACGTTTGTTGTGGGATATTCCGTTTATATACACGAATTTTCCCCTTTGTTTTGTGATTTCAATTGTGATGCAGTTTTGCCGAGGTTTGAAGTTATCATAGATCCACCGGGGTTTATTCGAGATACAAACAAGTGCAGTCGGGTGGCAGTCCATGCTAGGTATGTTTACTACCATGATAAATTACATCTGCAAACAATTTAAGACGTTTCACTTTTTTTTAATTGTTATTAATTTTGCACGAATAATGCAGTGTTTGTAGCCTTTTCAAGTGGCTGCAAAACTTTTAGTTTGTTTAGTATGCCTTCACATGTCTTTGATATTTTGACTGATTTGTAAAAAGAGGTGGTACATAATGAAATACACATATTTTCATTCATTTCTTCATTTATTCGTTACCAAACTGTTCAAGATATGATGAATTTCGGCATTATACCATAAGTGTACATACAATAAATGGAGCCAACGTAGATAATATATAAATAATGGACATTGTTATGAGAGCAATCTACGACGGAAAGAGAGAGAGGGAGAGAGAAAGGGGGGGGGGGGGAGAGAGAGAGAGAGAGAGAGAGAGAAGGGGGAGGTATTAGAAATGGGAGGCAGGTATTGAATTAATAAAAAGAATGCTATTCCATATGCGTAATGCTTCTCATTGATATAGCAAAGGACAACCGAACTTATTTTGAATTATCATTATTTTGTATTATACTTAATATGAATATAAATCAATTACCTGCATGTAAAAGAGATCAAGGCCCTGTTTCTGCAGAAAGCTGAACCAAGGCTTTAGTTTTCAACTATATGAAAAGGGAGATCTATATCTAGCTATTGTTTGAATTGTGTAGGCTCTTGTAATACATTCTTGTTTATATATAACCCTATCTAATTAGCTGAAGTATTTTGGGATACTATAATCCGTATGGAAGGTCCATTTTCTTCTTAAAGACTTCGATATACTACAATAACCTCTGTACCGCTGTGTCGGTTCTCTTTTTCATGCTGAGAATAGTAATACCATGTCAAAGTTTGTTAGGAGGATTGACCGAGAAAACTGGCAAGATGATACGGAAGTAGATTTAACCTGTAGCTGTATCGAAATGAGAAACAGTTGCTCTGTCAGTTGAAGGAGGAAGAGGAATGTGATGTCTTAGTTCTGAGTGCATTGACTCTCCAAGACACATGTTTTCTGTCATGATGAATTAAGGAAGTTTGCGGGACAAGAATCCTACGAATTTTCTCCTCTCTTAGGAATGCAATTTTTTGTTTTTGTTTGTATGTCTATAGTTTCATGGTTTCAAGAAAGGAAACAATCGTTTAAATGAACATCATGTATTATTAAAGGCGGTAATACTAATAATTGCCAGGGATGGTGTAAGAACAGGAGCTATTCATACTGAGGAGCGACAAGCTCAGTAGATTGCGCAGAGTATTGAACCTTTAACTTCTTAAGCATTTTTTAAAAAATGAGACAGGCAAATGAGTTGCAGTTTAAGACTATACCAGTTTTAAAAGTTAATCGTACATGCAGGAGCTTCGGCAGTCTTTTACAATGTTATCCAATTTGTTGTTGTCATCTAAGGGTACGATAATTGTGTGAATGAGACGGTTTTGTAATGTTACAAATTCAAATTTAAAAGTGCAAAAACCCTTTACATTATGTTTAAAAGTGTGCTTACACGTTGGGGTAGAAAGGTTGCAGAGAATACATCTGATTGTGAATTGCCCATTAGTGCTTTTCAGATGAAAGAAAATATCAACTTCCGGTAACGATAACAATATCAACAACAAGAAAGACAAAAACAAAACAGAACACAATTATACACGCATTAAGTGATTGTGTAAAGAATGTGAGAGAATGTCGTTATAATCAACGTCTTCTCTGCAGTTTTAAATTTGCATGCAATCATCTCCGTCACTTCCTTGGTTTAAATCTCTATTCCAGATACACTTTCAAACAACCTGTGAAAGGAAAACTCACCATCAATATGAATCTTCATGGTCTGGGGTATTTTGACGACTATGTGGGTAGAAATATGTACCTTTTCATGGACGTGAGTATATTTTAATGCATTCAATTCTATAAAGATTCGTGGGTTTATGAGTTTTATTTTGATTAAAAACGAAAAAGATAGAATCGTTTCACGAGAGGATGTATTGAGACCTCGCAATGTAATTTCATGAATTAAAATGTTAATTAAAAGATTGTTTAATTTTGGTAAACAGTGCTTAAAGTGCAAATCAAATGAACTATATTAAAACGGTCGCGTTACATAATACTAAAAGAAGTCCTAGATTATATTTTTACTCGGAAAATCGGACTTCGAACAAAAACCGAGCAATAACATACGGTTACCTTATCTTAGTATATAATGCTGATTTGTTAAAGTTGTGGCCATGCTTTACTGTATTATGCAATATCCTTCTGATTTCGATGTAGATTAATGGTACGGCCATGTTTGATCTCTGTATCAACAACCTGACGAACTCGCCCCTCAAGAATCACTTCCGAGGCACCATCCGAATCGAAGCCAGTGTGACGAGCAACGATGGAAATGTCTTCACAGCAATGGACGAGACATGCCTGGTTCACAAACAACTCGTCTCAATCGAATTCGCCCCAGAAACGAAGAAACATTTCAAGCCCGGGCTTCCTTACTACGGAAGGGTAAACAAACTTCATAATATTCTGCATTGATGGAGTGTAGATGATAAATGGGGTGCCGAGTGACGACAAACAAATATTTTTTTCCTTAAATATTTGGAATTCCCGCTAGGCTAAATTGAGATTTATTTTATTTGCGGTGAATGATTCAAGTTGATATCATCCATCTAGCCACGCTTTTATTAGATTGTACCGGTATCACATGTTTTATCCTTGACTATTGAAAATACTTTCGAGGTGTGATAGCTCATTGACAAAGCAGTGCTCTCGTAACCGGGAGGTCCCGTCGTCTTCTAATTACCAAGTTCTTAGGAAAGGACTTCCAGCCGTAGGTTTTATTAGTTGCTTATCCACAAGTATATACTTGCTTTCTTTAAGAAACTCTTTTTAGGCCCACTTGTTTTTGTTTTTAAGCATGATTTATAATATATTTTTATTGACTCAACTAGTTCTTTTGATTTTCTTTATATTCTAAGCGGTCTGAAATTACTGTGTGGAGCACACTATAAAGCGCTTTATAGCCGTAAGGAAAAGGTGATATGCCCAATAATATGTATACTATATTCGATAAGATTCTTATTAGTCGGGTTAAATCAATCAAAATTATTATCGTATATTTCCAGCTGTTCGTATTCTATCCCGACGACACACCAGCCAGCAATGTCGTCGTCCGAATCAACGTCGACAAGAACACAGACATTGTTTTCAGGGAAGAGTACGAGGCCGTGGACGGAGAGGTGTCGTTTGTAATCCCATTACTTCCAGATGGAGACGGACTTCTTTGGCTAGATGTAAGTTTGGGAAGTCTACGCTTCGAAGAGAAGAATTAGTTCTGAATTGTTAACAGGCAGTTATTGTTGTTTTAAGAAGTGCGTCAATGTATTGATATCTTTTACGTTAAAGAATTAAAGTGTTGCCAGAAAAATAGCTCCGGCAACAAACGGAGGGGAGGGGGTTGGGCTGTGCTTCCAATCGAGTGGAAATAAGGAAAACGAGAAGGAGAACGAAAAGTACAGGGTGGGGTGAACAATTGTGAGAAGATGAAAGGTGACTAAGCCTAAAAATAGAAATATTACAGAGTTTGCTGACGGCTTTTAAAAGGTGTTTGACTGTTCTCACTTTACAAATCCCCCTTAGATTTTCATCCCTTGTACTGAAATAGATATAATTAACCATCTTGATTTTACTTTTACAGGCTCTCATAGTAGCAGTTGATGGAAAATCAGTTGGTAGCAGCTACCTTTCGCATTTCTTATCACTTGGGAGCTGGTATTCACCCAGCAGTTGCCACCTATTAATGAAAGCACAACCGAAATTAAAGGTACGAGTTTCGCTTTCGTTCGATTAAATTTATCTGAAAGCTTCGTGCAATGAATGCAAGTTGATGCATTTATTTGTGACAATCTTATGCATTTTCATGTGATTTGTTTTAATGTGTTAGAAACTGATACTATTAGTATATGTTACAAGCTATACTCTACACTCCAATGTTAAATCCATCTTGATTTTGCTGCCCTTGTTCGAGCGCGAGAACGAGACCATTTTGATGATAGCAACAACAAAATATTATAGAGTGACTTTTGGCGCTCAAATTTGGTAAATCTGTTCAAGCATTATAGAGAGTGTACATTTATTATTATGACCTTAAATTTTCAGATGAAAACTGTAACAATCAAAAGTACAAACAAGCAAACATGCAAACAAACACATTCAAACGAAACAGATAAACAAACAAATACCGCAAGAATAAACAGGCTACCTTATTGATGTTTCTGCAATCCAATTGAACCACAGGTGGGAAAGAGGGCTTCTGTAAAGATTCAGTCGACCTGCCCCTGTAACTTTAGCCTCCATTATGAGGTCATGGCACGTGGTAACATCGTTACGTCAGGAGTCAGTGAAGTAGGGAGGCAGAAAAGAGAAGCTAACCAGGCTCTTGAAGGTAACACATTATTTGCATGACAAATATATCAATCTTATGTTATGAAGAGAGAGACTGAGAGATACTGCTTGTGTGTGAACTATACCTTCACTTTAAAGACCACTCTCAAAACGAGTACGTCCTCGGTTCGAGAAACCTGTTAATTATTTAAAATTGGAGGCACTTTAATTTAGGGGTATGTTCATTTAGGTGCTCTATTTGCAAAGAAAGAAGGAGGTCCTTGGTTATGCAGTACATTTCCAGATCGTCCTCGGTTTCCTATATATCTATAAAAATGTGTGTACTCAAATATGTACAAACATACTGATATATATTATGAGTCCTCGATTTAGACCACTAACTTGTAAGTATACGTGCGCGGATGTATCTGTGCGTGTGGGTGTGTGTGCGTGGGTGGGTGCGGGTGAATGCGCACCCACAAACAAAAAATATTGGGGAAAAAAAGTGTGTTGGGTTTTTGTGTGTGAAAGAGAGAATAAAAGAGATGTGCAAAGGGATTAGTTTATATATTAGTAAAGATTTTTGGTTCAGATAAAGTGTACATGTATAATATCCGTAATTAGAGGACGTTGATTTAGATTAATATGTTGCAAATATTTGAAGGTTTGCTTTATTTATGTTTACGTGATAAGAGTGTCAAAAGAAAATGAGGCTAAAACTTCACATTTGCTATGATATTCGTCCTTGATGACAGCATGTTGGTCACAAAGAGTTGATATTGATAAGAAATACATGACACACAATTTGATTTCATTTGAGCAGCCGAACTGAACAGTACTATATCACAATGTGAGACAGAGATCAGTTTTATGGTGACTGCAGCTATGTCTCCGACCAGTCGCCTCTTGGTCTATTACGTCAGAGATGACGAAGAAGGCGTGGTCGACACGATGCAAATCGAGGTGGAACCTAGCTTTGAGAATAAGGTAGGTCGACTTGGAAATGGATCTTCATCGCCCTTTAATCAGAGATTATCAATTCGGCACCGGTCCTGTATCTAATCTGGATACGACTATCTTTGAACATTGGCTTTATTAATCTCGTATGTGACGACTTACTTCAATTATCAAGCGATGTACGGTTACACATAAGTAAATTATGAACACGATAATAGAGCATCACTGATGCAAGCCCTTCGGGCGCACGGGAATAATATCGACCTATCAAATTTCAAAATTTAAGGGACCGGGGAAACGAGCGGAAAAAATATTTCTTTTGTCGTGATATTTATTAATGGCGCATTTTATACATCTGCCACATGTTGATATAAGCTTGTCAATAGGTATATCAATCGAGAGCTTAAAATATATTATAGATCATCTCGTTGCCCGAATATATATCAGGGGCCTTGTTACTTATAGTAGTTTCAAAGTTTTCCGCAGCAAACTTTCCTCCGCATTGCATCGAAGTTCGTTGTTCCTTTATCTTTAATCATTTTTTGAAAAATTAATTTGACTAGGTAACTGTGACATGGTCGAGGAATGAAACAACTCCCAAGTCGCATGTTAACATGTTGATATCTGCGAAGCCTGACTCGTGCGTATGTGTAGCGACAGTGGACAAGAGTGTTCAACTACTACGACCGGGATATCAGATTACACCGGAAAAGGTACCTAAATAATGTATTAACTGTAAATGTTGGCCGGTTATTATGTTTATTTGTAAATTTAATAATTATTGCTAGATTTCTTTACTCCCACTTTATTTTTTTTCAGAGCGTATTATACACTCAAATAAGTTGGCAAAGTAGCGCTCCAAATCAAATTGCCGTTAAAGTGATGAAATTATGAAAGGAGTCCTGATCAAATTTAGATTATTATCATAACCATTGTATTGTTGTGATTCACATTGATGTGATGACTATGATAGTTACTGTTGCAAGTTGATCTTTCTTATCATCAAGAAATTTGTTGCGATAATGATGACTATCATATGCTGAGCTTTACAATCATTTGAATCGAAGCATTACCCTGTTCGGAAGCATACACTAGAGCATTTTATTTACGAAATTCCAAATAAAATTTTGATGAGCCAAATGTATTTATTTTTTAAAGATATGTTAAACTTCTTTCGTTTCGTGAAATAAAAGCGGAAAGGCAGTTTGCCTTTACCGTGTTCACAAGTCAATATAAATTTTAAAAGTCTGAATAGCGGATACAGCCTTACGATCTATTAAGGTCAAATCGTTTGTTGATAAGTAGAAAAGAAACAACAGCAATGTTACCAAAATGTTATGATTGTTAGATAAATCAAGATTTTTTTGAAATATCTATTAAAAAGGTTTTTGCAGAATTAGCAAAGTACGATCTTTCTGAAGAGCGTTATGAGGACACGTTCTGGTGGAGGAGTACATTTAGAAGAAAACGATCGCCGATGTGGAACGCCATGAGACTTCGAGATGCTGACTTTGCTTTCAGGGTAAGCTAGTGGCACATAAAACATCTTTCAACCCCTATCTTGAATATTTCGAGGAGCCATGAATAAATAATGCTACCCATAACAATAAAGCAAATACGATTTAATTTGTTTCCGTCTTGACCAACAAAGTAATGATGTGATACATTATGAAGAATGTTAATTTATTAACAAATTACAGCTAAAAATGGAGAAAAGTTTCGTCAGACATTTTAAGGCACATTAAGGCTAAATTTCACTGTCACCCACAACAATTTCTGTTGTAAATTTTTGTGATTAACATATAGAACATGATGCATTTCTCTTGAAGTAAGTTAATTCAAACCTTTGTATGTTTTTATGAAAGTGGTGAATAAATTCAATTCAAAGTCAATCTAAGCAGTTTTTTTTTTAAATTCATTTTTTGCTAAATAACATGATTATGATTAATGACCAAACATTATTTAGCAATCAATGAAGCAGCCGGTACAAAACTCGTTGATCGTATAGCTTTGGAACAGAATGTACTTCCATGTTACTTATCAAACCCATTTATCAAACTATACTCAGATGGTATGATCAATGGGTGGATGACAAGACATAACAAAAGAAGACTATTAGGCCCTAAGCTAAATTAAAATATGAGTTTAAAAAAGCGAGCTAATGTAGGAGCTTAATGTATTTAAATCATCTTTATTTGCAGGAAGCAGGCTTGAGGGTCATGACTAATAAAGTACAACTTCGATTTCAAGATTTATCGGGTAAGATGAAGTGCTTTAAATTTCATTAGTTGCTTATTTAATGTTCGACAGTTTATTCATCTTTTTCCTGCAAGTTAGGTTGTATTCTTACATGGATTGAATTGAATAAAATGTTTATACTAAATATATAACAGATAATATTCATGCCATTTGAATGATTGTTTATAAACAAATGAGCATTACGTTTCACAAACCCTAGGCCCGATTAATGCAGTCTGCTTTTACAAGATCAGAAACAATAAATTCTGCATTGACTTAGGGTTATGACTTGTAAGGTTTGTAAAATGTTGTTCTAAACAATAAAACAAGTTTTGATAATGACTCTAAAAGAAAACTAAAACGACTCTAAGAGACTAAAACGATTCTTGTAAAATAAAGTGATTCTGAAACTTTAAGGAATGGTATCTTACACAGTCATCAATGACATTTATTATAGCTAAGTTTTATTCATTGTTAAACAGCTCTTCACGGAGACGGGACTGGCTTTAGTCCACATGTTGCTACAAAGAGATCAGTTCAAAGTACAGACAAGCGAAGAAGAGCTTACTTTCCAGAGACATGGATATTTAACTGTTTCAACATTAGGTAAGAAAATGTAACATTTATAATGTTTTTGTATGTAAACGACGTTTTTAGATAAGATTATATTTGCAAATAAGAAATATACTTCATGGAATGTTCTTCAGCACAACTCCGAATAGATAGTTGTCATTTCTGGGGGGAATCATTTTTTCATGTAAGGTTAAATGGAAATATACCTAACTAACAAAATTACACGATTGCTGGTAATTAACTGAATATTATTTTTGTCAATAACTCTGTAAACTGTACTTCTTGTCATTTCCTTCTAAGGTACAATGGAAATATACCTCGTGACCAGTTCTTCCACGTTTGCTCCAAAGTTGCTAAACAAAATTATTTATCTGTATACAGTACAATTTGTTGTGCATAATTCTCAATTTTTGAATCGTTAACATTCATTAGTCTCAGGTAATCTGAAGTAATGAAAGAGGTACTTTAATCTTCACTAACAAATTACTGTGCAACTTTCATAACCCAAAATGAATAGTATAATTGTCTTTCTAAAATTATCCTTGTAGTTCTACGAGGAGTGACAACTACATCCAGCTGCAGCTTCCAGACTCCATCACAACCTGGCAAACCGACGTGGTTGCCCTCTCCCAGGCACACGGGATGGGCGTGGCTACTACCGCACCCCTAGTTGCATTTAAGGAGTTCTTTGTGGAATACACCCTTCCATACTCTGTGATTCGAGGGGAGCAGCTCCGAGTACCACTGACCGTCTTCAACTACTTAGATGTCTGTGTAAAGGTACACACACTGTCGTTGAAGCCTTGGGAATTCTTATCAACTTCAGATTTAATTTGCTTTTATTTTTAAACTACAAAATCTATTTGTATCTTTTACTGTCTCAAAGTAAGTTGTGTACACTGTCAAAGGCATTCAAATCAATATCAGACTAAATTTCAAGAGCAAGATCATGAGCACAGCATTTAATTAAAACATAAAAGATGTTCTCATCCACTATGAAACTTTATGTTAGCTTCATACACCTTAAGTTTTCTGTTTGTAAGTGTTCCACATCTTAAGAAGTAAGCACTACAGATAACAGAATCCTTGCATTTTGTCATCATCAAAGTTCAACTGAGTGATACCACATAGAGTAGCTTTTGTGATTTTTTTTCTCTTTTACTCCAGGTGAGGGTGTCCATGCAAATTCAAGAAGGTGTTAAGTTCCTGAACCATGGGGGTCGTGGTCACACCTTTGACCAATGCCTCCAGGCCAAGGAGAGTTTGACCACTCAGGTTGAGCTGGTATTCAATGAGCTGGGCCAGAAAAGGATTCATGGTTAGTACCAGGATAATATATCATTTGGAGTTTTTATTATAAATAATTATCTCATCATAAATATGGGAAGTAAGACGAGTATGAGAATTAGAATGGGAGAGATAGAGGGAATAGAGAAAAAGGGACAAGAAGTTGGAAATAAAGAATAGTAGAAAGGGGGATGGAGAGTGTGAAATACATGGGAAAAGAAAGAGAAACAGATGGAAGATATGAAGAAGAAAAGAAGAAAAAGAAAGAGAGAGAGAGGGGGGGGGGGTAGACTTTAGGAGAAGAAAAAGATGGAGGAGTTTGAACAGGGTGAGAAGAAAGGCTATAAGGAAACAGAGATAGAGTAAAGACAGAGTAAAGAAGAGAATAAAGAGAGAGGTGAAATCAATGTTTTTTTTTATTATTTTCATTTCACCAATTACATCATCCTTTCATAATTATCTTCATTAGCTGGCGCTGAAGCTCTGATGACCATGTCATGTGATTGTAATGATGAGGGTGCCCTAGGTGACATGCCAGCAACTCTTCTGGCATTGGATAAAGTCACTAATAACATTCTTGTTGAAGTAAGTCTGTCTTGACATGGCTCTTAATTTACATTAGTTTAGTTTGGAACAGAAGGTAAAGGAATCAAATTACTTTGTTATTTATTTGATAATATGTAATGTAATTCACTCTTTAATAGTATTTTCTGACTGTTTTGTTGTTTGAATTTTGATGTGAATCACTCAGATCATATGAAATATGAAGGCCCTATGGGTTTATTAACTAATGAATTACAATTCCAATACTTCGTTTTGAAGCACCAAGAATGCAATGATATGGAGTCATGCAGCAAACTGTCAAGAGGAGTAAAACTCACTACCAAAGTGAGAAACAGGACACAACTTTCTATGCCAATAGACAAAAAAAAATGATTGTTTGAGAAAATCTGATTTTACATAAATACATAGACAAAGGTAATAACTTGATTCATTATAGGCCTACTATGATTTAACAATACAATGAACCTATTTTTAATGTTCTTCCAAATTTTCAGCCTGAAGGGATTCTCAGGGGCTACACTTACAGTGTGTTCTTCTGTCCAAATGGTAAGTATTTCTGAAGATAATACTTCTTCTAAAAATATTATTTTGTTTTCAAAATGAAGTAATAAGAATTATTGAAAGAACACAAATTGCCAATCTCTACATACAGTTTTATTTTCACACTAGACTTCAAGCTGGTTTCATTTTATAATATTTTTTTCATGATCGAGGGAGAAGGAAAGACTGATAATATATGCTTGACATTGAAGAAAAAGTAAACAACGACACAATCAGTCCCCAGCTAAACTGATGAGAGCCACACAGCCCTATCTTTTGATTTAAAATGGTATATTAAAAAAAAAAAAAACTTCTATTTCAACTTTGTGTATTCTCGTACAGAACGGATCCACATTTCCACTCCCAACTACGATGAATACCAATTTCTTCATCCACCCGAGAATATGGATTCCTTTTCTTTCCTCTGCAAGGCTACTAGCAATGCTAAGCTTGCTTTGTCTCGGGATCAGACAGACAACATTGACTATGAAATAGTACTTGGAGGCCTAGACAACACACAGTCATGGATCTCAAAGGGAAGAGATGGTAAGCATTTCGATCGAACACAATTTTCCTACAACATCATCCTTGCCTTTTGAATAATATATATTTTTCAATAACTTTGTGCCATACAAGTATCCTTTCTTAATTCTATGTCTATCTGTTCACATTGTAAACTTGTGTCAAATTCAGCTATTAACTTAAAACAATTTTGTATCAACCCACCATCTTGCATTGCATTGATTGAATTAAACTGTAATCGTTGCATTTACTCCATATTTATGATAGGAATTCCAATTGTAAGAATATTCAGTCTTCTATTAATATATCACCAATTTATGTTTCTATTTTCTTTCCCTTCAATTTGTGAAGGTGACAGACTGCAGATTCACATGACACCAAATATTGTGAGTTGGGAGGAATTCAGAGCTTTCTGGATTAGCTGGACTGACGGACAAATTCAGGTAAGACTCTACCTTGATCACAGCCAATCTCTAAAGTGAGAAACAGATTAATTATATTATATTTGAATAATAAATCATAAGTCATGATTTTTATCAGGTATATTTACAGAAACAAAGATTTAGAATTCAAGTGCTGTTAAACAGCACATGAATTTTAAATCAGTCATTATATATTGCTAATTTGTTTAAACAAAAATCATAAATCCACATGAATGATTGATTAACCAATTAAACCCATGAAGCAAAGGGGAAAGCAGACAATTATCACTATAATTATGTACTTTTCTCATTTTGCATGGTAAAATTTGATTACATAGATTCCTTTCATGGTATTAACAAAGCCTGATTACATTTTTCATAATGATTTCAATATCCTCCCAATATCTTTCACAGATCGGTTATGGGGAGACAAAATCCAATGTATCGGTCATTCTAACCCTGGTGGACCCTTCAGCCATTGGTATGACCGTCCAGTACATCGGCTTTGCTACAGGCTCAGGATCGCTTGGAGAATTCAGGATTTGGAAGAGGAAAGGTATGAAATTGCTACATGGTGCAGCAAAAAAAGGAAAAGCAGTAAGGGAGCACCTTTATTTATTAGATTATGAAATAGACACTGTAATATACCATATTTTATTAAAATTAAGAACTTACAGTACAGATAATTTATCCATTTTGTCAATCTTTTCAAATCTGTATTATTAGAGAACATCTTCCTTACATCCCTTGACATCATGCATTGGTGTATTTGTCGAAACTGTACATGTTTTTCAACAAACTAGATTTACTAGTGAAAACAAAAAAAAATGCTTCTGCTCTTATGACCATTTACAAAATACTTTTAAAATAATTTTATTCCATTTGATAATCACAGGTAACGATGAGATATATCATGAGGCGTTTACTCTGTCTTTACCACTCAACTTTGTCCCTGGGTCTGAGAGAGCACAAGCTACAATGATCGGTAAGTTATATTGTTTAAATATTTAGAATAATATATAGACACTGTCTTTAACTGCACTAATTCATGATTATAATTTGAATGTTCATGTAGATTGAAAGAAAGAAAGAAGAATGAGAAGAGAAAACCTGATGGTATGGCATTAATAAAACTTCAGCATGAAATGTAAGATTCAAGATTCGGTTAATTTATAATGTATGAGCAAGAACGGTTGACCACTTGATAGAGGATAATGTGGGTGTGTCACAGAAGAGGCAGTCTCAAAAGTTTGAGTAACACAACAATGGTCATTCTCAAACAGCTGACGTGATGGGGCCCACACTGAACAATCTTCACAACTTGATTCGCCTGCCATTCGGTTGTGGAGAACAGAATATGATCCATTTCGCTCCTAATGTCTACATCATGAGGTACCTCCAACGGACCAACCAGTTCGAACCAGAAATCAAGAATGAAGCAACGGGTTACCTTATTCAGGGTAAGTTTGTAGTCTCTGAAATATTTGTAAGGTATGAGAAAATGAAAGACAGACGCGTGGAGAAAAGAAATAGATACACAGACAGAAAATATGAACCGAGCTCCTAGTAGGCTAATAAATGTCAGAATAATTAAGTTGCAAGAACAAACATACTTTGAACATGAAATTTTCCATTCATGAAGATATCTTTATAAGAATTTAAAAGATGTATACAAACATACCAATATTGATCCAATCTTGAATACACGTTAACTGCCATCATTAATACTGTTGATCAGTGTTGTTTTAGAATCAGAGTTAGATTGTTTAAGAACAATGACACAGATTCAGGCCTTATTATACCAATTTAGTTCAACCCACTTTGAGGTCTACAATGAAAATCACATTAAACAAAGAGAAGAACTTACACCTCTATCTAACTTCTGTAGTTACAATCGACTTAATACAGTGTTTAAATCCAGTGTCCGATTGAAATGAAGAAGAACATGGACTGTAGTGTTTGAACAAGAGCTAAATGTAAATTGCTTTTTGAATTTTCATCTTAGGGTACCAGCGCCAGCTGACGTACAAGAGGCATGATGGTTCCTACAGTGCCTTTGGTGAGAATGACTCCTCGGGGAGCATGTGGCTCACAGCATTTGTTCTCAAGTCCTTTGCTCAGTCTAGATCATTCATCTACATTGACCCCAGAGAGATGGCACAAAGCAGACGTTGGATCATTTCACAGAAAGAAGACGATGGATCATTTCCACCAGTAGGCAGAGTGCTCAACAAAGATATACAGGTAAATTGCACTCAACTTGAAAGTATGCAGTGTAGTTTGTTTTTCAGTTTCCTCCTTTCTTTAATAGCAAGTATGATTTGTAAATATCTCCACCTGATGCAGAATAGAGCAGATATGAGTAGCATATTGAATAAAATTTGCAACAATTAATGAACAGTGAACCAAGATTCATAAGATAACGAATGTACAATGAAAATGGAAGTTGTACTAAGATCCAATGATAAACATTGGAACAAACCCCCCCTAGAATTACGTATCATGAAATATTTCAATTCCCTGGGAAGACAAAAAAAAAATGATGGAAAGTGAGATAATATATAGTGTATGATAAAAACAGACTGTCTCTTGTTTGCTTTCTATAATTATGATAACATTACATACAGTACACGCCGAAAATCTCCGCAACACGATTACACGATTTATTTTTAGGATTACACGGTTTACACGATTCACCTGAATCGTGTAACTGTGTAATCGTGTAAATTTACACGATTGAAGAATGTCGCTCTGAATCGTGTAATCGTGTAAATAGTTAAGTGCATTGGTCGGATGATTCGACCAGATGTAACAATCGTGTAACTGTGTAATCGTGTAAATTTACACGATTGAAGAATGTCGCTCTGAATCGTGTAATCGTGTAAATAGTTATTAGGGTTATAAGGGCATTGGTAGAACGATGTGACAAGCTGCAACAATCGTTAAATCTTATCCTGCTTACACCAATTGCTTTATACACAACTTACCTTCAGTGTACATCAGTTAATTACTGTACTTTATATTCGTGTATAAACCTCAGCACTTTCCACTAACATGTATCGTATACTAATCCGTGAGACAAGGTAGGAAAACGTCAGAAACAGGAAGACATGATAGATGAAATAGTAAAGGAAAAAAGATAGCTACGAGGAGAAGGGAACATATAAAAGGAAAATGAGGGTTGAAAGGCACGATAAAGATAAACAGAAAAAAAGAGAGAAAAAAGGGAAAACTAAAAAGTTGACCGGAAGAAAAGAAAGAGTGAAATAGAGTGATAAAAAAAAGAAGGGCAAAACCTAGTAAAATTAACAGAAATGAGAAGGCTATGAAACGGAGAGGAAAAGAGACAAATTAATAAGGTAAGAGGGGAACATAATGAGGGAAAGAGAGGCGAGAAAGATATGGGGGAATGGAAAGATATTGAAAGAAAGAGAGAGAGTGAGAGAGAGAGAGAGAGATAAAAAAAGCTTTAGTTGAAAGAAAAGGGGCACCGATCAGATTTTAATAGGGTCATTTATCGGTGTTGATGGGGGCATTTATCAAAACTGAAGAGGGGCACTTCTCGTACTTAAAGAGGGATACTTACTAGAGATTAAAAGGGGTGTGTGTCAAAAGAAAAGGAGCACTTATCAGAGTTGAAAAGGGGAAGGGGCACTTTTACAAATTAATAGGGACACTTGTCAAAGTAAAATAGGTACTTTTCCTACATACAAAGGGGCACTTTGGGGAAACTTGAAAAAGTGGGGGACACTGTGCCGCTAGCTAAACGTAACTCAAAGACAGTTGGCCATTCACTTATTCTATTCATTCTCGGCTTGCAACTGTTCCCTACACTCTGTAGCAGTGGCTTACATACTTACGTACATGTAATACCTATTGTTCAGGGGGATCCTATGTTCAAGGGGAACCCCCTGAACAATAGGTATTATGTAAGGATCTCTGCCTGTAGCTAGGGCAACGGCCTTTGTCCCCGGCAAGGGTCAATGGCAGGCCACATTCACAGTAAGCTTCTTTTGTATGTGACAGGAAGTGTGCCCTTAAGCCTTGACCGTAGCTCTTTATACATATAGCTGAATAATGCAATGTTGTAAAAGGTAATTTACGAAAATGAGGAACGCTAAAAAAGCAATAAGTGATCAAAGTCTAAGGCCCGAATTCACAAAGGAGGTTTGTCGACAAACCTTGGTTTTCGTGCGTCATATGACGCGTTTTTACAAACCAAGTTTGTAAAATGGATAATGATTGAATAAAAAAAAGTATAACGATATTCATAGTAACGAATGAGCTGGTGAACCGTAATTCTAATTGGTACAGCCTTGTAATGTAAGAGTATCACAACATACTTAATTATGTTAGCCCTCCTTTACATTTTGTAATCATTTTTACTTATTTACAACTTAGGAATAACAAAATTCCCCCCTTCCTTCGTCGTTCATCGCTTTTTTCTTTTTTCGGGAAGTGGACTGATTTTTTTAACTTTCAAACATTCTATAATAAAACTAGAGACAAGACACTGAAATTAAAAATATATACAAGAGAAAGAAAGCGTAATCTTCGCTATCCCCTCGTATCGTCCACGTTGTCCTCGTTCAACCAAGAAGTAACTTCTTGCTTTTACTGAACTAGACGTCCTTAACCTGCTCACCATCACCACTGAAAATAAATTGTAACACAATTCCAGCGAGCAATCGAATCGTGTAAATTTTGAATCGTGTAATCGTGTTGCGGAGATTTTCGGCGGGCAGATTACACGATTACACGATTCGACCTGAATTGAGGAATCGTGTAAATTTACACGATTACACGTTTACACGATTCAAATTTCGCTTCATTGGCAAAAAACGAATCGTGTAAAATAAATGGTTACACGATTCCCGCGAGCAGTCGAATCGTGTAAATTTTGAATCGTGTAAATCGTGTTGCGGAGACTTTCGGCGTGTACTGTACTAATGAGGCCTTTATTTTTATGCTTTCAAAATATTTGTTGATCATTTACAGGGTGGCATACAAGGCAAGGTCTCCCTGACAGCCTACGTGGTGGTGGCGCTCATGGAAGCTGGGGTGGATTCCCAGGAGGAGAGAGATTCTATCAAGGAGGCCCAGAAGTTTCTTGAGGACAACATCCACCCTGATGCCATCACTGACCCTTACACTGCTGCCCTTGTGGCCTACGCTCTGACCCTGAGGAAGAGTGATTACGCTCCAACGGCTGAAAGCATTCTCTCTAATATGGCCATTAGGAAAGGTAATTTATATTCGGTGAATGGGAGTGAAAAAATGTATATTGCAGGGAAATATATAAAAGTGACATACCAGTAATTTAGGGAGAGAGACAGAGACAAGAGACAGACAGAGACAGAGAGAGAGACAGACAGACCAAGAGAGAGAGGTGGGTAAAATATTGCTCTTGTGGTCTAAATTCTTACTGAGGAAAGGCGATTACATGTATGCTCCGACAGCTGAAAGGATCCTCTGTAATACTAATGGCAATTAGGAGGGATATGAAAAATATATATTGAAGATCAATGGAAGGAATAAAACAGGTGTAAAAACAAAGACAAATATGAGAGAAACAGTGTCAGAGACGGACAAAAAGGAGGCAAATAGAAGGTCAGCACCCCAAAACTTTTAGAGTTTGTGATCACCAATTTCAAAGAAATATCATGCCCTCCCCAAATTACTTTACATGTATAACCCGATCCTCACATGTAGTTTTGACTATGTTTCCTGTACACCAGGTGATCAAACCTACTGGCGACTGAGCGACCAGCCCCTAGAATCTCTGCCTTTCTTTGCTCACATGGGAAACATCAAGCAGACAGTCACGTCAGCCGAGGTGGAGATGACCGCCTATGCTCTCCTCACCTACACACTGCTAGGAGACATTGCTTACTCCCTGCCCATTGTGAAATGGCTGACACAGCAGAGGAACTCGCTGGGTGGCTTCTCAAGTACACAGGTAAGAATAATGGCTTTTTTATATAGCGCAATACGGCACTCTAGCATTTCAAGGATTTAATTCCTGCTAGGTACCCATTTACATATTATAAATTGTCTAACCTTTAGTTTATATTACATCACCTGGGTTGAGTGTGGCAAATGTAAATCAATGTCTTGCCAAAGGACATTAGTGCCGCAGCGGGACTCGAACCACGGACCTTGTGATGGACAGTCCGGTGACGTATCTACTCAACCCGCCACCTCTATGTTTAGGGGATGATAATGGAATCTAGATCTTTCAAAAATTGCATACCACAATAGGAGATTAATGATGTCTTTGATATCATTCGCAGCAAAATATAAGAACCTTCAAAAAGGTAATATCTCTCTTCCATCATGCAATAGTGATGGTGACAATGAAGATGACAATTATGTTGTCAATGACCATTACGATAAAAATAATGTTGATGATACTGATGATGATTGTAAAAAAACTGACCATGGTGATATGAAGGATAAGCTACAATGACGATGTGTATGATGGTGGTGATAATATTGGTAATACATATGATATTGACTGCGGTGACAAAAGAGATGGTGATGGTTATGAGAATGAAGACAACAGTGATGATGGTGATAACGATTAGTGATGGTGACGATGATGATGATGATGATGATGATGGGGATGATGATGATGATGATGATGATGGTTATGAGAATGAAGATGATGGTGATGGTGGTGGTTACATTTAGGATGATACTTAATTGCTCATGGTGATGGTGGTGATGATGATGATTAGTGATTGTAGATAGATAGATGGTGGTATCGTGATTAAAGTGATTATCTCTATCCCTTTCAGGATACCTGTGTTGCTCTTCAAGCTCTCTCAGAGTATGCCACACTAGCTTACGTTGGACACGTCAGTCTGAATGTCACCCTGGCTTACACCAACTTTATTACATCAGTAGAGGAACAATTCTACCTTAACAACGAGAACAGCAAAGTTCTGCAAGTTATGGAGGTACGATTCTCACTATGTATGCCTATAGTTGCTGATTAAATTTTGAATAGCAATGCAATAATATGATATTCATAAGTTGCAGAAGTGCTTGAAATCATATACGTGAATACTCCAGAATATTTGTTGAATAACTTTATCAGCATGAATTAAACATAAGAATAGTAGAAAAAAAACATTAAAAAAACTGGAGCAGATGCCTAATAGGGTATTTAGAGATGTGTATCAATCAGATATGATTTATCATTTCTAGAAACTGATCTTCACCATAAAGTCATTACAATCAAGATTAAGGAATGAACCCTGGTCATTGTTGTGCAGGCAAATCATCTACCTTTTGTGTTTCAAATAAAATTGATATTTCATCTTTGAAAGTATTGCAATACGGTTACAAAAAATATACATTAATTCATCTGTTTTACTAAATGATTTCTAAAAAAATTCTAAAAAACTCTTAAAAATATTTCTAAAACATTGTTTATCTTTTGTCATCTACAGATCCCTGCTTTCACCCAGACTCTTTTCATTGGAGCAGTTGGTGAAGGATGTGGTTTGATGCAGGTTAGTTAATAATCATGGCAGAAAACATATTGTTTGCTTGTAATTTACAGCAGACATATTCTCAATGATTTCTCAAACATTTTCTTTAAAAGAAATTGGTAAAAATTAAAAATGCAATGAGAACTGGAATTTGTAAGCCACATGGACTTGGCTGGTACGCAGGTAGAAGGGGGTATGTTTATAAGCATTGTTTTCACAAGAATCCTTGTTAATTCACATATAATATGTTTATTTTTTTTTTGGTACATGCCGTTAAAACAAATTCCCTACCTTTCCCCAAAGCGTTACAGATTGGAAAACCAAAATTTTGACTTTGAAAGTTGGAAATCTGGAGGAGGAAGCTGTTAAATTTTATCATTTAAGCACTTGTTTCCCCCTCCACCAAGGTGTAGAAAATGGGTACCTGAATGCATTAAGCGTGCTAGGGCAGCTGGGGGTAAAGCCATGGTAATAGCAATTGTAGGGGCATTGAGCATCCCCAGTCATGGTTATGTGCACAATATAAATGTAGCTACTATTATTCATTTATTCATAGGTGGATATGTCATACAACATCCCAGACCCCACTAAGAATGAGGCCTTCAAGCTGAACGTTAAGATGTCTGAGATGCCTTCATCGCCCAATCAGAGGAGACGACGTCGCAGGAGTCTGATCGGGACCAACAATGAGGTGACATCTGACCTGGCAACAGATGATGACTACAGGGTCAGCATCGAAGTCTGTTCAAGGTTTGTACCATCTTTTGGCAAGACATTAATCTAATCTCATTTGCCACTCTTCACCCAAGGTGCTGGTTCAAAAGAATTCCTTGAATGATGTGACCAATGAAAATGGTAGCATAGCAGAGCTTAATTGGGGAATATTGGAGTGCCTAGAATGCCTTGCATGGTGGATATTTGCACTATACAAATATAGAAAATTATTTTTGTTATTGGTATTATTATTATTATTATTATCATCCTTATCATTATTATAACTGTAATGGAATTTCATCAGCAGGATCTATATCATGTATGCAGATAAAGATATGCTGACTTTTTAGGGAATTGAACAATGACCATCCCAAGAAAAGGACTCGTATAAAGTCTCTTATATTTGTCAAGAGCTCATCCATAATTGTGTCATTTTTTAATTCCTGATATCACTTTTTAACTCCAAATTGAATGGGGGTTAGCCTTAGAAAGACTTTACTACAATACTTAATCTGTGTTTTTAGTATGTATATTTAGTATGCTATTTAGAATAGTTCTTTTACCTTCTTTGACCCATGCCTTATTCATTGATGTGCCATTAATTTTGTTATTTTATTTTTGTATGTGTATTATATTGCTGTACATGTACATGTATATAGATACTTTGTTTTTTATCGAAGTAGAAAATGAATGAACTTAAAATGATCTATATTGATAATTGTGAAAAATATCTGACTAGCACAAAAAGGAAATAAAATAGTGTAAAGGGCACAAAAACTCACTTAGAGGGGGGCATATTTCATTATTTTGTTCTAAAGGTATGCACAATTTCATTTTAAGATGGGGACATGGGCCATTTGTGCCCCTAAATCTACCACTGATGTTTTGGAATGTTACTTTGTCTCTCACACTTGTATTGAAGGTGGCTGCATGCAGGTTCCTCTAACATGGCAGTGGTAGAGGTATCTCTCTTGACTGGATTCTCTGCAGATATTGAGAGCTTAGAGAGGGTAAGAAAACCAATTTTTCAAACTTACGTATCAAGTATACATTTCTATTTATGCACTTTATCCATCTAAATGTGAACTGTACAGTTGGGGATACATCATGAAATATTATCGTAAACATAATGCTCATCGAAATATAGAACAGAAATAGGTATCCATTTGACAATCCTGAAATAATGACAAATTATTGTTACTACTGATAGTACTTTGAGTTTCTGAGGTATCAAATAACGTTTGGCTTTTGTAAGCTTGAATGTTGCCTTTGTTATTTGACAGATTCAAATGGCCAAAACCCCAAAACATCACAACTTCTCATGTGGCTTATGTCAGGTGTGCTATCTGTTTCTAATATGTGGACTTCACTTTGACCATCTACATATAAATACATGTAACCGTAGGACCAGAAAATATAGCATCTCGATTAATTAACAAATATAACTTATCTTACAATAAAATCATGCTCTGTGATTTGTTTTACAAATTCTCTTAACAAAAATGTTTTCAGCTCATCATGGATCGGCAGAACAAACTGAAGCGCTATGAGATAGATGGCCGACGAGTCATTCTTTACTTTGATGAGATCTCCAGTCAGTGCATGACCTGTGTGATCTTCAATGCCTGGAGGAACTTTGTTGTAGGCAAGATGCAACCAGTCCCTGTCAAGGTCTATGATTACTACGAACCTCGTAAGTTTGCCATTCAGTAAAATTCTAGTCAAATATATAGGGGCATTTACACTGCAATTACACTATATCACATTCCGGAATTTGTCTTAAGTAGCTAGGCAACTACCCATAAATATGACAAAAATACAAAATCCACAAACCCACCTCTGTAGTGTGTTTCATATTTGTTTTGTAGGACTTATAAAATACAAACTAAAATGCAGAACATTTTCTAGCGTGAACTGTAATATTTCTATTCAAAACTTTTCCTTTTCTCCGACTGTAGATTATGAAGAGACTCGTTTCTACAATGTAAGCAGTGCAAGCCCCTTGGCAAGAGAACTATGTGAAGAAGACCATCCTGACTGTAATCGTGTAGAGGACCAGACTGGGCCCAGGGAAGAGTTCCCAAGTGAGTAATGTATTGATGTAGCTGTTAAAATATGCTTGTTCAGAATATGAAACATATTTCTTGAATGCTGGGTAGAACACTTAAAAATCAAGCATTCTACTTGGACATTATATAAGGAAAGATAAAAAGGATAAGAAATAATGATAGATGAAATTAGAAAAAGAAGCAAACCAAGGGATGTGGCATACAAGAAGAAAGAAAGAGAAAGATTGAGAGAGAGAGAGAGAGAGAGAGAGAAAGTGTGTCAATGTGTGAGAGTTAGGAGAACTTAATTGGTCAGGTAATGTAGTGGGGAACATTTCAGATAGGTCATGAAAGTTACTACATAACAACTTTTTACCCTGTTCTCTCCCTAAATATAAAAGACACATTTCATGCAATTAAACAATGACTATATTCTGTGCAGCAAAAAGTCCAGAGAAAGAAATAGATATTCATGGGGTGCCATTTCATTTCAGCCATCATAGTGTCCAACAGTGATGATGACCACAGCCCAGCTGATCAGCTGACGTGTGGTTGTCAGCGATCATGTCAGCATGAACCAGGGTCTGCTGTCTGCGGGTCTGATGGACGGATCTATGAGAACTACTGCTACATGGAGGTCGCTTCATGTCAGATGGAGATGGGTATCAGAGCTATGCCCAAAGATATGTGCCCAGGTACCACTTGCCAGTCAAATTTAGTGTTTGTGTACCAGTCTTAAGGAAGGATGGTGAAGAAATTTATATGCCAATAACGTGTTACATGTACCATGTGGAGTCAATTGGGTCAATTAGAATAGGTCTATCACTGGTATGCCACATTGGTAATTTCAGAAATATAAGATTTACATTTGTCTTCTTGGATATTCAATGGTGATCCATCCTGATAGGATTCTCTTACTTTGAAGCAAGTTGATTCAACAATCATTGTGGAGTAACATTTGTTTATCCATTCCATATATAATAGATGTTTATTCAGACAAGATGATAGATGTACATGCGAAATATGCTTGATTATAAACATTGGCAGGTACATGGTTAAGGTCTGAATACTGTCCTCTTAAAGTTGTAAACCAATTTTATATTTGCATGTCTTTACAATTGCAATCAGCAATGCTCAACAAAATTTATCTTTACATATTCCATAAATATGATATGAGAGCAGGATGCAATTATTGACAACCCAATAAGAGACGTCCTACTAAACAATCCAATTATTAAGTTCAGTTAAATATATCAACAATCTGTTTAATCAACAGAACAAGAGCCTGTACATTCAGGCACCACCAGACAGGAGCGCCCTACAGGTGAGATCCGGCAACCTTTGAAACCCGAGGTGACCGTCCCTGACAACAACATCAACGACAACCCTACCATGACTGTCACTCAGTCCAGTTTTGTCTTCAAACCTGATGACAACACCACCAGTATCAGTTCCATCTCCAACACCACCAGTGAGAGCACTTCAGAGTTTGATTCCGAGGACAGCTCAGCAGCATCCTCATCTTTGTTTGAGGAAGGCAGGAAGGTCATCGGCAGCGCAGATTTTGTGGACTCACTGGACTTTGGACTGGACGATGTTGATGACATTTACAAGGACGTGGAAGTGGAGACAGGAACAGATTCAATGGAAGACTTCATACCAGAAGTGACAAGTGAGTTGCTATAATTCTATTTGCCAGTTCAACCAAAAGTGGTAATTTGCTCTCTTTACTTAAGAAGATGGTAAAATATTTCATCTGTGTTTTTGGAGGGCACTGACATTGGTTTTTGTAAACTCCCTTTTTCATGTAGTTACATATGGTGATTATACAAGACAATGGATTAGTTTACTCTATATGACATTCTTGAACACAACAAAACCTCAAATAATAAACATCATACTGTTTTCTTTTCATTTTTTCCAGAAATCACTCCAATCTTGATTGATTTGAAGGTAAGTACATTTACTCCTTGTTTATTACTATCTAATGAGTCTAAAGCCAGCAAAATAGAATTAAAAAAGCACACTTTAAAAGTAATCTGAAGTGGCAGAGGTGATGCCTCAACAATAAAAAAAAAATATTTTAACGGTATATGAGTCGCATGTATCAGATTCTGAGTGTGAAATATTGTTATTATACTATGCTTATGAGACTCATGCTCTTTTCCACATACCGGTAACTTTTTTGTTAATATAGTTTTTTTTTTATTGTCCCCAATATTTTAATGGTTGATGAACAAGAATATAGATCAAGTCATTAATATAATGGTAATATCATGCATCTTCTATCTATCAGAGTTAACATATAAAGTCATAAACTGTGAGATGTGCTGTGTAAACATGGGGAAACATCCTTGCTGAGAATTCACATTTATTTGCTTTAGTCTATTGACTTTACCCTGCACATGCAAACTGAGTAAACACAAAACTTCATATCGTTGGATGAATGAACCTTAGACCTCTGTTGAGCAGGGTCAAATGTTTAATATACCCATAAAAACATTAAGTAAATATTGGAAAAATGATTAAAAAATGTAAAATTCTAAATGATATACAATGTACATGTATGTGCATCTACAGTAAAGCATCTTTACACATGTGCATATAGTATACCTCAGCAAATTCATATGAATAATGGAAATATTTTCCCCAGTTAGGAAATCTCTTGAAACTATGTTTTTTTTACTCTTATAGAACCAGAAAGGATTGGGCTTAGGACTAGATCTAGAGGATGTTAAAGATCTTGTTGAAGAAATAAACCTTAGCCCAAAGGATCAACAGTCCTTGAATGAAGAACATGTCTTATCTGATGAAGGTGTGAACTACCCTGAGCTACCTCCTACACCAACATCAAGTATCACCCCAAAGACTCTTCCTATCAAGACATCACCAGACTTGCAACCGAATACAACAAACCCAACTAACGGAACTTCCACGCCTCCTGAAGTGGGCTTGAACCCAGCAGTACCATCTGGATTGGTTCCTGGGCTACCTGAGGACAGGGATTCACATGGACCCATACCAGCAGCTGACATTGCACAAATATCAGCTGCGATCCGTGGTCTGGAGACGGCAGGAGATATGCAACTGGAAGAAGAACCAGGACAACTAGTGGAAGACTCTGAGGTTGTTCTGCACAAACCGGTCGAGCCCACTCCTAAATCCACAGGTACTGATCATGATCAGTCTGAAGAAGGTCCAGTCCAAAGTAACAATGAGACTCTCCAAATAGCAAATGGTCAAGATCAGCCAGTGCCGGTTGAAACCAGATCAGACCGGTTTCAAAGTGGACTCCCTCTGGATCAAACTGGAGTGTTAAAATCACCAACTGATCAGGTAGAGGAGGCTGTGAAAGCGTCACATCATCATCATCATCGTAATCATCTCACCCATCATGCACCTGAACCAAGCACCACAGTCGCAACGGGCAGAAGGCGGAAACGAGATTCAGAATAAAGAAAAACTTCCTTGAGGATATCATCTCTTCCAGCGTTTTCTGCTTTTATAAAGACTGTGTAAAAGATCTGTAGACTCAGGGCTCCTTTGAAGTATGCTGTTTGCCCATGAATTAGGCCAACCATCAGTGTGTTCTTGTATAGTTTCATTTATTTAATCTCATATATCAAGACCAGTAATTATTCCATTGTGAGGTTCCCTTTTTCAGCTGAAGTTTAACATATTTGGACTTCTGGTGAAGTATGTGAAAATGAGTATATTTCATGTCGGACAGAGTAATAAATCTTGTCATTACAAACAATTGGCACTCTCAACGATTAAACACATATACTCCACATAGTGATAGACTTACAGTATTTTAATTTGACCTGATAAACACCTGGAATTTTTTTTGGAGAAGATCTGATAACTATGTGTTGGGGCTAATACAAACTTTATAAGCTGTATAGGCATCAAACTGCACATATCCAAGTGCCTTTATAATTCACTCCCACAGCATAGAGTAATACAAGTTTTTTTTTAAAAGTGAATTCATGAATTTTTAATATTTTTGTTAGATACTGTGCAAATTTATTTTGTATGACTTTATTTTAAAGGTTCTAATTTATAGAAGCAAATAATTATCAATCTGGACTATTTTGTCCATAACTCTAACTTGAATTAAAAAAAACATGAAAACTTTCAAGCCGAATGACTATAATTTCTGCTTTAAAACAAATCTCCACCTGTTCTTTTTTCTCTTTTCTTAGACAAAATATGCATAAATAAGAATTAACTTTCTGATGTTGAAATTCAAGTTTCAAACAAATATTCCACTTGGTGCTATACTTTACGGTTGTCTTGCTGTTTCCAACACCTGAAAGGACATTGCATCAGAGTGCCTAAAATATTATATTATCTTGTACCTTCAGGAACCATATAAAAGCATATACATTTTTCAAAATTTTGAATTTTTCTTATCATGCCAATGTGAATTCTATAGTATTACTGCTCTGTTTATCAGAGCTATAATCGTAACCATAATCTTATTGCATTTCAATCCAAAATGTAATGAAAAGAGGAGAGAACATCATTTATGTTTACAAATCAATGATTTATTGTGTCACAAGTGATTCTTAAGCTTAACTTTTTTTCTTTCTGTCTTCACTATTACTCGAACCTTATGTGAACCATATCTATTTAGGGTTTTGAGGAAAGGCTATTGTACTATAATATTTAAAAGCAAAAGTTACTGATTTAGAAATGTCAGATGTCAGTTAGAGTTGCTTGATCTACTGATGGTAAAAACAGTATTTATGTACATAACTGAATCATTATATTGTACTTAACTTTCTAATACCTCAACATAAATGTATTATCCACTTGATTAATTATAACTATTTGTATATAGTACAATAATTGCTGCTTGCGTATTTCTTTAGTCTCTATGAACTGTAAAGTAAAAGTCTGGTAGACTTTTGCATCAGAAAATATTTGAAGGTTCATGATTTGTATAATTAGCTTGTCCAGCAGTTACAATACATTTTCTAGCTTACAAAGGTACAAAGGAACTAATAATGTACACTTAGGGCACATAAATTAGACCATGCACTCTAAAAGGAATATCCAACATTAACAGACATTTAATGACCTCATATTTTAAAAATTCAAAGCTCCTTTATTATAGGTCAGATTTATTTCAAACTTTTGGCATTCTGTTTCTCTTATTTTTCTGTTTTCATACCAGAGAATTTATTGCAAGGGTTGGATTGCCCTTTAAAGAAACTGCCCACAATCTGTTTTATTCATAGTAGTAAACTTGGATCATTGGTCAACTAGACCTATAGTTCTCAATCTGGAGGTATTGACCCTAATGAATCGTTTGGTGTTTTATAAAGGAGGAGGAACTATTAAAGGAACCATTTATTATTGAACAAACCCCAGCAAATCTATGAAGTGTTGCATTCTAGGGGCAACAGAACTGCCTACCAATCCACTTTAAACTGCATAAAAATGGATTGGCACAGGGTCATACGGCCTGAAAGGTCAAGAGCCACACTTCTCTAGATGGTAAAATATTACATAATGCATGTCATTACACAAATAAATGACCAATGTGCTAACCTGTAGCCAGTATTGCATCCTTTCTTTAAAGCAGTACATCCCTTTTCTTCATGGATACTGCATCAGGTAGGGCACTGACCATGAAATGAACATAACTTGTGCAGAGTACTTTGAAATTCAGATGCTTCATTAATGTTACCTCACTGCTCCTTCAATGATATCTGGTATGGTCAGGGCTTCAAGCTGGCAATTTACGTAGGTGCACCATGGGCGTTTTGGGGGCTGCAGGAAAGTAAATGGACATGAAAAAAAGTTAATCTTAATGTATAAATAAATCTTTTTTTTTTTTTTTTTACTATTTTTGATTTCATAACAATTTAAAATAATTTTAGTGAATGCATTGGGAAAATATTTAAAGAAATCACTAATATATCAATCACATAAATAGTGCACAGAATTCTCATAGAGCTGGAGAACCTTTTAAAGGTAAAGACGAGTATTGGAAACGCCCCAATTTCAAAAAATGAAATGGAAGCTCTTATTACCAATCATGTGAAAGAATATGTTTTGACTAATACATGATGATAACAATTTTGCTGGGAAACCGCCTACTAATTGATATATTTGGTAAATTAGTTTATCTATTGGACTGTGAGAGATAAACGCACGTGTCGCGCATGTGTGCATAGTCCCATATACATCTTTTTGTGTACAGTGCTTGTAACTTTACGAAGACTGGGCAAAATTTCTTATCATTTTGATGATTCGAGAACCTTGCAGTACACACCAATACTTATATGCTAGATGATCAACCTTTTCTGATCGATTCCACGACGTTTCTTTCACAATGCAATCGCATGACCATAACTGGTCTTTAACTTTAATATACATTGTCTTCTATGCCATTTAGCAAGGTTTTTAAAATGAGGCAAAAGAATGGTACAAAAAAAAAAAAAAAATACATCTTTATAGCTCCCTCTAAAACATAACATAACATCAACATTTCTCTTACAAGCTTGTAATCCTGCAACGAGCAACTCTTGGAAAATGCCACTTTCCCATCCTTCACGTCAAGACCAAAGTGATGACAAAAATCTTCTGCCTCCTCTACCTCATCAAACATGAGCCAATCAGTTATCACTCGGGAAGGGAAGAGTAGGTTGCGACTACTGAAGGCAGTGTTCATTGTCATCAAGGCTTGGCTACAATGAAAAAGGGAAAAGAAGAGAAACATAGATTAACATAGCCTTGTGAGGTTTCGAACATCATTATCTCTTTCTCCACTCCCTCTCCTCCCTCCATCTTTTCTATTTAAACAAATCTTAAATCTCATTCTCAAATTATGGATGAAAGTAAGAAAGATAAGGGGTAGAAAGAGACATAGAGAAAAAGAGAGAGAAGGAGAGGGGAGAGAAAGGCAACATGAAAGAGATGCAGTGAACAGTATAATAATAGTGTATTTTGAAGAAAAATGGGGGATAGCAATGCTTTAAACACAGACAAGGAGACAAGTGACAGAAAATGTATCCTCAGAAAGTGGGAATAATCACATGAGACCAAGAAATAGTAAAGAACAATAACAGACGCAAAGATAGATAGAGAGAGAGAGAGCGAGGGAGGGAGAGAGAGAGAGAGAGAGAGATGAATGAATGATAAAGAAAGAGAAAGAGGGAGAAAACTTGATTAGAGGACATCTAATATAACTCCTTACTCACCTCCTTATGTGTTGCAAATGTGTATGCAGACAACACATTTCTATTGCACTCAATCTGGCAGCTAACTTCTTCACACGAATAAAGTTCCCTTCCCAGAAGGCTTTTGTGAGAGCTACAGCATTAATCAATCTTGGGCTGAACCTAGGAAGATACAATGAAGGGAACAAAATTTTGACAACTTATTGTAGAATGTCAAATACTTTTATTGTCTCTTTAATTTAGATATCCACACTAACTTTCATGAATAGGTTTTGCCAAAAACAAGAAGACAGAGCCTGCTAGTTAAAGAAATATGTGGGTCTATTAGTTTCATATGAATATAGAAGTGACTTTAATAGTAAATCACTTGAAAGGCATTGTTGTTTCTTTGAAAAATGCTAATCCTATGAATCAAATGATCATAACACAAAATGCACAAAAACTGAACAGAATATGGAAAATCCACACATTTTGAACGAATTTCCAACACTGCGAAAACAAATTATTTAAATCTAATGCCACCACATATACTCACCTGATATATTTTGGCAATGATAAAACATGGAACAAAGCATTGAACGAACCTGTGACACAAAGTAGAGAGAATATAATGATATCAGTTTTTGTGAGACCATAGATTGCTATAAATGACAGGGTATATTTCTAGTGGGTTTCAACATATATTTTTTATTGGCTTTAAATATTTTAGGGGTTGGCAAAAACAACTACAACATTATTATTATTATTAATAATAATAATGATACTAATGATAATGATAATAACAATAAAATTAATAATTCAAAGGATGATGATGTTTTTTTTTTTATTGTGTTCATGTCTGTCCCACTATCTCAGTGTTAACTGTATAGATGAGTCTTCTTACTTCACGTTTAACAATCTAACACCACAATAACTATTCTTGCCTTATACGCACCCAAACTGAAAATTACATGACAAGATTCCATCTGGATTTGAGCATCTCGCTGGGTCTCATCACATTCTCCATCCTCCTCCTGCCGTTGGAGTTGGTAGATGTATAGAAGCCTCTTGAGGCATTCACTGGTGTGATCAGAGTTTATTTTGGGAACAAATTCTGAAAGTGGGGCTGCACACAATCTGCAGAGAGTAAAAAATAATTAGATTTAAAGATTATATGCTCTTTCAACAACAACTGCCAATGGATGTATACCCGTACTTGAAATAATCCTCCACAATTCTTAACAGCTGCTAAGCTATAGATGGTTGAGGTTATTTGTTACTAATGTTTATTCTACTGAATGAGCAACATTTCTGAAATCCCACAAACAAGTCAAATTGAAGTAAATTAGATTTTAATTTTTCTTTAAAAAAGAAGAAGAGGTTATATTACCTCATATAAAATTCATGATTGAAAGGGAAGGACTTACGAAGGTTAGACAACCATTTCCTTCTCCCACAATATCTTGATGAATAATGACCCCCCCCCCTCCCAACTAGGAATGGCAGGGTGGGGGGGGGGGTGTTTCAAGTTTTCATGCATACACACTCTCTCAGTTCTTACTTGTAAGCCGAGTAGATGTGGAATCTCACACACTGTTCCAGAATCAGAGCACACTCAAAGCCAGATGCTCTTTGAATGACCAGGTCCTGGCGAACTGCCCTCAAGCGATCAAAGGCAAAGTTGTAGACTTTGAACCATGGTAGGTCATTGCGGGTCAGAACACTGGCAAGGAGAGAAAGGATTGAAAGTCATATTGAAAAAAAGAAAAAGAAAAAGGTACACGTGTACATAATGCAGCAAACAATAACAGCAATTGAAGTAATGCAAAATAGTCAGCATATGAAGTTACAGGTAGCATTTCAAATGATGTAACCACACAGTGTGAAATTCGGGGAGCTCTAATGGGATTTAATTACCACAGTAAGAGTGGTATATCAGCAGCAATTGTTATATGTATTTACTTGTTTTCTCCCCAAAGCTCTTTAGGAGCTTTTTGGAAGTATATTGCTCTTCACCTGCATGTACTCTATATTCATGCCACCTGCAGAAGTACATGAAATTGATCTACACCTAATCATTTACATCATTGTATCTCAAATAATGCACAAAAAGCAAAAAAAAATTATGTTGCCTTTCATACATCAAAACAATTAATTCAGAAAGTTATATATGTTAACAACGTTGCAGCTTTGATCCTTACTTTTGTACAATGTGATTGACAACCTTCAAAAGAACATGTGGAGGTCGTAGGTCACTGGGGTTGGCCTCCTCTTTGCCTGCTGCTGGTCTTGAGTATTCCTTGATGGCAAGAGAATGGTCAACCTTTGGGCTAGGAGAAGTACATAAGAAATAATTTTGTTAAATATCAGATATGTTTATAATTCATATTTTATAATTCATGTTGGCTATGAAGACAATATTAGAAGTTTTGTTAATTTAATGGTTACGAATAGAAGCCAACAAACTGACGGCAGAAGTTGACTACTTTGTAATGAAATCATTTTTTTCTTCAAGATTTGTAAGCAATCTGTAAAATGTGACTATTATCATATTTACTGAATCAGAGAAATCTGACTGCAGCACACTTTGTTAGAATAGGATAACTATTAATAACTTTGGAAAAAACAAGCACATGTTCTTTAGATAATTCACTTTTATGTGTCATACTACAATTACAAAACAACTTAATTTGTTTAAGAGGACTCTCTGCTGGAGAATAAACATGTTCATTGGATAAAAGAAATAATTTATTGAGTATATCTAGAGGAAAATAGCATATTATCTTATACAAATTGAAAGACATGGATTTACATACCATCGATCTCTTTCAGTTCCGGCTACTATCTCCAAAAAATGAAGCCTTCTCTGTCTTTCTCGTCTAAATTAAAACAAGTACAAAAACAAAGCATTTATTCACAAGTGGTTCATTGTAATTTAGGTTTCTAAAACATTTATCTCTCTCTAATAATTTTGGAAATAATTTGGATGTCCAAATTCATTTTGTGAGAAGTCTGGAAAATATTACCCCAATTTTAATAAACATTACCCTTCCCTATTTTTAAATTTTCTACACTCTCAATTTGCAGTCCATCCTTCTGTTTCCTACGAGTAGATGAACACTGAAGAGAACCCTTCCCTTTTACTACTTCTACTCTCCCAATAGTCCTCTTCTCATTGTTTTTTTTTTGTACAATTAAATTACCCAAACACAAATTGCCCAAACACAAATTGGGAATTCTGATATACTTTTAATTGAATTAATTTCATTTAAACCATGAACATGCACAATTCATAAGAGCCTGAGCAGTAGACATTGAGAAATTTAAAAATGGACAGAGGACGATATATTATCATACAGTGAAAGTATTCAGAAATTCTTATATTCTAAAGTAGAAGGGCAAAAGTAGTCTTACTCTTTTTGTTCCTTTAATGGGCACATATCTTTGCATTCTCCAGCAATCGCATGCTCTGCCTCTTCATAAGGTTCCTGCAATCTGTTCCTCTCTAGACTATCCCTCAGCCTTTCAATTAAGCTTTTAGGATGATATGACATGATGGTACACTACGAATTGAAAAAAAATTTGAAAATTCACAAGAATGAATAAATAAAAGTGATATGAGTGAACTAGAGTTGGAAGATGAAAGAGAAGAAGATGAACAAAAATTAGAAGACAAAGGAGGAGAAGCAGAAAGAAGAAGGAGAAGTCAAGTAGAAGCTAGAACTTAGGAGGAGAAGAAGAAGAAAATGAAAAAGAAACAAGGAAGAAGAAGAAACCTGTTGTAACTACTAAACAGGTTAGTGCACGATTCACACAAAAAAAGGAACAAAAAAACAAAAAAACATTTTAAATATATTTTGGAGTTACAGCAATCATGATCGCCCATATATGGGACTATTAATAATACTTTATTCTTATTACCTGATATCAGAGTGGTGATTTAACCATAAACGCTCGACCTTTGTTCTCATATCAGCAAAGTATACCTACACACTATTTTGCATATGATAGTATAATATTTAGCACTATATTATAGATATAAAACAAAGAGTAATCGAATAAATAAAATTTCTTACCAACAAAACGGGCAGTACAGACAACACTCGGCTTATTTCACAATCTGAAATTTTCGGCTAGCTCTTCACTGTTGTGAATGCTAGCGCGAGAGGATGTACATACGTTCTACGAACTCAATAATTTGATCGGAAATTTCAGCTCTGAAACATCGAACTCGAACTTCGAACTTGCAACGTTAACCCACAGCTGCAATCATGGCGAAACAAACCCGCCCCTCGGAGCCTATCCGTGATTTGATCAAATATTTAAGCTATACTGAAGGCAGGGATAAAATTTACAGGTATTCATTCAATGACTTGATGATTTCCAGTATGAAATTATTTCGTTGTAGGCCTCGAGCTCGAGCTCGAGTCTACTTTTAAAAAGTGTTCGTGGTTCATGAATAATGCCATTGCCGTGGCGTAGCTCGCGATCGCGCTGCGCTGAGCTGAGCTGAGCTGAGCTGAGGGTAGAAATACACTGTACAGAGTAGATCTAGTCTCACCATAGAGATATATATATATGTTAGTAGTATATATCTCTATGAGTCTCACTCATCTAGACTTTTCGCGTTTCGTGTGTGTGTGTATGTGTGTAATTGGGTTTTTACAGACGTGTATCAATCAGATATGATTATTTACGGGTTTATTGTTTTTTGAAAAATAGACAGAAATAAGTAACCGTCTGGTATAGCAGATTTTCACGCGAAAAAGATACCCTCGACCAGTTGGCCTTGGTTTTTCTTTAATATCTCAGTTTGCATGGTTTGACGTGGACAAAATGACGATTGGAAAGAAAATGGGTCTAGAGTAGATCTAGATCGACTTAGAATCTAGATCTAATTTCCGACGGCCCCTACTATGAAATAAAATTGAAAAAATCATCATAAAACATCAATATATAAGGCCATATTTTCAGCTAATCTATCCGATTGCTTAAAGCTACTGCGTGCAATGAGATCAGCAATAATCACACACAAACTTCGTTGTGTAGCCTCCCCTCCCTATAGCCAGTGCTAATCCATACAATGCACTTCAGTCTTTGACTCTGTATAGGTAGTCAGTAGAGCCAGACGTAGTCACAGCGGAACAACCGTTGATATCAGAGACCGAAGCGTTTGGTCCATATGAAAGATTGCATGTGTTGCAAACGGGCGACCATGCAGAGGGGCGAAGAAAACAAACCAATTTTTGAATGTGTATTTGAGAGTAAAATAGTCTCCTCTGTGGCCTAGCTGGGTCTGTATCATATTGCTGCTGTTGAGGTGTGTTTGATAGTGCTTGTCATGCTTGTAATATTCTAAATTCTATTGAGGGTTTATGGTCAAGAAATTTCTTGTTTAACTTGGATTATATCAAATGAGGGACTTCCATGATATTTGATACTTTATCTATTTATCTGCGTCTATGAATCGTATCAATTCTTGCAGTTTTTTTGATGAACATGCACTACATCATTTGAAATTGCACTAAACTTTTAACCAAAAAACTGTAACTTATAATTGTCTGGATATCCCCAGTTCTTTGTATTTTTGTTGAAATAGCAAATAGCCCCCCCCCCCCCACCCCCAGAAAAAAGGGGGAAGATGAATGCATACTCAGAAAAAAGAGGAAGAAGAAGAAAAAAAATAGAGAAACTGAGGTGGGATCAAAGGAAGACAACAAATTAAGAATCAATTTTAGTTGACCAAACCCCAAAGAATCTCTCAGACTAGTCACAGTTATAGAGCAGAGAGAATGTAGGTCAGGGTTTGTCACTAAGTCAGCACTAGTTCCCCAGTCGTCTGCTCTGTGTAGTGCAAAGTCATCCTAGCTAAGTCTAAGAAGGTCATACATTATACCAATTCAGCAATTTTATGTATATATATATATATATATTTCATAGTATTTTATGACCATGAAAACTAAGTTGTATCAACATTCTTTTTAATGATTTGACTGAAAATAGTTTATAGCAGCAAAATCTGCATTAATGTACCCTAATCAATGTGGTGGGTAAATAGATGGTCTTGTGGTTGGTTGAGTGAAATTGGCTCAAAGTTCTTGATGAAGCTTTAAATGTTTGCTTTTATTGCCTTGATACAAGATATATGACACTGATGTAAAACTGCTGACTGGTACCATGCTGTTCCTGGTCTTTCCTTTTGATTATCAATCCTTTAAAATGAAAAGCACCAGTTCTATGGTTTATATGCCTCGAGCTGAGACTTTTGAAATGTGAACGAAGACTTCGCTGCAATTAGAAAAGGAGATATTTGTAATTTTAATTATTACAAAAGAGTTGGAAATGACTACTGATGAGAAGCAGAGCCTAGTGGTAATCTCTAGAGCATCATTAGCATCTCTTTAAGATTGAAGGCTAGACTACCTGTAGATCCTGCATTCAATGAATATAAGATACCTACCAATAATAATCTACTATAGGAGACAGTCAAGGCCCTTCTTTGAGAGATTTTTTTGGGGGAGGGGGGTAGCAGTAGCAGATAATGTTGGTTAAGTCATATATGTGAAAATGAATATTAATGATCTTTATTTTGTTGTCTTCTCGTTTCTATCTTAGAATCACACAGTATACCACAAGATTTCTTCTCTGGTACTATGGGAATAATAAAGCAAGTCAATTTGCCCTTGAGAAGATACAGAATTTAGAATCCACAGTTTCAAATTCAAGAAAGTGTAAGTAACGAGCATACATATTATTTTACATCTTTTTTTTCTTTTTGAATTTTTCTTATGTCTTTAAAAACAAAATAAATAAAAACACATCTTTAGTAGGTATTGCTCGTCTTTGTAATATGTACATTCTTTCTGATCTTGATCGTTATGGATAAGTGAGATTTTCTTTAGGTAATCACATGAATGTTTCTAAATATGAAAACGATGTTTTATTCATTCATGTGTCAACATTTATGAGCCTAAATGGCATTCAGTGTAGTGAATTAATTTTACTTTATATTGTTGTGTTCAGTTATTTTAAGCATTGCAACCTGTTGATAGTATTTTTACATTGCCCTCTCTCCCTTCCATATATTAGGTCTCTGTTAAGAGTATAGGAGTAAAATATCCCAAAAAATTTCCATTTGTATGCTCATAGAAAGGTAAGGCTATAACAGATAGTTTAGATATTTTTTAAATAAGCATGTATTATTTCTTTTCCCCATTTAACAGTGTTTCGTATGCTGAGGTCTGTTGAGTTCTTGCAGAGAGCATTAGATGCATTGGCATCCACTGACAATACTGAGGCTAGCTTGCAACTGATTGGTTACCTAGGAAAAAGTCTGTGGCTTCTGACAGATCACGTTGTGTGGATGCACAAAATTAAACTTTTTGACGTAAGTTCTTGTGATGCATTATTGCAGCATATGTTAACTTTTGCCTTTATTAGGGGTTACATGTTGGTAAAATGTTTGGAATCACTTGTAACATGATTAGTGGGATTTCCATATTGAAATTACTTGAACCTTTAATTAAAAAAGTATTATAAGTTTTCTAAAAATGTCTTCAGTCTTCGATATCTTGCATGACAAAACAGCTGTATCTGTTAGTTTACACGTACATGACTACATGATAATTGGCTATTTTCAATTTACTGCTAGAGTGGGAAGCAATGAAACACACCAGGATCTTTTAACTGAATCCACTTTAAATACATACAACAATGAGATTACTTAATATGTTATTTTTATTCATTTAGGTAAACATTAAAAAATGGTCTGAGACTTCAGCCCGGTTCTGGCTGATAGGTCTCCTAGCCCTCACTATCAAAGACCTCTACAAACTACAGAAGCTCTCCCTCAGCCTCAAGGAGCTCAAGAGAGCAGGTGAGCCAGTCCCGCGCCAGCGGCTAGAGTCAGACATCACCAAGGCAAGGCTACAGTTCATCCTCGACTTCTCGGATGTTTTCATTCCCCTGGCTGCCCTTGGTTACGTCAACAAGGGCGTCGGAGCCGGTGGGGGGATCATTGCCTCAGTCATAGGGCTTTACCTTGTTTGGCAGAAAACTGTGCCATGTAAATGAAGAGACATCCTTATTTCAAGTTTGTGTATGTGTGAGATAGTGAATGATGATCAGTATTGATATAGAAGTGGAAATGAAGGAGAAATATACATTATTTGAATATCTATTTTTTATTGAGAGATTTAACAATTTTACTACACAAGTACTATTGATAAATATCTTAGATGCTGCTTGTAAGTGTCGGCTTGTAAGTATCTTGTTGATGATTCAGTGGCTACATACAGTAGCAAATATCCCTTCTCTGTTCTTTAAGGGTAACTGTGAGCACTGGATGTGGCTCCTGAATATAAAGTATTTCTCTTCGATGATAACCAAGTGGAGACATTGTTGACTTTCATGGATTCAAAATCTTGTGAAACAAAATCATGATAATTGAGTCAAGGGTAAAAAGAATGTTTACATTTAATGTGCATGTCTATTGAGTAATGAAGTGTAAATGTTTTATATGGTGCATAGTGAAATCTTGTCTGATGTAAATTAATTCATATTGATTAGATCAAATGGACATTTAAAAGAGGAAAATTACATCTAAAGAGATCATGAGAAGTATGTTTATCTACAGTCACTTGTTTCATGTCAATGTAACATGCATTTGGAATGACAGGATGTGAACCCAAATACATGTATCACTGCCTCAGTCACCAATAAGTATATGAGTGTTTTTTGTTATGATGAAAGAGGCTAGACTAAGGATGATTTAGCAGACTTGAAAAATGCAAAAAAAATGTACGGGTGGAAAATTCAAACAAACATATTTCATTCATGATTATTATGATAACCATGTTACAAATATTGTTCATGATCACATAAGCTAAAGAAATATTTTCCAGACCAGTCTTCCTAGTCACCCAATGACAATTCTCCATTCTTTTTCATGTCGATAACTTGACCTAATATAACTTGCTTAAAATTGTTCGTCAATATTATTTTACAGTTAACATTTACAATTCTATAGCCTGGCACTAGCCAGTAAACCCAATCACACACAAGTACAAACATGTATATGTGTTGCTGACCTATTTAACGTTCAACTTTTTTGAAAGTAGTTTAAATTTTATATAAAGAATAAAACTAATGTTGTTACATTTGTACCCAACTGTTGAGACGAGACCCAAATCAGAGACGTATCAAGCTTCTTGTATCTCATAATGCTTTTTATTTTCTTCTCTTTTTTTATTGGGAAGTGCACATGAATGCTTTTTTCTCATGGTTACACACACAACCAAAATCTTCAAGCAAATAGAAATATTGAAAGTGTTTGATAATTCACATTTATTCACTTGTGCCTTACTATATTATATATCACAAGTTATTCCATGTCACAAATTAATATTGGAACAGTAAAAGTAAACATCATTACGCATGCAAAGAATATTTATTAATTTTTTTTTTTTTGGACTTTTTCTGTGCATTCAATTGCAATTATAATTCTGTTGATTTATGTTTGATGGAAAATTGCAGTAATGAACATGGAATTTAACATGAGTTTAACAGTATTTCAAGTTGTGTGGCATATGAAGAGTTAATTATTGAATGCTTTTTATTACCTTTTCATTTGATCATCTCAATGATATATGAAAGAGTTTATTTGATTGTATGAATACTTCAGTCTTTGAAAATGACTAGTATATTTTATTAAAAAGATGATTATTGAAAATAACACTAAAATTCATTTTCAATCATTTATGTGCATATGCAATATTTTGTTCACATTAATGAGATGATGGTCACATAGCCCAATGCCCATGTAATGAAAACCTTTGCTGTGTTTTAATCGTATCAGACCAATTACCCCCCTCCCCCGAGGACAATAACACCAACTCCTGAAAACTACTCCCTTGTTCATTAAAGGGGAAATCCTCCCTGATATTAAGTTGGTTTTGATAAAAGCGGAATGTATTTTTTGAAGTAATAGTCCGGGGTGGTTGTCCTTGGTGGTGATTGTCTTGCTGGTAATTATACATGTATCTAATGGGTGAAAAACATCATGAGTTCTTTCACGTGTGTATGTGTGTGTTAACTTGGTTAACCTGGAACATTCAATACAAGTTGTAAAATTGTGTTCAAATGATGGACAAATGTGTGGCTATATCTTTGATCTAAGGAGACGCGAACGAACGAACGAACTGATGAATGATGCCGGTGCTGTGCTATGTTTGAGTTAGAAAGTAAATTAATGAAGCGATCCACGGCGAGACGGCCCGGTGGCCAGAAAGGATCTTCAGCTCTTGCTTAAATGGAATCATCTCTTGACCGAGTAACATACACACTAGTCGCTTTAAACACCACCCAAAGAATGGAGAAAGGCACATGCAATGTTGACTCACTAATGACGAATTTGATTTGACTTTGAGGAAATTGCATGCGAAATTGACTATGAGATGTGCAAAAATTGAATCAAAAGAGGTGTTAAAATAGACGGAAAAACCTATAATTTAGCAACGAAGACTCTAAACAATACAGAGAATAATAGTTTTTTGATGATTAATACTCTTGAAGTTTATCGAACTAATACAAGTGAATGAGTAAGGGAGTGCCGTCCCATTTTGTTGCCCATCGACCCCATCCCCCAAACAACAGACAAACCAAAAAGCAAAATTGCCAAACTTATAACGTTACGTCCGCTTACAGGCACTTTTAGGCACTAAACATATTGATAAATCCTTATTGAATTGAATTTCCCATTAACTATATACGTGGGATGTTGTATGTAGTTGAATAACAACTGGACCAGGGCTGTCGGAAGACCTGTCCTGCGTTAATTTTGAAGGAGATCTGCAACTGAAATTGTGATCGCTACTTAATCCATTTAATTGAATTTCCCGGATGGCATTGTGGTACCCTTTTTCTTGTCAGCACTTCTATAGGAGAGAAATTCCCCGAAAGAGAGACATTATATATGCATTGATTGATGTAGTTTGATAGTTCTTGGATAGTAGATATTTAATGTTTGTCACCATAACCTGCCTTATTGATACCTCATAGAAAGTTGTCAAATTTAGAAGGGAAATTACAGTAGCAGCACGTCGTTTGAAAACAAAAACAAAAACATACTAAAATTTGTTTTCCTTCAAACTCTCTTACTCAGTAAAATATACAATTTAAGAGTATACATAGAATCTCGTTGTATTCATTGTTTTAATTGGAAAAAAATACACATTAAAAAATCTTACACGTAATGAAGAAACAAAATGTCTAAGCCCGTAGGAGTAAAGTGAGAATAACAGACGTAATACACGGGGAATGGGGGTAGGGTGTATACTTACCCCATTTTTAATTGAGGGTTAAAAAAAAACCCGTTAACATAGTTAATGCAAATGCAAAATATGACATGCCTATATACATGTAAAAATACCTATCGACATGCATTATGATAATTTCATTCATTGTAAAACAAAATGATCTATATGTTGAGATGCGAATAAAAACATTACATAGAACATAAAGACATCGAAAGTTTAACATGGTAATTAAAAAAATACACCCCCCCCCCCAGCCGAAATTGGAATTTAGATTTTAACATTTCTCTTCTGAAATAAACAAGAACATTTGGGATCACACTATGGCTCAATGAAGGTTCTAGGACAATTACCCCCTGGAAAATCTCCCCGGCCAATTACCAGCGGGACTATTACCCCCGTCAAATTAGTCCCGGGGAAAATTACCTCCGAGGACAACCTAACTCCGAGGACACTAGTACCCCCCCCCCCCAAAAAAAAGTGCTTTACTTAATACCCAATTTATTACCAGGGTAGACTTCCCCTCAAATGAACAAGATGGGGGGGGGGGGGGTAATTTTCCTCGGGGGTCATGTCCAGGGGTGGGGGTAATTGTCCTGGAGGGGTGGGGGATAATTGATCAGGGATGATTGTCCTTGGGGGTAGTTTTCCAGGGGTGATTGCCCAGAGGGTAATTGTCATGATACTCTCAATGTGTCATAATTTAAAGACACGATATGGTTATGGATGCAATGTGATGTTCCCTGAATAGTATTTTAAATTTCACCGTACGGTACATAATTATGGGTGAAGGAAAATACACATTGCATGTGGACATAAAAAACTACACGGAGGCAAATGAATACAAAAGAATCTAGGTTCTTTTCCTTACTGCTGACTGAATTTATCAAAAGTGTTGAAGGAATGTTTTGGAGATGAAAAATGAAAAGAATAAAGAAAGAACAGAAAAAGACACGATGAAATTGAAGAAGAAATAATGGGAAGGAGAAATTCCGCCGCTTTAAAACCGTAGATAATGAGACATTCAAGCCATTTAGTCCACAATGCTGTTCGTTATAAGTCACGATATATTTTTTGTTCATTAAAATATGCAGCAAAGACACAGAGAGCTATAGAATATACACTCATATAAATTGAGTGGGTATTTATTATTTATACATGTATATGTATAATGTACATATGAGACACGATTATTAATCTATTAAAAAAAACACCCCAAAACATGCAGCATACGTACAAATAGTTATGGAATCAGAATACATTCATATAAATTGAGTGCATTGAAATTGAATTTATGAGTCATGTTCATTAAGCTATAAAATTTGAGTAAACAAATACATAAACTCACACAGAAGCATATTTCATTTTAGCAGCATTCAGCCAACTTCATTATCAGCAAACCACACGACTCAGAACTTTGTCATCTGTGAGGCTCATCCGCACAGTCCATTTTACATAAAAGAATGTATAAATCACATAGTAAAGGACCTGTTTCACATATTTCTATTTGAACGTCAGACAATAAATTAGCGCCGTCCGTGCGTTGACTGTTGTGCGGATACAGCACTACTAACACCGAACTGAAAACTCAACATTTTTTTTAATCCGTAGGGGCTAGTGTTAGCGAATAGGGCATTTGTACGTAAAATATTAACACTAGCCACAAAGGTCGGTTCAGGCGTTCAGCAGACGACAATTTTGCAAAATCGATAACACTAGCTACCGGAGGTTGACGATAATTATTCAGACGTCAAAGTCTTAACACCAGCTGATTTCCATGTCGGTGTTTAAAGCTGGTGTTAGTATTTATTAAACACTAGCCCTAAACACCCAACTTGAAATCACCCAATGTCACTCCGCGAACTCACATGCAACCCACATGCACGTGGTTGCATAATCACATACTGGTGACACTATGAAGAAATTAATGGTGTAAACGCATAACATGTTAAACGGCGCGGTCCAAGAAGAAGAAGAAAAACACTGAGCTGCGATCAATTGTTTACCCATGTACCATTTTTTGAATACACCTTCATTGATTACACCATGCACTCAAATACACTATACGAAGTTTACCAGTGACACCGAATGCAGAGGTTAAAGAGTTGTCTGACAACGAGTTGGGATTTCTTCATAGGGTTGTGTGCGGAGGATCCTCACAGAGAAGGGGTTATGGTGGTAATGGTGACTGTGTCTCGTTCATCTCTTACACCGGGTCCCCCATCTCTTCACCTGCTTTGTGGTAGTCGATATTGGAGTACTTCGAACTATTCACGACGCGACTGTTTCTTCTTGGTGCGGCTTTCCTGTGTTCATACAAACAAAGAAAGCACCACTGAGTATCGTATGATAGGTACAAAGTTTGTCTTATAATAAAATAACGCGCTAAAACTAATCCCAAGTTTATCATTAATATTATGAACGTATGCGTCGTTTTGTTTAGTCACTATGTTACGAAAACATATCATCTCCTCATCAAATGTATTTAATGTAACTTTATAAGATGGCATTGACCTTTTTCTGATGCTTAGTAAACTTGATGCCGAATAAAAAAAAGAAGTGTTTTTCACTTTGTAAACTTGAAGGTCTGACATTATTGTTTTTTAAATCACTACATTAAAGATTTTGTCTTTTATGTAGTGAAACATGAATTTGTTTTCCCACTTCCAGGCCTTTACTTAATATCGGAGGATCGAGGGGGGGGGGGCAGTGACTTTATTGCATTTTATGTTCTTAGTATGATTAAAGAGAAGGTTGAGTTCTGGGAAGAGGTGAAAAATAATTTGTGAGCGTTATCATTCTTACTATGCAAGTGTGGAAGACCATCAGATAAGACATGTTCCCTGAAAAGCATGGCTCTTCAAATGCCTTCATATTCTAAATATGTCATGTGACATCGTAAAACTCCGGGGTAGGATTTTTACGCCACGTGTTCGTGTAGTCCCATATACATCTTTCTGTGTACAGTGTTTGTAACTTTACCAAGACTTGGCCAAATTTCTTATCATTTTGATGATTCCAGAACCTTGCAATACACACAAATTCAATAATGATCAACCTTTTCTGGTCGATTCCACACCGTTTCTTTCACAATGCAATCGCATGACCAGAACTCAACTTCATCTTTAAGTTACTCGAGGAAAGAATTTCAAGGGGTCACCGTTTTTAGGACACTATTTTGGGGTATGCATGGTTTTAAGGGGACACTGCTGATCGACGTCCTTCAGTTTTTCTTTCCAAGTAAGACGGGCTAAATTATGTTAAGATGCATTATTGGCAACCTTTTGCCATCGAGGGTGCATTTGAGATTTCTTGACAATAATGTCATCTCGCACCATTTAAAAAAAATTAATTATGATTTCTGATTCATAGACAATAAAATTGGATTCTCTGTGACGATCATCCGCAGATATTGAATGAACAAAGCTAAGGAATTTTCAAGATCTTACCATCCGATGTTTTCTCCCTCTTCCATTGTTTCTGGTATCTTTTTGCCTCTGGTTTCTGGAAGGAAGTAGGCAGTTCCTGCCCCGATGAAAGCGAAGCAGCCAAAAATGACGAGGGGAAACGGATACCAGTATTTGGAAAGAAGCAGGATCAGTGGGGCTAAAATGTTGGACATGTTTGAGCAGAGGGTACACATGCCAAGAGCAGAAACCCTGGAAGATAAAGATTCCAAGCGAATCAATAACAGAAAGAAAAAAATATAGCAAATAACTATTTCAATGTTAACGAAGCTATTTTTGAAATTACAATTAAGGACATGCACATTAAACATGTATTTCATAAATAAAGGAGTTCGATGTTCCTTGAAAGTGACTGAACGTATAGTTAAGGCTGTCCTGGTATACTAATAATGCTTGTGTAGCTGAAAGCAAAGTTCCCCGTTGCTCTCCTCCCTCTTGAATTGTTTGCAAATGTTGACAATTATCTCCGGTGATAATCGATCCAAGATTCCTGGGTCCCTGCATACAATTTATGAAGGGTGACAGTAATGGGGAATGGGCGACCATTATTATCTTATTACCTTTCGCATTGTGTTATTTCCACGGGAGTTACTAAAGCAACCAATAACAAGTGGTTCTATATATATATATATATATATGTATGTATGTGTGTGGGCGTGTGTGAGTGTGCGGGTGCGTTATGACTATTACCTAACTGGAGTCGGAATAATCTCACAAGCATGGAGGTAGACAATGCAGAAGGAAGATGTGATGGCCAACTTTCCAATCATTGCTACTGCGGCTCGTCCAATACCAAACGCTGTCAAGAGACCAAAATGATAATGTGCTATATTAATATATATTAAAGGAGAAGGGAAAGGACAAGAAAAGTCTACGCCTGAACCATAACCCGCCCCCTTAATCAGTACCTGATAATATGTTATTATCCGAGGAAGACCGGCGCCCCACCCCCTCCCGGCCTCCCCAATCGTTCCCATGCCCCCTCATTGTATAGAATCATGCAACGCCACTGGCAAGGTATTGCGTATTAGAGGCTCCCAATCAAGTGACTACAATTACCTTCGATGTAAGTACGTGTTTTTTAAATTAGCAGATTTCGAATTTTGAACGTCAAGTCTAAACTATCAATTCGAGTCCTTCCGTTGTTTGCCCAAGTATTTTCCTGTCAGCCCTTGCCTTTGCAGCTCACCAGTCCAGGCGCGTACGCAGGATTTTTTCAGGGGGGGGGGGGGGGGGGGGGGGGGGGGGGTAAGAGGTCATTTAAAAAAAAAATTTTTTGGTCCCAAAAAAATCGCAACGACTCAGCCGACCGCTGAATAAGCGGGGGGGGGGGGGGGGGTAAGAGGACATTTTTTTTTTGGGGGGGGGGGGGTCTCGAAATTTGAAAATTTAACATTTTGCTCCGTTGGGGGGGGGGGGGTAAGGTCAGCTTTTTTAGGTCAGCCATGGAAAAATCCAAAAGGGTGGGGGGTTTAGGGGGGTTTAGGGGGGTTTACACACACAAAAAAAACAAGGGGGGGGGGTTAACCCCCCTACCACCCCCCCCCCCCTGTGTACGCGCCTGCACCAGTTAGTAGGAAATATAATGTACACAGTTTTGACAACTAGGGGCCTATAATCCTAACCTACTTCAGCATGCTGGAACGCATTCGTAAAATTCGAAACGGTTATACTTGTATTATGGAAACAGTTTTATGGAAACAAAGCAACAAATGATTTCCTCTCCTAATTTTTAAGGTGAACAAACGGAGCATTGATGCATGAATCTTAAGGTCCATACCTGAAAATCGGTTGACTGAAATTATTTCTTCGGAAAGAGAGAGATAGAGATCAATACCTGAGTGACGAAATTGGCAGATGACCAATTTTCTTTTGAGACGATACAAACAAAATCCTATCATTTTCATTTCAATTTTGTATCGCTAGAACTACTAAACTTACGAATGAAAATTGTGGCTAAAATGGCGGCTCCACATAAGGCCATGAAGAAAATGTAAACCGGTCTTCTCCCCCACTTTTCAATTGGACGAATGACACAGAAACAAGCAGGAACCTCAACAGCACCCGCAATAGCAAAGGCAATGTATTTGTTGACTCCAAGAGAATCGGTGCTCATGGATATGCCGTAGTACACCACCGTGTTCACACATCTGGGGGAGAAAAATGATGATAACAATAATAATTATTAGAAGAAATAATATACAAAAATAATAATAATAATAATAAAGATAAGAATGATAATGATTATAATGACATATCAAATACTAAAGATAACATTAATAATAATGATAAAGATATTGATTGGAATGATAATACTGATAATAATAGTAATACAAATAAATGGTAATATTAATGATAATAACACAAATAATAATGATAATAATAATAATAAAAACAATAATAATTTAAAAAATGCAGTCAAATGTTATATCATCGAATCTCTTCTTAAAGGGAACCAAAACCTTCAAGTTACTTTTATTGTAAAGTTTAAGATATTTGAAAAATATCGGTGAAAATTTGAACAAAATCGGGCAATGGAATAAGGAAGTTAGAGCTTTTTGAAATGACTAGTCACTAGAGGGCGGTATTCAATTTGATGACATCATCTGTGGACAACTCTCCATGCCTTTCGTACATCAAATTTCATGTTTGTCCTTCTTTCTTGTGATTGAGATAATCTACTCCCCTGAAAGCAAGATATAGAATGCAAAATGATATTCTACTTCACATGTTATGAAGTCGGATCAAGAACACAAATAAATACGAAGAAAACGAAAAATTGTGAAATTTTATGTACAAAAGGCATGGAGATTTGTCCACAGATGATGTCATCAAATTGAATACCGCCCTCTAGTGACTAGTCATTTTAAAAAAGCTCTAACTTCCTTATTCCTTGCCCGATTTTGTTCAAATTTTTACTGATTTTATTCAAATCTTTTAAACTTTACAATAATATTAACTTAGTGTAAAAGTTTTAGTTCCCTTTAAACTAACTTCATGTCAAATGCGCATATACACACGCAAACAAGCATACGCACACACATACACACACACACGCGCGCACGCACACATATGCACCCCCACACGCCCACGCGCACATTTATGTTTGTGTATGTAATATTTGGCTCATTCAGGATTGTAGTCCTTCCTTTTTTTTAGGGGGGGGGGGGGAGAGAAATTTTGAAATCCTAAACATAATTGCCGGAACATCAACCAAATTGGGCGGTGAAATAATATTACAAACATCAGACATTAGAAGGTTATGTTCGTGTCAGATTTTTTAGCCTATGTTATATTTCACTCAATCATTGAGTTATTAGTATAAATATTTATTGAAATTATGGAAATAAAAACCTCGCTTGAGGATAAGAGGAAGAAAACAAATTCTCGTGTCAGATTATATAAACATGTATATAGGCTACGATACTTACAACTGGAACATGAGGTTTAGCGTGTAGAGACGTAAACGAGGCCTGCGTAGTAGTTCAATCACACCCTGGTCTCCACCGCCCTCGACTTTCTACTTGAAAAAAAAAATAACACCAAACAATTGATTTAATGATTAAATAGGGAAATGTAATTTGGTCTGGCGACAAATTCACTTAGTCAGCTTTCTGTCTTTGCCTACAAACTGGCTCAGGCAACCACGGTTCGAAACTGAGTCTCGTCTTTCGGATAGTAACGTTAAAAGTCGGTCCCCAGACTAAATACTCATATAATTATGATTGATACACGTCTGTAATTTTTTACACACACAAGTACACTTGGTCAAAAGTGATAAACGTAAGAAAAACACCGAATAAGCTTCAATTTTATCTAGGACCTCTCGTACTCGTACTAGTTTTGATATAACAATTCATCAAAATACCCCAATCTTCCTACTGTACCAACATTACGTCCAAGATCTCCTGAGATGTGAAAAGTGAATGAGAGAGAGAAAGAGAAGAAGAAGAAGAAGAGAGAGAGAGAGAGAGAGAGAGAGAGAGAGAGAGAGAGAGGGGGGGGGGGGTGGGTGGGGAATGGGTTATACTAGAATGAACTTACCATATCCGTTTGCACATTATCCAAGTTAAATGTCTCTTTGATTTCGGCTCCATTGACTTTGCCTAGTTTGCGCATGATCTTCGTTGCTTCCCTGACACGGCCCTTTGACAACAACCAACGTGGAGATTCTGGAGCCAGCCTTTTCAAAACATAGAAGGATTTGCCAATAATTGAATTTTTTATTTTCCAATACAACTTTAAAAGTGTTTTCACAAATACCGAAGAAGAGAAAAATATAGCATAAACAGAAACGAAACAAAAATAATAACAACACAAAAGAGAGCAAAATTAAAAAAACAAAAAACAAATGACGTTGCTGCCTTCACATTTTATTCTGGTAAGGTCAGACTTTTAGATCTAGTTGCCTTTTTATCATGCAAGATCACCTTTTGCTGAACTAACTGAAAATACTTAACTTCTTATGAGCAGAAGTGGTCCAGTTTTCCTAGATTGTTCGGGAGTGTCCTTAAAAGGACTTCTCCCGTAACCTACCAGCTGTCAACAATTATCTACTTATTCTACTACTAATACTGCTACTACTACTACTACTACTACCAATTATATATGTATCTTAACTTCTAATAAATAATATAATAGACCTAGGTTGTTTATTTCTTTTTATTATGTTAAAATACTAAAAAAAAACAAATCAAACAAACACACAAACTATTGTGTTTGTTTATGTTCCTACTTTTATTTTGCGCCTTGAGCGCATCATCATCCGTGGAGTTGGAGCATTATAATTACTGATTATTAATTATTGCTATTATCATCATAACATAATGATACTATTGATGATGATAATATTAATAATGATAAAAATAATAGGGTCTTATTTATCCGGGGTAGCCACACATTAGAAATACTACTCTACATGTGGGCCATAAAAATGTTATTACCCTTTTTTATAGCAATGCCAAGTTCCCATTTATTACGCCTGGGTCGAGAGGGACAAATGTGGGCAAAACACCTTGTACAGGTATAATTGCACCATGGAAAGATCGAACCTGGGACCCTCTCGTATGGTAGTCAAAAGCATAAATTAGCAATGTACGACGGTGCTCCCACACAACAATGATAATACAAAATATGTTGTCTTACACGTATATGATGAGCAGAATAGTAGGTAGCAAGGAAACAATCAACTGCAGATGACGCCAGTTCCTGACGTAGAATGCTAGCAGGGATAATGTCATGTACCCTACTGCAAAGTGGATCCATATCACATTACCAGCAATGGCTCGCTTAGAAGGACCAATCATTTCATTTGCTAAAAGTAATTGAACAAAGAGATAAATAGATTTATTGTAGGTCCATAATCATATTTCCTCTATTATTGTTAAAGGCATGATTAGTTTTGGAAACGGCCCCTCTGGAAGCTCTTATTACCAATCATGATCTAGCTGCCTGGATAGATTTCGCGAATGCACTCAACATTGAATATTTGGGCACATATTTCTTCTCTTTTGCGAATTTAGGTTGAAGTAGTGCCATCTAAACCTCTGAAGGCAATATTTAAACAATTTTGAATGGATATTTTGCACCCAAAACCCTTCAGCCGCAATTTTACCAGTACTGGAACAAGCTACAATTCTGCCGTTCATTCTACTGGTAATAGTTCCACTATTTCTTTTATTTTACACAAGTCACTACCGCTATCTCTACTACTACTACTACTACTACTACTACTACTAATATTACTACTACTACTACTACTAATTGTACGTATGCACATGAAAGTCTATAATTTGTTTTCTTGAATGGCATGAAACAAAATCAGCAGTAAAGTTCCAAACAATGAAGAACAAAACACTACTAGTAGTAGAAGTAGTGGTAGTAGTAGTAGTAGTGGTAATAGTAACATATATTTTTGGGATTCTATTCTTGCTGCTTCTAATTCTGTCGTGATACAATTTTCGTTGTTTTCTTCATAATCAACCTCTTTATATCGTTTGGAGACTCTCTGAGTTTTATTTCTAACGTAATTACATAACTAGTACTCAATATTTGGTACCTTACCAAGTACGAAGGATGATTGTAGCATTCCAATCGTAAATGCCCCTGTGATCATTCTCAGTACCATGAACATCCATATGTTGACGGAAAATGACAACGCTGTCCCGCAAATTATAATGGCAGTCGTGCACGTGAACAGGGTCTGATGACGACCATACCTTGAGACAAAATGATCACAAAAGACATTGCTCTCTTATCAACTTTGATGGCACATTGAAATTCGGTATGTATTTTCTTCATAACTTCATCGATGTGTCGAATCTGTGTGAAAATGCCTTATCTGTATGTATCAACAGTAGGCCTATTAAACTCATAAAGTTGCTTAGAAACATAATTGAACCATAATTGAACGTTTTGAACCGGAATTGATGAAAATTACTCAAATTTTCAGGACATTTTACCATTGATAAAATGATGTAGAATATAGTCTTCTTAAACATTCATGAGCTTGTAATTGTATGCTTATAGATCATGCAGAGGGCTTCGCTCAAACATTCAACTTAAAGATATGCTAACCATACCCCTATTTTAAGTAAACCATCCCATATTAAATAGATATACCAATATCAAAGTACCTTGAACTATTTCTTCAAGTTTTCTGCTGTAAAACTGTTGAAGTCAATGATACTTAAATGATTAAAGAATAGTAAGCAAGTAATTACCGTTGGTGAAGGTGAAGGGACAAACAATCACTTCCGAGGCGATCTGGATGTAGCTATCTTTCCGAAGCGAAATAGCGTATACATTCAGATCGCCGAGGAAGTGATAGTTTGCCATCGCCTGAAACCAAAAGGTGATTATTTGCTTTATATTCCACATCGGAAACATTTCACTTCTTCCGTCATTTTAGAGCAATAAGTTATCAATTAACAACTAGCAAACGGTCGTATGATACGTTCAGTGCATGCAGTACTAACGTACGTACACGCAACGTATCCAATCTTCAGTGAAAGTGCGTTGCACTGTGTAGATAGTACTACTATCTTCACAGTGCAACGCACTTTTCTTCTCCCATCAATGATGGGCGAACTATCTTTCATCACGTGATTTACTTTTGACCAATCGAAGCGCAAGATTCTTTGTATGTGGAATATAATATTATCCTGATTCAATTAGGTCCATGATTAGGTAAACCGGTTGAATTTTACACCATTGATCAATGCTTTGCTTGTCCCCATCAATTCACACTTCCACAGGGCACATCTCCTCAGGGTCAGAGTAAGGACCCATGTGCGTGTGTAATTCTTTTTTTGAATGTAGGGCATATAGTTTTGATTAAGTCTTTAATTGCCACAAAAATAATCTCCCTGTCCCACATTGCAATGTTTAAGGGATATCGAATATACCAAAGGCTTTGAGATCGTTGAACTATTTCCCCTGCAATGATAATCTATACCAGTGTTAAAAACGTTGTCATGGAGCTATTCAAGGCCGGAAAAGGGAAATTTAGCAAAGCTGTTCTATAGCTCAAAAGCGATCCTTTCGTCAATTGGTGCCAATGTATTTGTGCAAAATTGCGCGTGTGGCAAACGAGCAATATAGTGCAGAGAGGTGAAGAAAGCAATACAAATCGCTAGTGAAATTCTTACACACCTGTCAGAGAACAATCCAAACGTCAAAGACCCGGCAGCAGTACCAGCGAAGAAGAGAGATTGCGCAAGTGCAGACTGGTACCCCAATCCGCAAACTAAATTGAACTAAAAAAAAAGAAGAACAGAATTTAATAAGGCTCGTTCCGACATGATGCGGTAAACTGTCGCAAAAAAGAAAGAAAGGAAAACAAAATAGCGGCTGTATTTAAAATGTTTATGAATGGATGACAAAAGGCTGCAGCAAGGACGATTCACATATTCATTTAGCTCTATGTTATAACATACAGAAATGTGAAGCGTATTAAACTTGATATGTGATCAACAAAAAAAGAAAAAAAGAACGAACAAGAAAATGATGCAGTTCACTGCTTTGCACTCTATAACATAATCACAAAGTTCAGGTACTTCAAACAACGCACCGGTATGCCCGGGATGACAAAATAATGCCCGGATCTTATTTAATTTGCAGTTCTAAAATCAATAGAAGTAGACCAGCTAAACATTCAAGGGCTGTAGGAAAAACAAACCCACGTCAATTTCGACTTCAGCAAATTATGTCACGTGCATATAAGTTTCTACAGAAAAATATAATACTTTCCTGGTTTAAATGGGAGCAGACATGGTGAAAACTATATGAATTTGTCATTTTATTGAGGTTTATACGCATAAATTCAACAAACATTTGTTTCTATTTTTAAAAACTAACTTACGTCCTGTTCCACTGTCCTCTCCTTAGTTTCTTGGTTGTCATATACCCAACCAGCATCACAAGAAAATGTGTTGGATTCCTGTAGATCAAGATCTGGACTAAAATCGGCTCCGCTTGTATTATAACGAATACAAGATGAGTACACCTTTTCCGTCTGAGAATCGTTCGAGTAGTCCCAAGGGATGCCGACTTCTCTTTTCTCTAAGGCGCATTCTCTGGAAGTATTGAACCCGTAGCTCCCACAGTCTACCGAATCCCATTCTGGTATCTTTCAATGAAAGGAATAAAACAGAAAACGCATTTTCACTGTACTTTCACTATACTTTCACTATACTACTACTACTACTACTACTACTACTACTTCTAATTCCTAATTCTACTACTACTTCAAATACTTCTGCTACTACTGCTACTACAGTACTACTACTACTAGTACTACTAGCTACTACTACTACTACTACTACTACTACTACTACTACTACTACTACTAATTCCTAATTCTACTACTACTTCATATACTTCTGCTACTACTACTACTACTACTACTACTAATTGCTAATTCTACTACTACTTCAAATACTTCTCCTACTACTACTACTACTACTACTACTACTACTACTACTACCACTGACATACTGGTGTATGTGTGCGTGTGTGTGTGTGTGTGTGTGTGTGTGTAGGGGGCTGGGGCTTTTGCCACTTCTTAATTAAACTAAAAGAAGTACCACCCCAAAGATATCAACAACAAAAAGGGAAAATAAAAGGAAAGAAGAAAAATGGGGAAAACACCGAAAGAAAAAGAAGTAGAAGGTGAATGGAAAGGGAAAAAGTAATATTCCCTTTATGCCTATATAACCCATACCAAGATACAAGATACAAGATATTTGATTTGGTCTTTGCAAACAAGTTACATAGAAAATTGTTTTCCACTGGCGTAGTTACAGTCATATTCAACAAAATACATAATTACAAGAAATAAATACATCACGTTTATAGAATGAAATAGATGAAATGAGGAACAGATACATGCAAAAGATAATGAAGCGACAAAAACGGTTATTGGTATATGTACTTCAAAACATGAGTTTCAGAAAGGTATTTCAAATCATACAATTTAATTTCCGACGCAGAAGTTTAACGTTTAACCTGTGAGTTGAATTTATGAACAGAGTCAGGTACAAATGAATATCTGAATCGTGAAAGGCGGGTTGGGGTGGGGCGAAGTCGGATACCAGAACGACTAAATGAATAAAATAAATGAAGTGGATGGGTATTGTCTTTGATCAACAATTTGCTCAGTACAATGAGACTCGACAGAAGCTAATTCTACCCCAATTATGCGTTGTGCTATTTTACGTGGCCTTTCCAATTTCTTCTTGTCCTGTTTTGAGAGATTGCCAAATGAACATATAATATTGAAAAGCAGGACACTCTTTATTATTGAATTGTAGAACAGGGTCAGGATTGTTGCATCTATATGGAAACTTTTCAACTTACGCAGAAAAAAACAACCTCTTGTTAGCTTTCTTAAACACCGATTGTGTGTTATCCCATCCATGATAATTTGTCATTTAAGACAGTTCCAAGATAGTTTCCAACCTGTTCAATCGCCTCATTATGAATGACCACACTCTCTTGGTCTGTACCTTTTCGACGGAAGTCGATCACCATTTCTTTGGTTTTGGTTGTGTTTAATGTTAAGTAATGATCATCACACCAGCGAATGAATTCGTCTACCCGTGAGAAATAATCATTTGCCTGATCAGACAAAAGAGCAACAATTACGGTGTCATCAGCATATTTGAGTATGCTACAGCAAGAAGTTGAGCTTACACAATCACTTGTATATAGTGAAAACAAAACCGGGGATACCGCTAACATTCGTAACAATATATTATTGGTTCCATCAAGTGTATACCATAACATTTCTTTCTTTTTGAATAATCTCTTTAGCCTTGCAAAACCGACCGTAAACAGAGCTCACGTTTTGCACTTGTGTTTAAAAAGTTAGACCTAAGAAATAATGTATTTTTTATGATTACAGTAAACGTGTATTACAAAACTAAATGATTGAATTTTCCTAGTTAATCTTCAAAAGACCTTCCTCTCGTATCTACCAACTAACTTTATACAGTATCCTGACATTTCTTTCAACTCTGAGGGGAGACATGTATAATATGCTACGTCCAGCAGGGGGAGCAAAACAGGGGAACCCTGGAAAATGCGAAAAGTCAAATTTTCCCCAGCTCTTCTTCAATTTCAAAGAGTATTTTGTGAAGAAATGACTTAAAGACTTACATATAGAGTACACCATATTTCAGCTCTGAAGTGCTCTAAATATTAAAACAAAATGAAATCTGTTCGCTCGCCACTACGTTCCCTTTTACAATTAACTTTAGCTTTAAAATTAAAATAGAACTGTAGAAAATTACACAGAAAGAGATTCCATTGGCTAAGGCTTAACGAGACAAATATCGGGTCTTTTCACACAATCCGGGGACCGTTGATTTAATCGAGAGGTCTCTTCCCGAAAAAGAATGTTTAAAGGGGTCTTCCCAGATATTTGAGCGTCTAAATGATGTTTTAACGCTGCTTACCTCTAATGGACAAATACAAAGATAGGGTGTAAGCTCAGCATTGAGATGAAAAGTGCTCAAAAATGCAAAGTTACAAAATACACAACGTGCATTTTCCTAGCTCGATCCCTACGCGGCCCCGCACAATAATATATATAATTCACTTAGGGCGTCGTTAGAAATTAAATGTTTATACAGGAAAAAGCAATTGTTTTTACTAGTGATATTGGGGGGGGGGGGGGTGGGAGGGCAGAGTACAGCCTCTAGATTCAACGGATTGATAGTATTAACGGGTATTGCAATCGTGGCGATTCTGAAAATATTGGCTTAGCCCCCTCAAAAATGTTCGCTCCTTACTGACTACCAGCGCTCAAAATACACGGGGGCGATGGGCGATTCGCCCCCGTGAGCTCCATAATCGCCCCCATCAGGTTGTCCACGGGGGCGATTGCAAAATTAAAAATCGCCCCCGTGGAATTATAAAATAAAGATTTTCAGCGAATTGAATAATATTGAAAAGGATGCAATTCATAGTTGTACTCGATAATACTCACTTAACATATTCTCTCTCTCTCTCTCTCTCTCTCTCTCTCCCTGTCTTGCATAAAGAAAGTATGAAAACAATATTTTGCCTTGATTAAGAAAAATTGAAAATTTTATCAGTATTAAACAGGGAGAAGGAAAGGGGAGGAAATTAATCAAAACAAACTTTGAAGAATCCAATTCAGTGTTCTTTCGTGTTGGCTCAGTCAGGAGAGCGTCCGCCGCACAACCGGGAGGTCGTGGGTTCAAACCCCGGCCGCGTCATACCAAAAGACGTTAAAAGATGGGAGTTGTTGCTACCTTGTTTGGCGTTCAACAATAAGGGATAGAGCAACGTCGATCTGGCGCTGCTCAGTGGCTGCCGGGCTCACGATCAATTGGGCAAAAAGAATTTCCGTTTCGGTTTAATGAAATTTGGAGTGAACTTATTAGGCTATTATTATTATTATTATTATTATTATAAGAATCAAAGTACATTAAAAGGTGAAATAGTAAATTGAAGAGCGATGATGAATCAATTCTTTGACGTTGATTGATTGAATAAAAAATAATGAAACAATATGGTCTGAGGGTCATATTTCTTCGAATATTAGAAAGTTTCATCCACCATCGTGTTTAATATTAATGCGATGACGTGTCGGTTACGATCAGAAGGTCATATCAGGTTTCTATATTTTATAATACTATCAACAGATATCTGGATAGAGACACTTCGTCACATCAAGCTACGAGAAAGTATATCACCATCTCACAGAATTCTACTCGAACACCGCATCGAAATTCTTTTCACCCTTTTTTTTCTTCTTCTTCTTTTTGGTCCCTTTTAGCTCTCCTTTTTTCCTTTTCTTTCCTTCTCTCTCTTTTTTTTTAGCGGGGGCGGGGGAGGCAAAGGCCTTTTGCCCCACCCCCATCCGCAACTTGTTGGCGGGAAAATTGCAAGTGATATCCCCCTTCTTTTCTTTACTTCTTCCTCAATTTTCCTTCTCTTTATCTCCTCTTTTCCTTTTTTCTTTCCATTTCCTTCCTTCCTTCTCTCTTATTTTGTTTTATTGGTGGGAGGCAACAGCCTGGGAGGCAAGGCCCTTTCGCCCCCCCCCCCCCCGATCTCCTTCTTCCCCTTTTCTTTTCTTCTTCCTCTTCTTTCTTTCCCTTTCTCTCCTCTTTCCCTTTCCCTCTTTTCCTTCTCTCTCTCTCTCTCTCTCTCTCTCTCTCTCTCTCTCTCTTTTTTGCGGAAAGGGGGGGGGGGGGGGGGTAAGGCCCGCTCACCCCCGCTGGATCCGCGCCTGCATCTACCTTATATCTACTAACGTTAGACCCTCATAATGGATCTAGAAGATTGATTGACCTGGTCTCAGTGACGGGTAAACTTTTTTTCTCAATTACTTGGTCTAACCATGAAAACCGTCTAATTTTACTTTAGATTTTCAAACAGTAACAGTTACGACCTAAATTAGGCCTAGGGCCAAGGGCTGAACTCTACATTTTAATAACAAATTAACGTTAACGTTAGACTTAACTTAAACTGTTGATTCTCTTTGATACAAGTGGGAAAGGAACACTTTTTTTTTCCAAAAAATAAAATCTTTCCCCTATATCCCCCCTTTTTTTTCCAAGGGGGGGGGGGGGGGGTGGGGGGGGGGGGAGGGGGCCGGGAAAATTGCAACTGATATCCCCCTTCTTTTCTTTACTTCTTCCTCAATTTTCCTTCCCTTTATCTTCAGTGACTGGTCCCTCAGAAACTAGTGCTAATCCAGTCACAGAGAAATCATGATTTCAACTGATGCCTGTCAGTGCATTGTAAATTTGATTTTTCTTCAAATTTCATTTAAAAATCTTTTCATATTTGATAAATATGGTGCATTGGCATATGGGCTATGGTTGGAGCTTTGGATGCGTTGAAGAGCGTTGGTGTATTATGTGGATTTATCATATTCATATTCTGAATATTTTCAGCGAATTGAATAATATTCAAAAGGATGCAATTCATAGTTGTACTCGATAATTCTCACTTAACATATTCTCTCTCTCTCTCTCTCTCTCTCTCCCTGTCTTGCATAAAGAAAATATGAAAATAATATTTTGCCTTGATTAAGAAAAATTGAAAATTTTATCAGTATTAAACAGGGAGAAGGAAAGAGGAGGAAATTAATCAAAACAATCATTTAAGAATCCAATTCAGTGTTCTTTCGTGATGCATAAGAATGAAAATACATTAAAAGGTGAAATAATAAATTGAAGTGCGATGATGAATCAATTCTTTGACGTTGATTGATTTAATAAAAAATAATGAAACAATATGGTCTGAAGGTCATATATCTTCGAAAGTTCGAATATTAGAAAGTTTCATCCACCATCGTGTTTTGCAATTTAATTTTAATGCGGTGACTTGTCGGTTACGAGCAGAAGGTCATATCACGCTTCTATATTCTCTGTTCTATAATACTATCAACAGATATCTGGATAGAGACACTTCGTCGCATCAAGCTACGAGAATTAAGAAACAGTGCGTTTTCACAATCGGTAAAATATTACCTGCTTTACGTAAGCTTTCATTTGCTGTTCTGCAGGCTTCTTGAGACTTAGCTACGATAATTTTCTAAGCAAGCTTACCGATAGTTAAACAATAACTCTTTCTCAAACTTACAACTAATATAAAATATATCATATTTGAACATTTGGAAAGTTTTATTGTGGAGAATCTATGTTCAGTGATATTAAATGATAGTTTATATTTTGTTATCTAGATTCTCAATTTGTTCACTCAATCCCATAGCATCTGTACTGGATTCACCAAAACTTAATTCACACTCACCACTGCCATTATGTATTATAATTTGTACCTAATGCTCCAATCATTTTTTGTTTGCCATTTCCCTTGTGTTATGTGTTATAGAATGGACATGGCAATTTACTGTACCGTGATGGTGTTATTGTATTCTTGCAAGAATAAAATCAGGTTCTGGACAATGCATGGCAAATACGAAATATGTTGTTACACAGAGGTTCCTTTCACGAAATTTAAGCGATTTTTGTGAAAAACCTCTGCTACTATTTATTATTAGGATTATCATTCTTATGGACTTGCTGTCACTGGTATTAATGGAAACGAAAACGCATTCTTTCAAACTGAAACGGCAGGAAGCTTCTTTAAAAAAAAACTATTAAGTATTAAAATGCTCCTATGAAAAGAGTTTTGTGTGTTTTGAATAGTGCATCAACGAGCCTGAAGCCAATTGCAAATTTGACTATAGGTAGATGCAGGGGCGGCGCAATTGTTTTGTTTTGTTAGGGGGGCGACACAGGGGCTGTCTGAGGGGGGGGGGGGGGACGTGTCCCCTCCGAAATTGAAGATATTTTTTTTAATTGATGCATTAATGGCTCAATTTGGTGCATACTTTTTGCCAAATTAAATCTCTGATTTTTTTCAGTTAGTGAAAGGTTCTTCGTTGTCAATCAATGTTTGAGCTTCCGGTAATGTGAATGTAATAATGACGCGTCCATTTCTGATCGCCTGATTTGGCTCGCTTTTTTTCTTTCCCTCTCCCCCACCCTCCCTAACGTCATAACTTAGACTTTATAGTTCTCTTCCTCCTTGTCTTCCCCATCCTTTTTGTTTTCTTCCCCTTCTTTTTCTTTTCTTTACCAAAAATCCTCATTGAAACGCCTCTCAAACCATCAAAGTATATTCCTACTCAAAGTTTCGTGGTGGATAGGGCCGATGCCGTTGTAACACAAGAAGTTTAGGTAATTTGTCCCCATTTATTGTAATCTGAATGGAATTTAGCCCTGGGGCTGCCATTTTCAGTATTCTAAATACACCATTCAATTCAATTCAATTCAATTTAATGAAAGAGGAATTTGTCATTAAAAAACACGTGAGTTTAAAGTGTGCCCCAAAGAGGGAAAATATGCACTCCATAATTTTCTTCAATTATGTATCTGGTTAATACCAACCTTGCACCAGTGATCAGCTTCTCCAGAAAGAAACATGAATACCAGGATCTGCCATGGAGCGATGAATTCAAAGAGACACAGCAGGTTGTAGAGCCATATTTGATACCGACCAAACTCCCCAAGTTCAATGAGCACATCATCAAACTTCCTTTCTTCTTCCTTCATCATCGTGTATACCAATCGAATCCTCTAAGTCACAGCCACCAAGTCTAGTCGCTTCAAAGATCACGCTGACAATGAGACGTGAGGTAGACTGACAGAACACGAATACTCCGGTACTCCGGTAGGCCGATATGCTGCACAGCCTGCACCCTTGAGGGGCATAGCAAGGTCTCGGTCACGATCGGGAATGCTTCACAACTTGCTTCGAACATATTTTCGCTTAATGAACAAATAGAACGAGAACTGTTAGCGGAGTTCAGATTGGGGGTTAAAGTTCATAATCTTCAAGGGTATATATATCAGGTATCCACAACCTGGATTTGATCAGGTGTGCTTTACATTGCGTTTTGCTGTCCATACGATGCTAGATATCTTACGACGTAAATTAAGAAGACATTTCGCTCTTTGTGCAGCAGCCTATCTAATCAGGTGATTCATGAGTATCCCAAATATCAAAGGGTTTAACAAGAAATTGAATACCCGACACCCATTTTGGCTACGCCAATATTTTGGACCTCGAGCGAGCGAACTTAGCTCATTCAAGGTTAAAGACTGTTTGCATAACCGCACTTTTGGCGGCATTTAACCTACCGGAAGATAGTTAGCACTCTCAGCGAAACGAGACAAACAAAGTCGATCTAGACCAAGAAAAATATTTTTTCCCCTTCCAGATACGTACTTGACCCATGCAGTGAACTTGACTTGATAATATCCTTCAAGTTTAACATTGACTTTGAGAACCGAAGAATATATATTCTATTACGATTTATGAATCTAAACTCCATGAAAAGATTCATGATACTTAGAAGTAGGAATTAACAAAATATTGTTGATATGTAACTTTGGTACGACAATTGTTATAGATACCGTTGGTGCGGTTTGTCAGTGGAATCTCATTGGTTACAGAGCGAAATTAGTGAGAGGAATATTCGTGAGCCTTTAACTAAGAGCATTTTCTTCATTTATTTGAGAAGGATATTTGCGTTTCACACATAATCTTTTACTATAATGATAAAAAGGAATTGGTTTGAATTCAGTAATTGATGTGTCATTCAAATGTTGATATGTATACAAAATTATATCTGACGGACTTTGAATAGGACAAGATTAAAGAAAAGGGAACCCTACTTTACAATTTGTTTGAGTAAGATAACATTCTGAAGAAGAAAAAAAAACCCACACAAGGTAACTGTACAGTATAATTATAGAGCGTAATATTTCTGCTTGGTTGTGGTATAGTGGTTCATTCACTTAATCCAGGTTAATGGGTACCTGGCAGATGGGGTAAAAGTACATGCAGGGCTCTATGAAAATCAGCATTTAGGCTGATGAGGATCCATGGCAAAACATTATCGTTATTATTGGTATTATTATATTATTGAATTCACTCAACAGCACCCACAGAGGCACTTCTTAAACATGCAAGATACGACAGGGGCCTCCATGGTTTTATTTGTGTTTATTTTTTTCTTCTAAAATGACCTTTATATTAATGACAAGTACATCAAGGAAAATAAAAACTTTTTTTTAGCATTCAATAACATGGTGAAATGTCGTGCAAGAATTTACAGCCCATCATTTATCCCAGATGGTAGAAAGAAACTGGTGATAAATCATAACGGGGTTCACCACGACCTCGTGAAGACATAACGATATTGTCCGCAACCCAATAACTGTTTTTAGCAGCAGGCTACATTGTTTTTGTGTCAGTCCCATAGTTTTATACAAAAGAAGAGTAGTAAATTTGTCAAATTTCATAGCAATATGTCACACTTAAGCTTTATGACTCTTTATCAAGTTGATCATGCCATCTGGCCCTAAACATCCTGCCTGAATAGGTAGCATTTTATCTCCTAAACGTGTGTAATTTTGTTTGTTTTTATTTCCATAACAATACATTAGAAAGTTAAAATAGACATGATAGCATACATATGGCAAATGATGCCACATGATGCCACTGTCCTTCCGTGGTGTCCTATCAGCATATTACAGAAACGCATGTACAGCAATGAAAATAAAACGAAATCAAATCAAATGACTGATTCTGTGTATTTCATACGTAAGCTAGCATTGTTCTTTTCTTCTTTATATTATCAGATCTTATGAATAATTCATATCCTCATATGTTTTTAAATGCATTCGTAAATTGTGAGGTATCAGCCATTGGCTGTCAATCACAAATTCTAACAAACCATGAATAAATAAATGAGAAAAAATCTGACACTTGCAAACGATTGACCCACTTATGGACAATGAAGAATATGCAACAGGTCATTGACCGTTATTTTTATCAAAGTCCAGAGATCAGTTTATGCAGACCGCTAAGTAGTTTGCTTTATTTCAATGTATTTTTCTCACTTTTCGTCTATCAACCTTGTCACGTATCTTGACAAGATAAATATAAGAAAGAAAGAATGTAGAGGGAGATAACATGATTCAGTGTCACAAGATGAACTTCAAGCAGTTCAAGTTCCAGGTCAATTAAATGTTCAATACATTCTTATTCTCAATGAATCATGGTAGGAGGTAAGAGATAAGGATACAATACAAAATATACAGTACATAATTATGGCAGAGAGATTTAAACAAATCCGAAATGAAAAAAAAACCCAAAACATAATGTTATCATAGTGAAACCATGTAGTAGTCCATATAGATATGTGACTGTGATATCCTGCATGCATCACATTAGTTGATGCAGATATCAATGTTATTTAGTGTTTGTGATAATAGGAAGGAATAAACGTATATAGTAAGAACAGAATAAAGTAATACTTGACAATCATTGGTAGATCAGTCAAGAAACATTTCCGTGGACATGTCCATGTCCAAAACAAATGCTGACTAAAGCCTTTATGGCCGTTATGTCTCGTGAACATAATTGCTAGATGGCAAGGGCGGCGTAGAGTCTTTCAAAGAGGGGGGGGGGGGCAACAAAAAGGGCATTTTCTCGAAAAATAGGGGCACCAACAAAGGGAAACCTCAAAGCGAAAACCTATATTTTGTTGACATTAGTATATACCCCTACATTGTGATTTTAATATTTGTTTCTCTCTTTACTTTGGCCAAGATACTGCTTAGGCATCATACTTTTTTGTTGGGTATGATGGTCTGAATATTCATTTGCGAGAGAGCTGGGAAATAATACAACGGTCATACCATGTAGAATCGTGTGATTTGAGATATCGGTTCAAATGAAGAATGATCTGCACTACATTGTTTTAGTAGTATATAATATATACAGAAATAACATTGTTATAGGTCGATTCTAAAATGAGGGTGAAGACTCTGTCTCAGATGTATCTAATATTATAATGCGTTTATTTGCATTCGGAGGGAATGACAGAAAACAATTCGAATGAGACAAATTATTATATTTTCTTTATTTTAGATTAATTCGCGTTACGATTGCGAAATTTCCCTGCTTATGAACGACGCCATGCACACATTAAAACATTGAAGCACATTCTTGATAAATGATTTGGCAAGATGCCAAGATGTTATGCAGCACAGTTTTATTATGTCCTGAGTAAATGTTTGCATTCAATTTTGAAGATAATACCCTCAGGCATTTAGGATGAAAACCATAGTACGAGTACATGTAGTTAGACTCGTGCACGTTCCTTTAAATGCCATAAGGAGGATATAGGAAAGTCTCAAACAAAATACACCTTAAGTGTTTTATTTGCATGTCAAAAGAGACATTCACCTCATTTGGATGTCATTTTCTCTTTGTTCGTTCAGCAATCAGCCTCTCTATGACTCTATCAGGTTAGTTTTTAAACTGATCGATAGTGTGCATGCCATGGTTGAGATTTGTCTGGATGTCCATTCCTTGGCGCATAAATGCACTTTGATATCACCTTTTATGATATGTAAACATACATTGCAAATAAAAGAAATATGCTGAGTTGTGAAGTTGAAATGCTTTCCGCTGTTCATTATGCACGGAACTTTGAACGATAAGAATAAAACCGGGCAATATAAGTACATGTATATTCGTATGCACAGGCATACCCCCCCCCCCCCCATAAGAAAAAAAGGGAAGAAAAAGAAAATACATAAACGGGTATGGAGAAGTCTCTTGGGAGGAAAGATGAAATTAAAAAAGAATATTTCAACTTGCAAAATTAGTCACGGTAGTACGGGCGTCTTAGACAAAGTTAAATATTTAACTAAATCGCAATGGGCCTTGAACTCAGTCGACCAAATATCTATATGTACTAAAGTAAGTCAAAGTTCACAAACTTGTTAGTACATAAACATTTGGTCAACTGAGTTCAACACCCACCGCAATTAAGTTTATAATTATATAAAACACCGACAATAATAGATGAATTTGTTGTAGTTGAACTTGTCTGATAAATGTTTGAGAAACAGTAAAGGTAAAAAAAAAACTGAAACTAAAAATTACAATACAAACGTGAGCCAGAGCTAATTTACTTATGTAGTGCAAATTTATTTTTATCAAATGCCTCTCATTCACATCAGTAAGTGTTCTGAAATTGCAGTAGAGATCTGTAGCCATGATAACAATGCAATGATAACTTTAAAGAGCTACTCATTTGTTTTTTCTTTAAAAAAAGGGAAAGTTTCGAAAATCAATTTGATGATGGTCGAGCTTTATGTTTTCAAGAAAATGAGGAAAAACGAATTAAGTGAAACATTTGAAATGTATTAGACTATAAACTGGAAGTATTAAATAAACCACAAATGTGCGCTAGATGGCAGGTCCCACGATTATGATAAACCATCACTATCCGCATACCACCACTCTTCCTTTAATACGTTAAGCCTATTCTGATATGACTGTCAAAAATTCTAACGACCATGCCGCAAAACATATTTACGGATAAATATTAGCATGGAACTCCATGATACAAGCAATATTTCCATTTGCTCAATACAAACGAAAGATTTTCAAATATAATATATTCAGTTAGGCCAAAGTACTCACGATTAGTTGAACTTGTTTGTTTTTCGCAATTTCTTCAGACTCTCAAGTAGATTAAAGCAAAGGAAATCATAGAAGCGAAATTCAATCGCTGAATTGGTAAAATATACTCTTTCAAAAAATTCAGTTTGCATTTATGTTAACAAATTTGATTTTCAGCTTCAAAATACAATTATTTGCTTCGTAATGCTATCTGAACCACAAGCAATAGAAACGTACCTATATTATGGTGGCAGTATAGTAGTAAAACATATCAGTA